AGAAGAAGAACTCAATAATGAACAAGAAGAATCGTCTTCCACTGTTACAGTCTCTGTGAAACCATTCAATTTCAATTCAGGCAATTTTGATAGCGATGATGATCATTCTGGAGATAGTGATGATTCTAGTTGTGAGGATTCTAATGATGAACATCAAACTCAACCAGCCAAATCTATCAGACAACAAATTCTATCTCTTAAGCCTCATGAGCTCAACAAGAAAATTATTGAAATGCAACGAGAACGTAAAAAAGACAAGAAACAAAAGAAGAAAACTCCTGCAAAACTGAAATCAGATTTGAAAAAGAAAAAGAAGATTATGAAAGAAAAGAGAGCAAAGAGAGAACCTTCAAAAAGAAAGAAGAAATAAAATTCATACAAACTGAATTGCTGGATACTACAACTGTACGATAAAGGTTGACACTCCAAATAAGCTACACTTCCTGTAGAGGAGACAGCAACTAACACGTTGGTATTAATCTATTACTGTTTGAAGTTACATAACATACTTTTTTGGAACTTTGGAAAAACATTTTGTCTTGCCCACACTCATCTTTCTATAAGTTTTTGGGAGGAGTGAAACTCCAGATGGTGTGTTGGGAAATTGTTGGTATTGAGGAGTTTCAGTTCATTGACAATTCAACTTGATTGGGATCAGTGTTTCCATGAGGTAACATATTAAGGAATGTATTGTTTCCAAAATGAACTTCCAGTTTGACTTAACTCACTTTAAGAGTACTCCCTCAAGAGTAACATAATTTCAACAAAGATTGTATATTCTAAGTTCTGAAAGCGTATCTTTGATATATTGGTTGTTGGGATTGATTAATATTTGATTACTCTTGGCTGTGTAAATGACAAAATCTACAATTACTTGTAAATGTTGGGTTAGTACAATGTCATTTTGCAGAGGTTCTTGTTGACAAGTATAATCAATTGTAAACAGTTAATTGCAAGGATATATTTTGATATGTAGCTTCATCTAATATTATGACGGGTCGTTACTGAGAAAAATATGATTTATTTATGAATTAATAATCGCTTTAAGTACTAAAAATTAAATCCTTACAAAATTATCGTTAACAAGTACATGTTATGTAACTTCAAACAATAATAGATTAATACCAATGGGTTAGTTGCTGTCTCCTCTCCAGGAAGTGTCGCTTCTTTGGAGATGGAGTGTCAACCAACAACCTTTATTGTTGTACAATTGTCCCGAGAAATGGATACTAGCATGTGATGAAAAAACTCAAATTGCTTTGAGAAAAACCACATTGAATGGATAATAGCTCTGGGAAGAATATAGATCATATAAATAAAATTGTTAGTAATCTTCAATCAAATCATCAACAAAATGTTAATTTTGAAAAAAATCAAGAATATTCAAGTCTACTTCACCACAAGTGATCATAAAAAAAGGTTAGCTCAATAAAAATTTGTTAAATAAGAAATTGATATAAACCATGTTCCTTGAAAAACATCGCATCGTGGGAAAAACCCATCAATGATAAGGCTTAAGCCAATCGCAAACAAAAGTGTCAAAGGAAATCATTGAGCAAATCAATGATACATAAGGCAAAAGCCAATTAATACAACACAAAGTGTTGTTGAATTCTAAATATATAATGGGAGGGAAGGGAGGGTGTTGTTGTGGTGCCAGACTGTTGGGAAGCTGCAGTAGTGGTATTAGTTTGCTCTTTAGAGAGCTGTTTTGGTTGTGGATTTGTTGACATTTTTTAGCCATACTTTTAGTCAACCTTATTGTTTTCGTTACAAAACACTTCCGTTCTTTTCAGAACATTCAAATCGTCTCAATGAAAAGGTGAAAGAACATGATACTAGCCAAGCAGTGCTTTATGTATTGTTTACCCAATCAATCTGCTTGTTTGTTGTCAACACTGCAACGCTGCGGTTAGGCAGCTGTTTCAGACATTTTGAAGACGTTATTTCACGACTCCCTTCGAAAGAACATTCAACAAATAAGCCGTTTCTTACAATTTGTTCAGCAACGGTTGGCAACAGTGCGAAGGCCTATTCAAACATTCCAATTTCAAATAGTTCAAAAGGAATTGTAATCGGTGAGAGGTATCAATGCAAAGAAGCTTGTCAAATCAAATCGGTCAACCAATCGTAGTGCCAAAATTCCTGTGTGCCTTGTTGATTGATGCAGAATTATCACTCGTTCAACTTCACAAGTTGAAAAGAACACATTAAGAATATCGAGGGCCAACAACAGTGAAAAGATTATACATCTTCATGAATTGACTTTCACCTTTATACAAATGCAAGATAGTTGACAGCAAGTTTTTAATACCGTAGTAGCGAATGTGTATTAATCAAATCCAGCAGCAAAGTGTTTGGTCGTTTCAAAAAAGTACAAATTCTTCTCAATGGTTTGATTTCGTTTCCATTCGCTATAAATACCAAACAATGAAACATAAAGTGCTACAATGGTAGATTTGACATAGGTCAACCAAAAGAGTCTCAATTCAAAATTCAATCGACTCGAGAAGGATACGATTCGTTGAGAGAATTCTTTCACTTTCGATGAATGGTTATTCTCATGATTCAAAGGATCATTACCATGTTTAATAGCACATCCTTTTGCAGCTGCTCTTGCCATAATTGCAAATCGATTCACTTTAGCACCTAAATCTCTATTCAATGCTCTCAAAATATTATCTGTTCTCAAAATAAATACCATTTCATCAGGCATATTTCTATAAATATTTACAAAGTCATCTTTTTGTACTTTCATGGCTTTAAAAAACTCTTCCCAATCCTTTTCAGTCAATTGTTTTTCTTTTTGAGTAGAGACAACCGAATCAAAGCCTTGCATCATGATAATGGAGGCATATAATTTGTAATCTGAAATTCCAAGTAATTTACAATACTTTTTCATGTGATTAGTATCTCCTAAAATGATACTCATCCAAAAATTAGCATAGGCAGTTCTAAAATCATCACCAATGGATTTATAGAGACCATGGTCGAGAATGACAATTTGAGGTTCCTTTGGATTCTTTTCAAAATATATTGAATAAAAAAATATATGAAAATGTGAATGAATATATATAGGATATGAATGATAATACGAAAAAAAAATATGAATAGACATTATGAATATGATATGAAAATATTTGATATAATAATATTTGATATAATAATATGGATATATCATAATAATATTTGATATAATAATATTTGATATAATAATAATAATATGGATATATCAGAATCTGATACGAATATACACCTACCTTTGGATTTCTTCTTACCATAATATTCGATGGATGAGGATCACAATGAATAAATCCTTGTACCATAATTTGATCAGCAAAGGATGATAATATTCTCTTTGAAATATCACTTTCAGAAAATCCCATCTTTCGAATTGCTTCAATATTATCAGCCTTCACAGCATTTTCAATAAATTCCATCGTCAATACACGTGAAGAGGTTAATTCTGAATATACTTTTGGAATGTACACATCTCTTCTCTTTCTCATATTATAAGAGGCTTTTTTAGAATTATTTGCTTCATGTAAGAAATTTAATTCTGTAAATAGACCATCTCTTAATTCATCATTAAATTTGTTATTGAGAGTAACGAGTGCATCAATATTCTCTGCATCATCTTGCATGTAATATAATTTAATACAGAATTTGTTAGCGATATCATTGGTATCCATATCATTATGGAAATATCTTCTTAAATAGGGCATTTGAATTTTTACAGCAACTAATTGACCATCTTTGGTACGAGCACGATGGACTGTGATGGGTATTAATAATAAATGTTTTGTTTTGGTATGATTCAAGTTGTGTTTGGTAGTTTCAAATTGTTGTGAGGGTGTTGTGTTTGGAATTGATAGTTTGAAATTAATTTATCTTTCCTTACCTTGAGCAATGGATGCAGCTGCAATAGGTTCTTTTTCAAATTCAGAGAATAATTCTTCTAAATGTTTTCCAAAGTCTTGATAAATGACTTTACGAACTTCATCATAACTAATTTTAGGTGCTGTGATCATTTGAATCCAATCTCATACCTCGTGACGTCAAGATGAACAACACACACTTACCTTGATCTCTCATAACACTCATCACTTCAACATATTCATCAGGTATCCATCCTCCCAATGATGCAAAGAATTGTCCATACTGAGTTTTCATGATTCGTCATTCATGATGAAATGTAACAAGTCATAGGTGCACCAGAAGCCATACACATACACACATACATGGCAGTCATAGCATCATCATGTGAACACAACATGTTCCAATGATGATATTCAATCACTCAATATATCACTACTACTACTACTACTACAACAATTGCTACTCACCTTAATATAAATTCCTTTAAATGAACAAAATAAATTCTTCAATCGAATTGCATTCAATCGATGATGAGCTGATTTCAATTCTTTAAAACTTTCAGAATTCTTATCTGGTTTCTCTCTAAACCAATAGGCTGGATTTCTTGGAGAAGTATCCAACACTAGAAAATAATCAGCTGCAATGACAAATAATGTATAAAAGGCTCTAATAAATCTCTCTGCACTTTCCATGGAATACATGAAATGAATAAAAGGTTGATAATAAAAGAGAGAATCTTCAGGATCATCTAATTTGAGTCTATAGAATAATTCTAAACAACCTTTCATGAGTGCATAAATAGAAAACAAGGTAGCACCAAGTATGAGAGGAATAGAGAGAGTTATTTTGACAAGTTTGAAAAGAAGAGAGAGTGTGGAAATGAAGAGTTTTTTGAGAGGATGATGATTGGTGTTGTTATTATTATTATTATTATTGGTATTATTATTATTATTGGTATTATTATTGGTATTACTATGATAATTATTGGTATGGGATGGATCATTCACATCAAGGGATGAATTTGTGTTGGTCGTGTTGGTCGATGATGATTGAACAACGTCATGACGTGTTGAAAAAGATCTGTCATGATTCCGAGAGCACAAGACATGGAATGTTGGTGATGATGATCGAAGAAATGGATGATTCACTCTATGAATGATAGGATTATTCAACAAGTCTTGTTGATTCTGTTGACATGATGGATGATGGAATTGACCATTAAAATCATTGGATGCAAGGAATGAATAGCCTTTCTTCTTTGCATGTGTTGCACTGCGGTGAATCATTGTTGATGATTTTGAAGAGAGAGTAGAGAGTGTTTTCCACATTCTCAAGATTCGTGATTGTCGTGACGGTGTGTTCAAGTAGGTACGGATCTAATATTTTTATTGTGGTCTGTTTTTGGATGTTTCATGGAAGGTTCAAGCAGAGGGTGTTAGTGTTGGTTCTCTCCGTCACGAGACTGACGCACTCAACACAAGAGATTTTTCATATTCCTCTCTCATTGTATAGACAATCCATTCTCCTCTCAATAATAAACATTGACACTCACATGATAGTCATTCACGACTGGACCTAAATCAGAACCATGTTCTTGTCTTTGATTCCAATGAGCTCCATTCAATCTCAATCCTCCTTCTGAAACTTGTAATTTCGGATGATGTCGTTGTTTAGGTAAAATCATTCCAGATGTAATCACTCCCAATTCACTCTTCACAAGTGCTAATTGTTTCAATTCATGAACATGTTGATGAATTCTTAATTGAATGTCTTGTAATAGATTTAAACATTCCTTCTTTCGCAGAAAATCACCAAAATGGGAATGAATCAAGACTTGAGTCCATACCATACAGGATTCTATTGAAACGCATGATGGTGGTGGTGTACGACTATTACGACTAGATTCATCTTGCTGTTCATCATCATTTCGAGTTGTAGTTGTGGTAGTTGTACCTGTAGTAGTCTTACTCTTATTCTCACCAACACTCTTACCACTCAATAATCTCAAAATCAATTCAATAATTTCAAAGGATAACACCTTGATATGTTTCATCATACTCAACACCTGTACATTTCTATATTGAGTATCAAGTACTAATTGAATACCATATTCATACTTGTCATTTCCATAAACATTTAAATAAGAAATAATTTGCTCATCATTTAACATGTTCAATTTCAATATTAAATCTAAACATGGTCGATGAGAACGAGTATAATTCTCTAACAAGTATTGAATGATTTGATTCATAATGGAAATGTGAATACTCATGGTTCCATCCATTCCTGTGGTTGATTTTTGAATTTGATTATAATTAGAAAGTAAATAAAAGAGACCATCTAAGAGTTCAAGTGTAGTGTTGGAACGAGTCGAATCCATATCCATCTGATTTGAATTCTTCTTCATATCCATCTGATTTGAATTCTTCTTCATAGATCTCTCATCACTTCCAAGCTGACCAGAATTCCTCTGAGGAGTACTTTCATTTCTCAAATGTTGATAAATATATTCTAACAAGATTTGATAATACTCAATTAAAGGTAATTGTTTGATACAAAGAGTTAAGGATTGATTGGAAATGAGTCTCAACAAGTTATTCTTTTTCATAACCATTTCTTGTTCGAGTTGGTTCCATTGAGTAGAATCATGAATGGAATAGACAAATCCATTGTGTTCTTGTTTTGGTATTTCAATGAATGGGTTCGTTAAATGTCTATTTCTTAATTGCATGGGTTTTGTGAACGGAATGGGTGTGAATTTGAATAATTTATACACACACTGTGAGGTAGCAATGTATGGATGTTGATAAGAGAGAAGAATATGAGAGTTTGAAATGGTAGAATATTTCATGACGCAATTAAACGTAGAATTCCAAATTTGTATATATTGATGGAAGTGATCATGCATGGACACCACATAATAAGTTGAATCTGATTTGGAATCAACATTGTTGGCATGTCCATAATTAAAAATTGAAATATTCTTAAATTCCTTCTTAAATGTAACCAATGGTGAGTGTACGTTTTGGATATAATTGAATGAATAGAGAGTATTTGTACTTGTATCCAAGTACAGCAATACATGAGAATTACTATATTTGTATTCAATGGTATTCAATGAAGAGGAATATTTCAAAAGATATTTCTTTAAAGAAATACTCAATGATGTTCCTTTCAATGTATGTAATACATGATCTTGATTGATATCAATATATTCATTTTGAAATAGAAGAATTGATGAATTAGAAGAATTCTTTTTTACAGCAACTTTCAAAGTCTTGGATAGATCATCATTTTTCAAATCTTGTGGAGTGAAATTGAGAGTATAAAACTCCTTGTTTCCATTGTTTTTCTTACAAACAGTCAAAATATATTCAGAATCAAATTGTTGAGAGGATTGACAATCTAAATCAATGATTTCATCCACACATTCTTGTTGTAAGAATTTGAATTTGCTTGTATCATTGTTTGATAATGTTGAGAAGATACATTTGAGAGGTGTAGAATTTGGAATGTTCTTGTTGACATGTTGTTGATCATCTTCCATCCCATTAGAAGAAGCAGTAGTCGACGTTTCGGGTGTAGTGCTCTTTGCCTTCGATGGAGTTGTTGTTTCTTGTTTCTTTTTTTTAGATGAAGGTGTTTGAATCATGTTGTTGTTGTTGGATAATGGTGTGCTCGGAATGTTCTTCTTTTTAGCTGATGATGGAGAGGTGAGTTTGGTCGACATATTTTTTTTTCAAAACGAAAAATTTTCAAAACTTTTATTGAAACACGCTTTAGCTCTCATCCGTTCGCATGGAATGAGAGAATCCATCATAATAGGCACATTGAATTAACTTTTGTCTATTGAACATTTCCAGAGAAGGAAGGCACATTAAGCATTAATGGTGGTTTCTCCAATATGGGACGACTCGGCAACAACAGGGACCACTCGATTGTTGAAATTTTGGATTGGGACTGGATCCATGTTGGGTGTCGAGGCTTCTTCAGTTTGGAGAGTCTGTACAAGATCCGATGATGAAGGATCTTTTTCAAGATTTCTCATCAATATTGGGAAGGATCGCTTCATCGTTCGATCCGATCTCACATCAAACAACCTTACTTTTTGTTGCAATCCTTTGAGTCTAAATTCACCAAGATCATAAAAGACATATTTAGGTCGTGCCACATATCTTTTCCGTAAAACTCCTCCAACTGTGGCCGTGGTTATGGTCATGGTGTTCGATGAGTTTGAACCAGTACTTAATTGTCTTGAGAACTTGGGTTTAGGAGGATTTAAACCAGAAACACTTGAACATGTGTCTGATATGGAATCACTGGTAGCAGTATATAACAATCGAGAAATCTCCTCCACATAACTCTGAAAATTATGTGTATGAAATTTAACATCTTTCACAATAAATGTTCCTAATTTTCGCCACAATTCTAAAAACATATCTTCAGAGATGACCACTTGACCACCATACGCTGAACTTTCAATTCGAGATGCCATATTCACTGCTGTTCCAAAGTAATCAGGACGCCCCATAGTCTTGTCATATATTTTCTCTGAGGGTCCAAAATGCAAACCAATTCGAACACGAAGACCATTCCAAACTTTTTGTTTGGTTATTTCATCCCATTCTGTTCTACAATCCCACATTTGAGTGATGGACGATGGCCATTCCACCTCCAATAATGCATGTTGAACAGCAATGGACCAGTCCAATGCATCTACAACATCTGAAAATGCAACATAAAAACTATCTCCATGAGTTTTCTAAACATTAAAATCATTCACAGCAATTGATGAATCATTCAGTTGTATTACGGTTCACGTGTGTATTTGTATTTATATACATACAAAAACACACTATTACTTACCACTTCATAGCCTCTGTAAGCTTCCAACGCTCTTCGAATGGCCAAGTTATGCAATTTCAAAGCATCCCGCATTCCTTTTTCATTTTGTTCCCATAACACAGTAGAATTTTGAATATCTGTAAAACTAACGGTAATGTTTCCAGATTTTGGAGCATGTTTAGCATTTTCTTTTCTGAAACAACACTTGTAACTACAGAGTACACCAATGGACAAGCAGCATATTAAACTGATTCCAATTCCAATGCTAATTCCAGCTATTTGTCCCTTGGTGAAGAGAGGATAAACAATTTTAACTCCACACGTACTAAAAGCAAACTCAAAATTTTGAACATCGTTGAACATACGACGAGTTGCAATTGCAGACAAGGACGTTAAAACAAATCTTGTGAGTAGGATTTTTCTTGGACCTTGATTACAATCACAAGAATCTCCATACTGAACTGTGGATGTTTTTGAATTACAATCTGAAGCGTTTGTTAGTATAGTGGTGGAGTGAAGCGATGATGGTGTGTTGCTGCTCATGATTGAAACATCCGAGTTCGCCAAAAAATTCTCACTGCTGCTACTCGTTCCAGAGACCACACTACATTCCAATCCAAAAGGTCCAACCTCTGATAAACCCATCAAATTAAAAATGCTACTACTAAAAAGAGTTGACATTAAATCATTTGTGGTTGCCTTAGATGTTAACTTTTGTTGATATATTCTTCCTAATAAAGTTTCAATAAAGTAGCCAGTTAAATATCCCTCTACTGTTTGGTGATTTGGATTGGAAAGTTGGTATGCATCGAGAAATGTTTTCATTGCTTGAGATTCTAACGAAGAAGAAGCACATTCATCTTGTATCTTTGGACCTGAAGTGAGAGTTGGTACATGGAGTTGAATGGTATTATAAGGAACTGCAGTGGTATTCAAAGAATACAATAATTGTTGTAATGTTGGTGTAAACGACCCAGATAAAATACCAACATTAATAGTGGTAGGAACTGTTGCTGTTTTGGATAATCTCAATTGCATTATTTTGTAAATTTCTGTTTCGTTTCCAAAAATGATCATGGCATTTGATGATATTGGAATCGTACTCAATTCATCAAAGGCTAGTACATTCACACTCGTTAATTCATTTGCTTCACCATATTGAACAATCTTTGGAATGGCCTGACTTGTCCATTCAGGTCTATTTGGATATACAATGAGCACAGATTCACTCAACACGTTTTTAAAGTAATGAATCAGTGACGCTGTTTCATCCAATATAGATGGTCTTAAATGAATATAATATTTCGAGTAAGGCCATCTCAATTCCATGTCTTGAGAAAGGGTGAACATTGGAACATTGTAACGTGATAACAATTGACTTATATTACGAGCTTGATTTTCCAATGTTGAGAAACGGTTTGAGAATGTTGAAAAGAGTGTTCCAATAAATGCAAAAACACCTTGTTTTTCAATCATATTCTTCACCTTCTTTTCCATTGAATTTTTACCCTGCCTTTTAGAATAATATTCAGTATGAAAACGAATAGGTTGTTTGGTGGTTGGCTTGTTATTGAATAGATTGAAATAATACTCTAATCCTTTCCCATATTCATCATCCACAAGTGTTTGAGTGTTCATCGCAGTGATGTTCGTTAGAGTTGTAAGAGAATTAGCACTATTTTCTGCATCTGAAAGTAATAGCATGGCATTTTGAGGCAAATCCTCATCACCCTCAAATGGAACAAGTCGAGCTATTATAATCGGTTGTTGAATTTCTGAGATGGAGATTGATGATATGCTTCTTGCTTTGGGTTGATACTCTAATAGACCGCATGATTCTGCATCATAAAGTTTCACAAAAAGTTGTTCAAATTGAGAAGAAGTGTCATTGAAGGAATAAATAAAGTTCTCACGATAACCCAAATTACAAGTACCCTCTTTAAATTTTCCAAATGTAACATCACTCATAGAAAGAACATCTTTTGAATAGATTGAATTCAAAAAATCTAGAGCAGTAAATGACGATTTTGATTGTAGATTCATATCGACTAATTTAGTAACCATACGTCCAATAAAATAACCCTCAAGTACCTTTTGATAGAGTGAAATATAACGATCGTTTGCGTTTAAACCGTTATAGTTTTGAATAGCTGTTCTAAATTCGTTCATGAATAACTTTTGATTCGAATGAAAGGATGGAATGTGAGAGACGTAATGAATGGAAAATCTATTTTCGCCTTTCATGATGGATCCTAATGATAATTCCGTCTCAATGTGATTGTCAAACAAAGAGTTCATCAAGTAAATATAGAGACCTTTCCTAAATATGGGTTTGCTATTGTATGTCTTTTGAAGAGAAGATATGAATGATTCAATTGTTTTGGTCGAATTTCGCAGAGCAATAATTACTACTTGTGGATTGGAATCCTCTCCAGCAAGGGCGTTCAAAACGGAATCCATTGAAATGTTTGCAGAATAATATTGATCCAAATTGCACGCACTATCAATGATCAGTCCAAATTTAACAATTAAAGTTTCAAATGTTTGATAAATCTCAAAAGATGTGGAATCACTTTGACTATAGAGAATGCTAAATCTACTTCTACCCATTTTCAAATTATAATCTAAAACCGTTCCTAATTGCTCCAATATTGATGTAAAAGTGTGAATAAGAGGCTTGAAAAATCGACTTCTTAATGCCAATGAATTGATACTTGAAACTCCGATCATGGCAATGTTTGAGAATTCTGTTGTTTCCATCGATACTGTTTGATCATTGGTACCATTAAGGGAGGACTCAATTCTCAATGACGAGGCAGAATACGCAACCAATGAAACAGCTTCATTCAGTGTGGTTAATTCTCGAGTATTATTCATCAATGTCTCTGCATTGGTGTGATAGAGCGTTTTAAGCACAATTTGATTCTTTGCGGTTTGGTTATTTCTTTGTTGAAAGGCTATCAATATTCCAATTCTTACAAGTTCATCTTGGATGGAGTCTTTTTGAATGGATTGTCCAATGACTATTGGTTTCACTAGGACAGAATTCACATTTGAAATACATGAACCTTCTTGGTACCAAGAAAAGTTTCGATAAATATCAAAACTAATATTTCCTGTTTTCATATTGATGGAACTCATGTACACGATCTTTAGGCCCTGATTGCAATCTGCAGAGTTACTACAACTGTTGGTACGGTTACTCCACATGCCATTGAGATAATATTGATATATATTCAAAGAGCTACACCATTTGTATCTTCCCATTTGAATACCATCAAAGATGAATAATCCTCCACTTTTGCTTTCATCGGCATAATCCGAAGAGAAGTCGAAATAACTGGATGCAATAAAATTGGAACGAGTCAAGTTTCCAACCATGTGTTTAAAAACATTGTAGACAAATTTTCCGACCATATATCCTTCAAGCTCAATGAACGTAAAACTCGAGAGTGATTGAAGTGTTGAATATTTAGTGACAGCTCTCTGATAAGCACGAACAATGGGATATGAGGTTTCCATAGGGCTTGGTACTACTTGCGTAATAATCACATTGTCCGTGTAGTACGTGGAGCCAAATTGAAGAGAAGGTAATGGAAATTTGATTAAATCTTCTGTCAGTGCTGCAGAACCAACAAAGCTCACTGTCAAAAAGATGATATCGTTGGCTTTTTGGTATCCAAATGTACTGTCGTTACTAAATGCAACATCCTTGACCATTTTGATATACTTTGCAAGAGGTGCATAGGTTCCAATCATTACAATAGCTTCTGGATTACATGGTCCAATCGTATAGAAAGCACTCTCAACATTTAAAGTGTTTCTTGGAAATGTACCGCTCGAACAAAGAGGAAGTTTCAATCGATCTATTAAACTTCTCTTAATACCATTCAATCCACTTAATCCAAAAGCATCGTTTTGGTACATGATGGATATTCTTCGAATGAGTTTGACATTGATCAACCAATCCACCATTGCTGCCGTTTCATCATCGTATGAAGATCTTAAATTAATGACATTGGGATAAAACGGTGTCCTGAGCCATCCAACACCAGTGAACGATCCTATGAGTGGTATTCCAGTGGAAGTTACGTTTGGGAATACAGCCTTTGAATATAAATGTTGAGACAAGAATTGTTGTTGAGCATTTTGAGCGCAACGTGTTTCAGGTCATCGAACAAGATGAGAAAAATTAAATTTTGGTTGAAGATGCGCTCGGTGTTGAATCAACTCCTCCTACTTACTTGAACTGTGGGTGTTCCTACGTAACCGATCAAACCAAAGAAAACTGTATCTCTAATTTTTGTATCAATGATTGAAACATTAGAGAATAGAGCACGGTTGAGCGAGTTCGCAGGTGGTGTCATGTTAAACAGAAAATAATCAGTATTGATTTTTGTGTTGGCAGGCTCATAGGCATCATCCAAGGTAAACAACCGAAGTTTTTTACTTCCCCAAACTCCTCCAAGGCTGTTGATTTCTTCAAAGGCTGCTTCAATGCCTCGTTTCATTTCAATTCCGAGCCTTTTGAACCATCAGGAAGCAAAACATTTGAAATAAATGCGAGCCTTTCATCAGAACATTTTTGTTTCGATAAGAAATACTCACCTTTTAGATGTACCCGATAAAGCAGCTGATTGGGCAAACCAAATCTGAAAAATGATATAGAATTGATCTAAAAACCTTCATTTACGTACCTCTTCTTGTTCATTCCAATTAAATGAATCCAAGGATGGGGCAAGAGGTGTTATTGGCGTTGATGTGCTACCACGTGCGATCTGTGCCCCGTTTAAACAGGAAATATTTAAAATTAAGAACAAAAAAGAGAGGGATATACAACAGATGAAAAGGGACGACCTTAGCGACCGTGTAGCCATTATAAATGGAATTAAGAAAGTGGTGAAGAGTACCATGAAATTTTTTTATTAAGAAATGCCTGAACAGCACAAATTTTCCTTAAAAACTACAAGGCGCAGTTCAAAAGTTCACTGAAGAATTTAAAGGTATGCACCCAGAAACGGTTAGCGCGGGGTGTTATCTTAAGGAGGACGGGTATAGTCATGACATTCAGTTGGTTACATTACAATAAAAATTTATTCAACAGTTCTCTTTTAGAAAATGACAGTATTCAACATCATGCCAAGTGTTTGATTCACATTAGAGCCCATCAACGTTTCGACACTACTCTCCAAATGTCTCTTTGGATCTAATTTACCAACATTGGCCAATTGATATTGCTCTCTCGAAGTCTTTCCTTCCTCTTGAATCATCTTGTTATAGGTTTTTGCTAATTCAACCATACTCTTCAATACTTTTTCAGTATCCTTTTCATGTTCATTAAAATCTACTAATTTCAAACCTTCTGTCCAAGTCTTTTTATGGACGTGCAATAACATTTCTTGTTCCAATTCATTCTTACGATATGAAATTGGCATTGAATAATAATGACGATTTAAACCATGAATTAAAGCTTGAATAGTTGGCTTATTCAAATGTCCCTGTACACTTGTGGATTGACGAGGTTCTTGACCAAACATGGCCAATTGAGGATTAATTGTACGGAATGCATCAATCACAACTTTACCCTTCACTGATTGAATAGGATCCACCACTACAGCTACTGATCGTTTTGTTAAAGATTCAAAGGATTGTTGTGTATTAATATCCACGCTACTCAACCAACATCCAAAACCAGGGTGAGAGTGATACCATCCAACCACCATTTCAGGTCTACCTGTTTGTTTCAATAATTCTAACATTTTCGTTTGAAATACAGGATCTACAGCTTCTACACTGACACCTGTACCACTTTGAGGCATGGCAAAGACATCAATACAACGAACTGTATATTCATCAATAAATTCTCCAAGCATGAGACCCATGACCTCCATGGGAACTCCTGCTCGACCATGTTTTAACATTTTCAAAAGAGCTAAACTACTGATGGTTACAGTTTCTGCGGTATCGGGGAGAGGCTGATCACCCACGTTGGGCATTCCACCTCCCATTTGTTGCATTAATAAACGTTGCAAACGTGGATCCATTTGTATATAATGCAAGATTGATTAAAGAGAAATGTTATTTGATGATGATGCTGTTGATTCCGTATGGATGGATTCAATATTAATCAAATTTTTTGTGTGTTGTTGTACAAGGGGTCAATCAAGAAATTTTTTTCTATTTCTATTTTTAATTTAAAATTTCCAAGCAACAAGAGATGCTTTTGATGGCTTCAATGAATGTGTCAGTTCATTAGCATCCCACGACAGAAATGACTCAAAACTTGAATGTTTGAGAACAATTTTCGATGCATCCTATTACCTGATGACGTGTTCTTTAAATGACTATGGCTGCACCTCGGCAATTAAAAGTTTACAAACAAAAAATGAGTCAACAACAATTAACATCATCAGCCACAACAACAAATGAGGAACAGCAGACTGTTGTCGAAGACCATGGACCTCCTCCAAAGATTCAAATGAAACTCCACATTCTCCAAATCATCAAACAAAAACAAAACGAGAATGGATTGAAGCATTTGGACTATGATTCATACCGAAGATATTGCACCAAGAGATTGCGCAAGCTTCGAACCTTGTTGGATATGAAACACAAAAAAGAGGCTAAATTCACTCAAACTCCAAAGAAAAAAAAGAAGAATTTGAAATCGACTCCTGCCGCACCAACAACAACAACAACAACAACAAACACTACCATCACTACTTCTGTAGAGTCTTCAACCACAACTCCAACAACGGTTGTCGATGGTATTAAAAACTCCTCTCTCTACTCTCAAAAGAAAGTAAGCGATAAGATTGTTGAGCGATATAAAGAAAAGAAAGAAATTCAAATTAAAAACTTAAGAGAACAAGCACTGAGAAATCTCATTCGTGAAAATGTTGAAAAGCAAATTCACGAACAAAAAGAGAAATTATTGTCCAGTTTTGCTAAAAAGAAGAAGAAGGAATCTAAAAAGACTGACAAGAATATTCAATATGATCCTGAATTCTTAAGTGAGCTCTATACCCACATCAATACCAATCCTACTATTACTGAAAATGAGATTGAAGAACGTGTCAAGAAAATGTTGCAACAACAATCTGGAGACTCTACCGAGTTGGATCATCTAACTCAAGGTTCCAATACTATGACCACTGCTACCAATGAAAACACTCTCCTTGTTAACGGAGATGAAAGATTTCTTCATTTACTTCTCGTTCAAGCTGAGAGAGCTTGGAGTCATTCTAGACACTTGAAGAATGAAATGAAACAATATCCTGATAACTCTCGTATCAAATTCCATCAATTGAATCGATTGAAAAAGGCAGTGAAATGGTCCAAACTCTTATTAGACTATTGTAACATGTTTTGTGAAAATGATCAACGTACCATTTTAGAAGCTGAAGCCTATCATTCCTACATGTCAGGTTTATTATTTTTAGAAAAAGAAGATTGGGCTGAATCATTGAAGTTGTTTAAACAATCTCAAACCGTCTATGATCAATTGTATAAGGTCTTGACGTTTATTCCACAAGCATTGAGAGAAGAATATAAAAAGCAAGTGAATGAAATTGCTGTGAATTATATGAGATTGTGTGAATACAATTTGAAGAAGATTCAAGGTGGTGAATTGTTACTTCAACAATTAGAATCCAATTCACAACAATTGGATTTGATTCAACTCAAATTGAGTCAAGTCAAAGATTCTGAAGATAAGAATTTGCCATCTCAACAAAAAGTAGAATGGGAAGGTGTCATGTCCATCATTATTCCAAATGAAAAGATTAGAGTCAATTTGGCAAATGGTAAAGCACTTTTAGATGCAGACTACAAGACGGTTGAGAGTAAATTGAGAGCCTTTGACAAGTTGTTTGGAATTTATAATGATACGATGAGAATGATTCGCGAAGAGATGAAGACTCTCTCTAGTGGCGGTACAAGTAGTAATACTCAAAAACGTACTCATTCCTCTCATACATCCTCTTCTAGTCAGATCAATAGCAACTTTTCAAGTTTGAGTGTAACTGAACAATTGAATCAATTGAGATTCCTTCATAGCTATGTGAGTTATGTGTTAGGAACAAAGACCATTGAAAGAAATGTCATCATGTTACAATCTTTACTTGATCGATTGGATACCATTCAACAACAAAAAAGAGTTGAAAAGAAACAAAAAACCAATCCAGTGGATATCATTCGATTATTTGATGGATTACTTCAAAATGTGAATGATCTCTCCGATTTGTTACAATCTATTAATATTCATCCTGATAGTGCTAAAAAGTTACAAACTGATTTGGATGAAAAGAAGAATATTTTCACCTCTTATCGATGCTATTATATGGCTCATGCATATGCTTCCCAACACAAATGGACTGAATGTTATTTATTATTGGAGAGATCTGAACAATTATTGAGCCAATTGATGAAGAACCAATCATCATCTTCATCTTCTCTATTTTCTCTTCCAAACCCAACAGATATTTTATCGGAAATTAGAAAGGCAAAGATTACAGCAAAATCACAACAAGTACTCTCCAACAAGAAACATCAAGGAACCTCTATTTTAGCTGCCTATGATAGTGATGATGATGAAAAGGAAACATCAAAGAAACAACAACAATTGGTCAAATTGATGAGTGAGAAACCTCTCACTTCCCGAATGGATCAATTCATCATTCCTAACAAGACTGTGGTTGAGAATTTACAAAGCTATAGTTTGGTGGAATTACCACCCAAGTATCAAGTAATTCCAAACAAACCAGTATTCTTTGATATTGCCAATAGTTTGGTTTGTGAATATCCAACCGAGTTTATTGATGAACAAGTGAAGGAATTGTCTAAGAGTGTTGAAAAGCCAACCACTACGACCACTACAGAAGAACCAAAGAAGAAGGGTTGGTTTGGATTGTGGTAGTGTTTCGTTCATAGTAGTAGTATACTTGTAATAAAAATTGATTGTTGAAATTGGGTGAGACTGCCCAGCCCGCCATCGTTACAAATTTTACAGCAAGAGTAAAAAATACAATTCATGATTTCCGAAAAGAACTCGGCACAAGAACATCACGACAACGAAATTCCATTTTGAAACACATTTTGCAATCATCATCATCGGAAGAGTCATTAATTTCATCACACATTGGCTCTAACAAAATCATAACAACTGAGGATGAACGGAAGTGGTAATTCAGGCAATATTTCAAACAGAGCTGCCACAGCTTCTGTCAGTTGTAGAGACAGTTTAATTTCCGTCACTAGAAAAAAACCCACTTCTTCATCAGGAAGAAGACTTGGATCACAATCACGAGAGGGGTTTTATGGTTCTACCAGTAATGGATCAAGCGGGTCCAGCATTAGCTCAACCACCACTGCTGACTCGTATTCACCTCAGGATTTAGAATCAACCGTTACAAGAACATTATCATCCACACGATCCAAGGCGTCCATTGATTATGATGCTCATGCATCAACTAATCATGTCTCATTACCAGATATCGGAATGAGTAGATCAAAATTTGAAAAAGACAAGAAACAGCAATTACTTTTAAAAGACGATCAAGAATTTATTGAAAAATTAAAATTAAAAGTTGAGGAACAACAACTTGAAATTGAGAAAAGTAATGGATCATTAGAACAGATTCAACGAAACTTTGAACAATTGTCAGCCATGTATAAGAGTACGTTTTAATATTCAAGTAATTGAATTTTCAAAATGCATTTGTTAAATCATTAATTGAATGATCAAAATGCATGACAAGATGAAAAATCCAAATCAGAAATTCTTCGATTAGAAAACGAGAGATTAAAAGAGGAAAGCGCATCACTAAGAGTAAACATTAATTCCACAGTATCAAAGGTTGCCTACCAAGAAGTGGAACAAAAATTAAATCAATTATTTACAGAACTGTAAGTGGTTATTGAAAACATAGTGCATTCTATTCATGGAATGATCAGGAAAGAAAAAGAAGAAACCAAATCTGAGCTCGAAAAAGAAAACACCACTCTTAAAGCTAATCTTTTTGATTTGAATGTAAAGATTAAAAATATGATTCAGGAATTAGATAGTTCACGAAGAGAAATTGATCATCAGGGAGTTGAATTTAAAAAGCAGTCAGAAATACTCAAACAAGAGGCCAAGTATGTTTTCATTCAACATTTGTTGTAATCTCACACAAAAAGAACTTTGAATGATCAGTTATCGAGTCAAAAGATTGAATTGGAAGATAAAAAAACGGAAATCGTTCGACTTGAAGCACGACTCAAGTAAGTGTCGCAAACAATGTTAATAATACAAATATTGACTTGAGATTCAGAGATAAAGAAAGAAATATTTCTGCTCTTCAACAAACCTTGTCCAAAAAGGATGCTGAAGCTCAAGAATACAGAGAAAAATTACATGCTTTAGAAAAGAATCAAGAAGCAACAAATTCTCGCTTGAAAGAAAAATTAATACAAAATGAAGATTATGAAACCAATGTAAGACAATTGGATGCCAAGAATAAGGAGAATATTCGATACATTAATGATTTGAAAAATCAAATTTCTGAAATGAAAACACAATTGAGAGATAAGGATTACTCTGAGAAGGAGTCACAACAGCAGGTTAGAAATTTATTAGATGAAATTGAAAATTATGTGTCGTTGGTTAAGAAATTAGAAGAAGAAGTTTCCATTCTTAGAAACGATCGAAAAGAGTTGGTACTTGAAAAGCAAATTAAGGATCTCACCATGCAAAATTCTGATTTGTTGAAACAGATTGAAATTATTTCCTCACACAAGAAAAAGTTGGAAGGTGTATCTAACGAGAAGGAGTAAGTTCAAGATGAATTGCATTATTTTTTTAATGTGTTGACATGTCATAAGAAAATTGGTTCAATTAGTAACAACATTGCAACATGAAAATGCTGAACTGACGTTGCAAGTTGAAACTCTCTCTAGAAAAGATCAAGATGAAGCTCATATCTATTCCGAGCTAATGAAAGTGAGAGAAGACAATGAGGAATTATCACAAAAGCTAGAGGAAGCCACACAAAAACTTTCCCAAGTGGAATCTGCAATGAATTTGAGTGAAATTCAAGTTCGCGACTTGGAGAGTCTACTCAAGTTTAAAGACGAGTCCATTGAAATTCTCAATACCAAAATCAATCAAAAGGAAAAGGAATTACGTGAAAAAGATCAAACGTATAAGAAAGACGTTGAAAAAGAGAGGGCTATTTGGAAAGAACTCACTCTCACCAATACTCAACTTGAATCCACCATTTCCAATTTACATTCCGATATTCAAAAAATACAAAAAGAAATGAACGACAATAAGGAACACTATGAAAAACAAATCAAAAAAGAGCAACTCATGATGGATCATGTTCATAAGAATCAAAAATACCTTCAAGCTACCATTGAAAAGTTAATCAAAGCTGAAGAAACGACTGTGAGTTCTCTGACCTGTACTCATTGCTTTCAATTGTTTGAAGATCCTTGTCTCTTAGTGCCATGCAGTCATACCTACTGCTCGCATTGTTGGAACGCCTTACAAGAAGAGAATGAATCGTGTGTTCCATATTGCCCAGAGTGCAATGAAAGTGTGAATGCCTCCGTGAGAGTGGGTGTATTGGATGGATTAGCCAAGAAGTCTGCCTATCGAAAAGAACAACTTCAAAGTGTCTACGAGTCAGTGAAGAAGTTTTTCTCCATTCAGTAGTCCTATAGGATTTTGAATTCCAACAATGGCTTCAAAGATGGGTTGAGCACTTGAGAGTCATCGCGTAGTAGCCTCGTCGTGAATGTGTGTGTTCACGTGTGACATCGTCATCAGGACTGTGTTTTAGTGATGGTTTTTGAAAGAATTTGCTGGAATTGTTCTTTTGGCTTCAACGGTTGGCGCCACTTTAACCTAAAAAAATGGGCAAAAACAAATCTGTAATTTCAAGTGGCTCCAAAGACAGTGGTGGTGCTAGTATAGCATCTATAACTTCAAATCGATCAACATTTTCTACCATGGCATCATCAAAGAGCACGAAAAAGAATACTTCTCAACACCTTAAAAAGTCATCGGCCTCGGTCATTGACTCAAAGAAGGCTCCTTCAGTCTATGATGAAATTTTGAAAACAGCTTTCAAGAAGAAGCCTTTACCATCAACGAACTCTAAAGGACTCCATAACACGGAGAACATCAAGCAAGAAAAGAAGAAGAAGGTACAAGAAACGTTCATTCCAACTCAGGGTAGTAACGATCCGTATATTGAGGTTCCTGATGAACCGCCTTCAATACTAATCTCACATGATCGGAATGATGTTGTTCATCAACATGTCCATGAGTTACATCAAACAATGCCTCTTCAAGAGAGTAAATTGATCGAAACTTTTGATCAAGACATTGCACATCCTCAACCTCTCTCCACCGCTTCTCAAGTTTATCCAGCAATGACGCACTCAATGCCCCAACAGATTCACATCGGTCCTCCCGTGCCTCAATCGTCATCACTACACATAACTGTGGATCAACCGTTCGTCGACGAGAACAACAAATCATTGAATACGCATAACACGCACCAAGATACACCACCTCCAACGATACTCTTGACTGAGCCCAAACAGGCCGTGTCTCATACTCCAAAGTCAGAAACATATCCAGACGCATCCTCAACAAAGAGCCTCAAAGAAAATGCACTCCCAACGCCAGAGCTTCAAACCAGCGTAAAGGAATCAATGGAGCCTTTGGTTCCAATACCCCATCCAAAAGTAGACTCTTCGACCAATCAATCTTTTATTGCTTCAAAAGATGACATTGAACTGTCGCACGGTATCAACAGTTCTGCTAATGTTTCGCGAGTTTTACCAACTGAGACTCCAGTGGAGCGAATTTCAAAAATAACAGAAGAGGAAAAGCTCAAAGTCAAGACGTTCGCTTCAAGAAATTTAAGGTACAATGATCCAGATGAATTATTTAATTTTAAGATCGAAGATGCTGTTACTAGCTGCTCTACCTCTGCTGCAGTAGAAAATGTATTTGTTGTGCCTCAGATTAGTATAGGAGATGTTCATGACATTATTGAAGAGCGTGAGGATTGTAAAAAGAGTGATCGTTACTTGGAGTCACCAAGCGAGGAAGAAGTTGAGGAGGTTATTCCTCACAAATCACAGGAATTAATATTCAATGATGATGTTGTAGTTTTTGAATCACCAGAAGAAGATACCAAAACCTTTTCTACAGCCACTGACGGATCAAGCGATTTTGATTTGCAGGAGGCTGCAGAATTGGCTGTATCAACAGAACGCTTGGAAGAGCATCTTAAAAAAACACTAAATCTTGAAAGAGAGAATCAACTGCTAGAGAGAGAAATTAAACATTTAGAACAAGAAATTAAAACAAAATACAGCGACGAGGTATTTGAGAAGGCTTTTCCTGTTGTTGAAATACTTTCGAAACCAAGAGGATCAAAATCAATAGAACGATATTCTGATGCATCCAGTTCAACAACCAATACAGCAGCGCTAAAACCACGAATTGAGTCGAACGAAAACGATGAAGATTTAAAGTTTGAATTGGAGTTGCTGAAAATTGTTGGAGAAGATTTTAAGAATCGCAAGAAGAATGCACCTTCTTCTTCCACTACGGCTGATACAACCACTCAACCCGTCATACCTTCTGCATTGGCGCCCCCTCCAAACGTGCCTCAAACATTTGCGCCTGTAGAGCCATCCAGTACCTCTTTGCAACAACCCAAGCAAGACGGTTTAGCAACTACTATTTCCACTGTATCTTCACAGAGCCAACGGTTGGCAGAATATAAAGCTAGGCGAAACGCACGAATGAAGCAGGCTCAAGAAATTATTCCAAGTGTTCCAGCAATCCACAACTCGGAACCAAAACAACAAGATAGTGACCATGCAGAGAGTAAGGTTGGAAGACAAACTGCTCCCTCCCTCACAGACACGTTGGCACCAGCTGCTCAACACTCACCAACTGTAACAGACGTTCAGACGCACGTGGAAGTTAAACATTCCCTGGATGACGATAGCAAGTTAAATGCAAAGCTGAATGATCAAAGCATCAACCTGAAACCTGTGCACTCCAACGTTCAGAATAGTGACACCACACAAGAGATGATTCCAAAAATTTCTCCAATCAAAGCTCGACCAGATAAGGGCTTGTCACCACTAAAGGTTTCTCCAAATCGAACAAATGTTACTAGATCTATGGAAAAAACATATGCAATTATTGGAAAGGAAAGCTTTGATCATTCCTCGTTAAGTAAGCAAGAAACGTTGTCGAGAGTAACATATTTGGAAAAGTTTATGAAGGATTTAAAGCGAAAAAAACAAGAAGAGTTGGATTCTTTCGAGCAAAAGTTTTCTCAAATGAGGGCTTACTTTGAAAAACAATTAGAAGCTCGAGACAACGCAGTTCATCATTTAACTCACCAAAATCGAATGTTGAAGGAAAGGTTAACACTCACACAAACTCAAATTGATGACTTGTCCATGGTGATTGAGCACATTTTAGAGTCCCAAGAGAAAATGGAAGAAGCAATCTCGGTCAACAATAGTAAAGTTATAACACCAAGAAAGGGAAGTAGTGAAATGGAAGACGAACCCGTTTCTCCTGTTTCTGGAGGAGGAATATCTACGAGTGGTGAACATCATCACCAACAACAAGAGAATTCAACAAATTTACCACCAGGACCAACCAGTAGCGACTCTCATCTTTCACCAAACACGATAAAGAAGCGCTTGAACAGAGACTTTGAGGACGAATCAGGAAATACCTTACTTGAAACTCCACAATTTTTAGAAAACATTGAAGAAGGTATTAGTGTTGGTCTCAGCAACGATGGGGACGTGTATTTATCGATTGGAAAATCTAGCGTTCCTTTAGGCGAATATATCAAGACACTGTAAATGAATATCACACACTTCCTTTTAAACACATCACTTGTCAAATTTCAACTCAAAACAAAAATCCAAAACTTTCGCTCGGAAACACACACCCGAATCATCACAATCTTGAATTTTCATCACCAACATTGAAAATAGCGGAAAATATCGAAATTTTACCTAGTCCTTTCAACTCACTCGTATGTTGAGTAAATTCAGAAAGAAAACCATTGCATCGACTTCGTCGAATCACAACACGAACCTCGACAATATTCCAAGTGCGAGTGGTGTGATCAAAGATTTAGGAAATGTGGAGCCATCTGTGGGTGTTTGGAAAGATGTGAGCGGAGCACAATTAAATTCCATGTACGTACATGTGTGGTTGTTTTTATAATCATTATCATCATCGTTATTATTTGTTTCCAATGATCATCATCATGATTCAAATCCGATCATGTTGTGGATGATTATTATGAATCATCATCAACCATGTCATGGACAACTCATTCGAACGTCACCAACAACATGATGTTCTTTCTCATCATCCACATTTCACCCAATGTAATATTTGCGACACATTTCTTTTCACACTTCACAATTCACACACCTGACACCTATATTCACACTTCACAATTCACACACACCTTACACACACACACACACTTCACAATTCACACACACCTGACACACACACACACCAATCAGACAACGATCCAAATCCATTCATCGAATTCAAGCTCTCACTGATAAGGAATCTGAACGTTACTACATTAATCAACTCAATACGGCACCTTCCGTTGAAATTGTTGAAGAATTACTGAACTGCATCAAAAGAAAACCCTCTCAATTTTCCTCTAATTTCTGCAATCAATATGGACTCTTTTCATTGAATACATTTCTACTCAAGAATATCATGAGTGTCTTTCAGAAAAAAACAACAAGACTCTCATTGGAACGAAGTAAACAACAAGAAAATACTCGACTCACTGAACAACAAGAATCTGTCTATGATGTTATTTACAAATGTATTGAATGTATGAAGGAGTTGAGTGAGAGAGTGAATTTCAATTTATTTAAAGATAATTTGGATGTGGTCAAGTCGATCTCACTTGTTTTGGGAAGTTCATTTTTCACTCGAGAGAATCGAGTGCACATTCCCATATTGAAATGTCAATTATTAGTATTGAATATATTTACTTGTCATTTACAAAGAGGTGAGTGGGTCAATGTGAAATTTATACATTTGAATGTTTATATATGCAATGCAATGGAATGATTATTTTTTGAATCTATCTATTGAAATATCATTGTATTTTTAATTTTATTACTTGATCATCATATATTCTTTATTGCAACATCTAATTTGGATCGATCTATTATGGAATATTGAATCATCCAATCGAATATTGAATCACCCAAATCAAATATGGAATAATTGACATGATATGAACACAGAGATTAATGACATTACCAATCAAGTAGTTCTTCGAGGCATGAATCACGTATGCAGTGTCTATCAAGAAAGTACTCGATTTTCACATTTAATGTCTGCATTTCGAAAATGTTGCATTCTTCTTCGATCTGCTTCTCTCAATACATTTTCTTCTTCTTCTTCACCTCGTACCAGTAATGCAAGTAGTAGTCATCCCTATTCAAATACTACTACAAATACTACTACAAATACTACAACCACCACCACTACTCTCAAAGAAGACATTCCTTATTGTGAAAAATTTATCATTCAATTTTTACAATTTACAAAATCCCTACTCGATTCAGCCTCTTCTCGACGTCAACATCAATCCGAAGAAAATGGTGAATTTCTAGTGAGAGATTCTTTCGATGATCATCCTCCATCATCCATGTCGACAACAACGACCATGACCATGACGACAACAACAATGAATGGTAGTAGTAGTAGTAGTTGCAATATCGTCCATCATCATGAAATTTCTTCATCGTATCAAATCTCTCAAGAATTTATTCATTTAGGTCTTTTAGATGCTTTAAAAATTATTCAACAAATTGAACACTTGTTGAGTGAAGATGTGAAATTAGCCATTCAATCACTGCTCTCATCCGATGCCATTGAAAAGGAAGATCGAGATGATATGACCAAATATGAATATATGAGTCGACTCTTGAACAAGTTATATTCAAAATTACAACAAAATGATACCTTTTCACACATGATTCATATTTTGGAGAATTTATTGGCCATTTCAACTCTTGTCATGAATCATCAGCCTCTTCATGGTTCCACTATTACAACCACAACCACAACAACCCCAACCCCAAGCACTACAACCACTACAACATTCATGAATGGATTGGATCGAAAATTAATTCAAAAAAATTGGCAATTATTAGAGAAAATTATTGAATCGAGTTTAACACCACCATGGAATCAATCGAGTCCATCGAGTCATGGTATTCTTCTGATGAGTGGAGTGAGTAGTTCAAGTTCAGATCATCACTCTCAAGCCACAACAACTCAACGTCGAGTCGAAGATAAATTCCTCACTCAACAAGAACAAATTAGTTCCTTGCAAACCATTATACGAAAATTAGAGAAAGAAATGTTGCTGCAACACGAGAAATTGAGTCATGCTTTGCAACCGTCGTCGTCGTCGTCGACTCTTTCACAACAGAATGCCATTTCCTCGTCGTCGTTGTCGTCATGTTCGTCATGCTCGTCGTCGTCATCATTGGAATATGAAACCAACACGACCACGTGTCCTACTAAGGCCATGAGTGCGACTCGCTCGAGTTCGAATCATTCACTCGTATCCTCCTCGTGCTGCCAAGATTCCTCCTCGACAACGACAACAACTCATGAAGAAGATTTGGAAAGTTTCAAATTGGATGAATCCATTATGAATGATCATTCCACTACTACTACTAGCGGTAATCCTATGAAATTTGTACAACCTTCTGCTACTACTACTACAACCATCACCACTTCATCATCATCACCCACTCCTTCATCATCCCTCTCATCACCACTCATGAAACATTCTAGTCCTTCGTCCTTGACCAATTCCCCTCGAAAAATGCTACTGAAATCGAGAATTGATCCTGCGGCCATTCCGTCGGATACTGAAATACCAAAACTACAACACATTTCGAGTACAACATCATCACCAATCATCGATGCACAACATCCTTCTACTACTACTGCAACTACTACTGCAACAACAACAACTCCTAGAAAATCCTCTTCTTCATCCATATTCACAGATCCATCTCTAGTTCGAAAATTACACTTTATTCGACTGGATGCAACCATTGATGCTTCAACCTTCCAAAAAACCATGTTTTTCACCAATCAAATTCCTAAAAATCCAATTCCACTCAATTCCAAAGAAGTGATCTATCTCTTTTCTGGAAGACAAATTCCACTCAAAGCTAGAACTCATGTTTTTGATTTCTCAGATAACACGGACAGTGCTCATGTTTCATTCATTCAACCCAAACGCATGCAATACGTTCTCTTTCATTTGGAAAGTATCAAATTATCGACACAAGAAATCAAACAAGGAATTCTCAATTTTGATCGTTCCATGATCAATGATCGAACATTACGAATTTTAGAATTAATTGCACCCAAACAAGAAGAAGTTGATGTGATTCGAACTTTTGAAGGAGATGTCATTAGTTTATCTCCTGTGGATCAATTTTATTATCATTTGAAAGATATTCCTTATTTGAAAGAGAGATTACAATGTTGGATATTTAAGAATGAATATGAACAATCATTGAATGATTTATTGAGTAGTATTGAAACATGTACCAAAGCAGCACGAGAAGTTGTTTCTTCCCAAAAATGGAAAACTATTTTAGGAGTCATTTGGAGTGTTGGAAATTTATTGAATCGAGCAGCAGGAGATGTTGTCGAATGTCAAGGATTTAAAATGAATTCTCTATTGAAATTGAAAGATTTAAAATCTTATAATAACAAGACTCTATTGGAATACATTTCAGAATATTTATTGATCAAGAACGGAGAATTAATGAATTTTGAAAATGATTTATTACATGTTCCTTTGGCGACTCAGATCCAAACCATTCCTATTCGAGATCGAATCCATGAATTTGTACATGTATTTGATCAAATCAAAAGTTTATTATTGGTACAACAATCATTAGGAAAATCCTCAAGTGTTGTTAGTGCTACTACTAGTGCTACTACTAGTGCTACTATTGCTACTACTAGTGCTACTAGTGCTACTATTACTAGTACTATTGCTACTAGTGCTACTATTACTAGTACTATTGCTACCACTAGAAACTCGATGGTTGATGAATCTCTCCATGAGATGGATGCATGTTCGATGGAATTTACACCCTTTGTTGAAACTCTGAAACAAGATTTGGAACATGTGCATGGTAAAATGGATATCATGATGACACAATTAGAACATTTAGCAAACCTGTATGGTGAAGATGTTGAAATGATGAAATTGAGACCACATGTCTTTTTCACAACCATTCATCAATTTACAAAAATGTTTAAAAATCCAAATCAAATCAAACAAGTGGAAGATGAAATTGAGAGAAGAGATTCCTATCAGAGTTGTTCATTTTCAAATTTAGATTCTTACTTGAATTCTTCTTCAATAACAAGCACTACCACACGTGATTCGAATCATCATCATCATCATACCACACCTTCCACCCATTCCCAAAATAGTCATTTACAAAAAACAAATACTCGAGTATCCATTCATCCTCCATCTCAAAAATCAGCAAGTGCTCATCAATTATTGAGTCATTCGAATCAAGATTCTTCAAAGAATGTATCATTGACACGAAAAGGTTCACGATTGGTCATGAATGCTAAATTATTAGATTTAAATGCTCCATTGAGTGAATGGGTTCAACAACAACAGCAACATCATTCGAGTCATACACTAACGACGACCCATTCCAATACTACTCCAACAATGGATTCTCTATTCAACCCTGCTACTACTACTACTACTACAAGTAATAGTCCTATGAATCACCCTCATCATCATCCTTTAGAAATGACTACCCCTTCTTCGACTTCAACAACACTGAAAAAAACTCGATCTCTCAAATCTCTTTTAAAAGATCGAAAAATTTCTCAACTCTTCATTCCACCTCAACAAGATATTAAAAACAAATCGAATATAGAGTCTCTTGGTGCTTTGGAACATGTATCCGATGGAGCAAGTGGTGGTGTTGCAACTCATCATATTTCCGAACAATACATCAAGACTGAAAAGGCTCTCAATACCATTCTTGCTGAATATGGAGTGACTCGAGAAATGATTTCTCTCAAGACAGATGAATTAGAGTTGGAATTTGGACCACAAATTCTCTACATGATCAACAACAACAACAACAATACCACTACAAGTTCAGGGACCACTACGGATTCCAAGTACTTGGAATATCATGCCTATTTGTTTAATCATGCATTATTTTTAGGATTAACAAAATCACAACATGGTCAACCACAACAACAAGCATGGTTCCATACAACACATCACACCAATTTGAATTCACCAAAAGCATCTTCTCAACAATTATATAATTTTAATACTACTTTTATGGATCCTATTGATTTAACAGAATCGACAGATATTCCATCTCCAAAACCCTCCTCTGCATTGAATCCATCTTTGAATGTCATTCCACTTTACAAAATTATTCAATTTGATGAAATGACCATTCGTGCCATTATTAATTCACAAGAATATCAAAATGCATTTTGTATTCAAAACTTTAAGGGTGATGTTGGTGAAATATTTATAGCAGCTGATAAATATTCACGTGAGATTTGGATTGATCGAATTCGAAAATTGATTGAACCTCCATTCTTTTCAGATCTTTGGACGAAACGAATCAATGAAGAAATTCAACAACATTTAAATGAATCAACATTGACAACAATTGATATGAATATAACAAATTCAACAACTAATATGAATATAACAAATTCAACAAATTCAACTCATCGAGAATTAGAAGAATTGAAATGTACTAATACTACTAATACTACTACTACTACCAATAATATGAATCCTATTACTACTACTTCCGTAATAGAAGAAACATCGATTCAATCGTATTATATCATTCCCATCTCTGAATTAAAACCTTTCAAAGAAATTCCAAATACTGAAGAATTTGTAGAATTCAAAGGAAGTACTCGTGAAATTTATTTTGCAACTCTTGAAAAATTATTTCAATATTTAACAGATCCTATTGAACATGATAATAATTTTTTATTTACATTCATGTTGACTTATAAATCATTTACAACCTCAGAACAATTATTAGAATATTTAATAGAAAGATATAATACACCACCACCACCACCACTACCTTCATCTCTCTCTAATGATTCTATCATGAACGATGGGTTAGAATCTTCTATAAATAGTCTCGAATGGAAGAAACAATTATTTGCGATTCGATTAAGAATTTGTCAAATCATCATGTATTGGATTGAAAAACATTTTTATAATTTTAGAAGAGATCCTGAACTTCAAAAACGAATGGATTACTTTATTAGGGAAGTTTTACCACGAACGAAAATGCAAAAAGCTGGTGAACGTATTTTAAATACTTGGGAAGTGAGAAAGGCACAACGAGAGACCTTTTCATTACAACAAATTCAAAGACAACAATTACAAATTGAATTATTGAGAAAACAAATTGATCGAACTCTATTGGAGAATCATTCATTGAGAGAATCTTCATCTCGAAAGACTTCAACATTTCAAAAAATTATTTCTAAATTTAACAATGAAGGAGGAGGAAATGGAATGGATTGGAATGATTCACCTAGTAGTGCTGGTGGTAGTGGCAGTGCTGGTGGCAATGGTAGTAATAGTAGTTCTAATAATAATAATAACACTTCGTTGAGTCCCACCTTGAATGCAAGCAATAGTGGTGGTCTTGCCAATCCACCTGATAATCCACTCTTAGAGACAGCTACAGAAATTGCACGACAATTAACCATGATTGATATGGAGCTATTTATGAGAATTCAACCCAAAGAATGTTTGAATCAATCTTGGTCGAAAGAAAATCAAAAGAAAATGGCACCTAATATATTTGCCATGATTGAGAGAACCAATAATTTAGTGACCTATGTTGCATTTCATATTTTAAAACCTGAGACTGCTAAAGAACGAGCTAAATATATTCATACATTTATCAAAATTGCTAAAGAGTTGAAAAATTTGAATAATTTTAATAGTTTGAAGGGTATCATTGCAGGACTCAACTCGAACAGCGTTTTTCGATTGAAAAAGACATGGGCTCTTGTTTCAGAAAGTAAGAAGGAACAATTTAAAGAATTGGCTAAATTAGTGAGTCACGAAACAAACTACAAGAGATTGAGAGAGGCCATGAAAAATGTTGAACCTCCCACCATTCCATATATTGGAGTCTATTTGTCAGATTTGACATTTATCGATGATGGAAATGTGGATCGCAAAGATTCGAAAATCAATTTCTACAAACAACGTCAACTGGCCAATATCATTAGAACGATACAAAAATTACAAAAGACACCCTATTCGTTTCCATTTCACATTATCAGAACCAAATTGAACAATATTTATTTCAGTAGCATGTTTGATGATGGAAAATTGTACGACATGTCTTTGGAGAGAGAGCCAAGACAGTAGTAAACGTTTTGATGAACCTTTTTAGGAATATTTGTGACATTCACACAGATTTAATTCTTTAATTCTCCAACTTTAAGGAATTGGGTTGGTCAGATTAAACGTAGTACCAACTGAAGCCAACAATCGAGTGTGAGGTCGAGAAGCACCACATTCTCCTTCGCATGCATTAATCACAACCTTGTATTGACCTGGAAACCAGAGCAAGCCAGAGGCATCGTCATCCTTGGTTGAGATGGTGAACTTAATTTCATAGGCACCTGGTTGGAATCCATTCGATTGGTAGAATCTTTGAGTTAAATCATCAACGGAGAAAGGACCAGTCAACATCATGGTGACTTGACCTGGACCAGATTCATTGAAAACATTCAATCTTGAGTAAGCAGTCACAGTACTTCCACACTTGCTCACTTGAGGGACCACACCCGTAGCTGTGAAAGCAGCACACGTCTTGGCAGTGCAGTCATGGATTGGACACAATTTTCCTAACTGACATGCATAAATAGGATCCAAATCTCCCTTCTTAATAATGTCAATGAAGGCGTTCACTCCCATGGCTTCATTCGAAACATTTTACATGGATGAAGTATGACCTTCTTTCATTGTTGTCCATGATTTCAACAACAACTTACCTGTGCACACCACATCACACAACTCAACGGCATACGGACCAAAACTAGACACCGCATTGCATAGTCTCATACAAGAGAAAACCACACCCGAGTCCACGGCAGCCAATAAATCTGCAAGAGCAAAATCTAACAAATCAACACATGAGGAGCAGAGAGGTCCCGACACTCCCATCTTGTTCATAATAATTTCTGGCTTTTTAGGGAGAGGAACCTTCTTTAAGGAAAGCTCAATGATCTTGTGAGCAAGTTTTGGATCTTTCAAGGCTTCCATCTTGATTTGTTCCTTCAATGAAGATACCTTATTGTTGCTGTTGGTTTTGATATCAATAGCGGCATGGACATACAACACACAAAGCACAGAGGCTACCACACCGACAAGGAAAAGGGTTGAGACTTTCATATTTTTTTGTTTTGGGTTGGGACATTTAACGAAAAAGGAAAAATATTGGGTTTATGAACCGAGATCACGACGAAAATGTTTCAAACAGACTGTTCAGAAAACAACGGTGCGTAACAATCGATGTCCAATATTAAAAAGCGAGAGTATCAAACGTTAAGAAATGATCTCCTAGATTACAATTGAAATTTTCTAATTCTATGATTACACGAATCGGCCACAAACACTTCTCCCATGTTGGAAACAAACACACTGTGAGGATATTGAAATTTGGCATCTATGGCTTGACCACCATCACCACTGAAACCACTTTCACCCACTCCAGCAATGGTTGAAATAATTCCATTCACATCTATTTTTCGAATACGGTTGTTAAAGGTATCCGTAAAAAATACTTCTCCCTCATTGGTGACAAAAAGGCTTTCACAATTACTAATTTTTGCATGAATGGCTTGACCACCATCTCCACTAAATCCCATTTCACCCACACCAGCAATGGTTGAAATGATTCCTTCTGTATTTACTTTTCTAATCCTAAAATTATATGTATCTGCAATGTAAATTTCTCCAAATTGTGAAACATGTACACTGTGAGGATATTGTAAATGTGCATGGATTGCTAAAATATCTTCACCATTGTATCCAATTTGACCATTGAAATGATTCCGTCTGAATGGATGGCTCGAATTCGATGATTCATCGAGTCCACCATGAAAATGTGTCCTTGCATTTGTTGGTTCATGTTTGTGGAGTGAACCACAAAAATTCTCATGGGCAAATTGAATTGTGCGAATGAAGAAGCCATAGATCCATCTCCACGAAATCCCCAATGACCCTTCAGTCCTGCGAGTGTTGAAATTCTATTGTGGAGATCAATTTTTCTAAGGACACAATTGTCCGTGTCAGCAATATATACCTCTCCGAGATGATTCACAAACACACTCATTGGCATCCATAAAGACGAGCGAGTGGCCAAATCTCCATCACCAGAATATCCCTTCTCATCAGTACCTGCAATGGTTGAAATAATTCCTTTGGAAATGGTCAATTCTTGAGAGTAAATTTTTTGAACCCAAGTGCTGGTCGATTCTGCAATGAAAATTTCCCCATTGTTGGAAGCGAAAACACTCAAAGGTGTCGAATTGGTCGAGCTTGCAATTGTTGATAAGGTACCGTTGGAATTAATAAATACAGTTCGATTATGGCCAGAATCGGTAACTAATAATTCGTTTTGATTGGTTACAAACACACTGGTTGGATACATTAAATATTCTCCTCCAATGCCATCTCCAACCACTGTTGAAATCATTCCTGCCACATTGATTTTTCTAATTCGATGATTATTACAATCTGCAATGAATACTTGTCCAAGGCTGTCAACAGCCACACTCTTTGGAGTATTCAATTGGGCATCAATGGCTAATAATGAATCACCATTGAATCCACTCGAAGAATTTCCAGCAATGGTTTGAATGATTCCATTTCGATTGACTTTGCGAATTCTATGATTTCCCGTATCGACAATGTACAATTCAAGAGAATTAGACAAGTATACATTTTCTGGAAAACTCAATTGAGCATTTAAGGCTGAACCAAAATCCCCACTCATTCCTGGAGTATTACCACGTCCAACCACTGTAGAAATGATTCCTTGGCTATCAATTTTTCGAATTCGATGATTATAACAATCTGCAATATAAATTTCACCACTAAATGTAACGAATATTCCTTTGGGATGATTGAGTTGAGCGGTTCTTGCCAGCGCTCCATCTCCACTAAATCCAGCAACTCCATTACCAGCAATGACTTGAATGGTTGTTGAAACTTGTTTCGTGATTGAATGTTGATCGGTATGTGACCGATACACATCGCCATGATATTGGTTAACATGAATATAAGAGGGTTGGAATGTGTTCAGGACCAATGAGGCCAACACGGAGCAATCTTGTCCACTATAAAAAGGACAGCATTCACACGTGTTGGAGAAGTACAGACACCATTACCAGAACATACATTGCGAACCTCATTGGCATTCTTTCCAAAACATACTGGTACTTGACAATTCGATCCAGAATAACCATACATGCATTGACATGAATTTGGTGAAACACAAGTACCATGACTTGAACAAACATTGGGATCGTTGGATAACTTGTCATGACAATACACAATCTCACAAGTTGAACCTGTGTAACCGGCTTGGCATTGACACACATTGGGAGAAGTACAACTTCCACGGCCTGAACAAACATTTGGATTGGAAGGGGACATTCCATTGCACAATGGAACACCACAATTCACTCCTGTCCACTGAGAATGACATTGACAATGGTTTGGTGAAACACAATCTCCATGTCCAGAACAGACAAAACTGGTACGATTCGATTCCATTCCAAAACACATGACATGTTCACAAGTTGAACCTGTGTAACCGGCTTGACATTGACACACATTGGGAGAAGTACAAATTCCCGCCGAATTGCAAACGGTAGATTCGTTGGACATTATTCCATGACATGCAGTCACAGAACAAGTCTCTCCAAAATAATTATTCTCACATTGACATTGATTTGGAGCGATGCAAGTACCATGACCAGAACACACCATAGGATCTGTGGTCAATTTGGAAAAACAAGCATAATTATTTAGAGTCTGACATTGAGTTCCGGAATATCCTTGTTGGCATTGACAGGAATTGGGTGCCACACAAGTACCATGACCAGAACATACTTGTGCATTGTTTTCCAAAATTTCAAAACATCTTGTCCATTCACATGAATTTCCTCCATATTCGCTCGAATTGGTACATTGGCATAAATTGACGCTTTGGCAAATTCCTCTTCCATGACACACGTGAGTGCTGTTCGTGGATAAAATACCAAAACATTTGGGAATGGAACAATTGGAACCACCATAATTTTCATGACAATGACATGTATTCACATCGACACAGGCACCATGTTGGGAACAAACATTTGAATCATTGCTCGAAAGTCCAAAACATTTTGGATACTGACAATCGGGACCTGCATAATGATCCATACATTCACACCTGTCTGGAGAGGTGCAATTACCTCTTCCGTGGCATACAGTAGTTCCTCGATTAGAGCAGTGTTCAAATAGAGCGGAGTGCTGATTTTTCAGAAAATTTTGAGTGTTATTTTGTGCTTAAATTGAGCGGAGTCACTAGTTGGAAGAACAGTGTTGTACCTGTTTCCATTGAACATCATCGTCCTCTGAACCATCTTTAGCAAGACCTAACTGCTTTTTTGAATCCGTTCACCACAACTGAGTCAGGTACATCCTTCAACGCATTGGAAATCCATTAGAATAAGTTTTTTGGTTACGCTATAGAAATTTTCTTGAGTACCCTTCTCAATTCTGTCAGCCTGGTTGTCATACCGCTCACCTTGTAGTTGCTTGTAATTTGATTTGAACGATCTATTCATGGAAAGATCACACATCTGCATAACCTCGCTAGCATTCTTTGGTAAAGGCAGAATGGTAATGTCTTTGACCTTATCCCTTAGTAGGTCAACTATTGGTAAGTGGACATGACTATCTAAATTATCGAATGTGAGGAGTTTATGACCATCAAGGCTCTTTAGGAAAGGAATTAATACCATGTCACAATACTCTTTCATCCTAGGTCTATCCATCCACGCTTTCTCTTGTGCTGTAAACTTCACGTTGGGCTTCATAAAAAGATGACTCGGTGCATTCATACTTGTTGATTGCTGCAGTATTGCCATGTAATTTAGCGTAAGCCAGTACTTCTCTCTTCTCTTTGACGGACCAAACTTTTCTCTTCTGCTTGTGGCTGGATTTTGCAGGCATTTTTTTGATGGTGGGAAAAAAGTGTAACGAACACTCACTATTAGAGCGGAGACCTCAAAAATTCCTAAAGCTCCGCTCTAATCGAGGAACTACTGTACGTTTGAAACTAGTGTCGCCGAGTAGCCATAACATTTTGGAATTTCACATTGAATTCCAGACCACTGAGAATCGCATTGACATTGATCAGGAGCGAGACAAGTACCATGACCAGAACAGACCATTGTTGGATCCATCAAGTTGAAACATTTGGGAATGGAACAATTGGAACCACCATACAAATGATTACATTCACACGTTTGAGGACTCACACAAGATCCATTTCCACTACAAACTCTAGAATCATTGGAAGGAATTCCATAACAAGTTGGAATTTCACAATCAGAACCTGTGTAATTGTTGGAACAGAGACATGTATTTGGAGCATTGCATGAACCATGTCCATGACATACATCTGGTGCACTCGCGGCCTTATTATTACAAATAGCTTCAGAACAAAACTGTCCCGTGTAACCTGTTTGACATGAACAAGTATCGACTCCTGTACATGTTCCATGACCAGAGCAAACATGGATGAGATCATTGGAAGCAATTCCATTGCATTTGGGAAGTTCACAATTACTGCCTGTGTAGTTCCATGAGCATTGACAAGTGTCAGAGGCAGTGCATGTACCATGGCCTGAACAAACATTCGAATCCGTACTGGCTAATCCATAACATGTGATGGGCAGCATTTCACAGTTCGATCCACTATAACCCGAATGACATGAGCACGAGTTAGGTGCTCCACAAGTACCGTGTCCTGAACAAACGGTAGGATCCGTTGCAGGTATGGAGGAACACGTGAATATATCACAATTAGCACCTCCATATCCACTTTGACACGTTATTGAAATCTTTCGAATTCGAAGATTGCCATAATCGGAAAAAAAGATGTCTGAACTACCATCAGGAATAGAGAGGGTCATTGGTCTTTTCAATTGAGCATTTTGAGGTAAACCTCCATCTCCTTGAAAAATGTTATTTCGTAGATGTATCAATGTATGTTATTTCGTAGATGTAAATATTTGTTATTTCGTAGATGTAAATATTTGTTATTTCGTAGACGTATCAATATATGTTATTTCAAAGATGTATCATCCAAATGATTTGAGAAATATTCAAAAACATGTGCACTCACCTGCAAAGGCTGCAGTTCCAGTACCAGCAACTGTGGAAATGATACCATTCCGATCGATTTTTCGAATTCGATTATTGACTGCATCTGAGATGAATATCTCACCGAAATTCGATACCACGACACATGAAGGACTATCTAATTGGGCTGAAGTTGCAGCAATATTGTCTCCGTTATATCCATTCGTACCTGTGCCTGCAATAGTGACAATAATTCCATTCGTTTTCACTTTTCGAATGACATGAGCATAATAATCAGCGATATACACCTCTCCCGATTTACTCTCCACAAAAACATAATAAGGCATGTAGAGTTGAGCACTAGTTGCTAATTGATTGTCGCCTGTGTTTCCTTGAACACCTGTTCCTGCAAAGGTTGAAATGTATCCATTCGCATTGACTTTTCGAACTCTACCCCATTCAGCAATATACATTTCACCAGATGGAGTGACAAAAACACTTCGAGGTAGACTGAGTTGTGCATTCTTGGCCAATTGACCATCGCCAGCTGTTCCAAGAGTTCCTGTACCAGCTACCGTCCATATTTTACCACTCGTATCAATTTTTCGAATACGATGATTCGTATTGTCAGCAATGTAGATTTCACCTGAAGAGGTAACAAACGTATTTTGAGGAAGATTCAATTGTGCAGCAGTTGCAGCAATATTATCACCATTATAGCCATTCGTACCTGTGCCTGCAATGGTGTTAATAATTCCAGTTGAAGATACTTTTCGAATACGATGGCTACCCGATTGATCTGAAATGTACATTTCACCACTACTCCTTACAAAGACACCAATAGGAGCTCGTAAGTTTGCACTTGTTGCTTGTCCATTATCACCTATCGTATGTATGTACAATTAACATGTTTTAGGAAGAACATTTTCATGTTAGGAATGTGTTGTTGTGAATATATTTCATGTGCTGCACTCACCTGAAAAACCAGCTGTTCCAGTACCAGCAACTGTGGTAATGGTTGCACTCAAAATGTTTCCTGCAGTAACTACATGTTGTGCAACATGCAGCATGAAGAGTAACGTGAAATACAAAAGAATGAAACAAGATGAGACGCCTGCAGCAGAAACATGCATTCTTTTTAAGGGAAGAAACGGGGATGCAGTCATCCATGTGTTGTTGTAGTAGTACTCATGTAACATGAACTCGTGTTGCGTTACCACAATTTTCCGTCTCAAAGAACATTTAAAGACACACGAACAAGCGAACTGCCGGCAGTCCTTCCTTAGCCATCGATAATTAAGGAAGACTTACCTGCAAAGACTATCCTATTTGGTATCGTGTTGAAATCGGCGCAACCCTCGTTCACGTTGTACATGGTTCATTCAACAACATGCAATGGTTGAAAACGGTCCTTCCACAGTTTGGGTTGTGTCAGAACGAGTCCATGATATTCATATTGCAATCGTCGTTCTAATAATTGTTCTTTCCACTCCAATGTAAAACCATGTTTACATAATGCCAAGTCTTTCAACTCTTCATCTTGTTGTAATTCAACACTTGCGAATAGTAATGCATATCCACACGATTGAACAGCATTCTGCACGACTTGTCGATCTCCTCTCACCGATTGTAAATGAATCACGTGGAGGCATGCACCGCCATATTGTTTCAAGGCGCGTTTTGCTCGCTCTTCGTCCATCGCAAGAGGACGTAACCAATGTGTGACCACTGGATTACACATTCGTAACTGCCAGTGAAATTCTTGGTCGTTTAAAAATTTGGAAGGAATTATACAAGTGACAAAGGAAGCATTCAGAGCCACTGCATTCAATAAGAATTCTTTCATTTCCTCATCCGAAATGTCCAACCTTTCAATATCATGTCTCAATTCTAAAGGAGCTGAAACTGTATCGAGGGTGGATAACTTTTCAAGGACTTGCCATAAAAATTCCTTACTTTTTCGTTGTTCAGGTAAAAAATTCACATACAAATTGGGATCCATGGTAAGAAGGACATGCATCACAAATGATGAATCTCTTTTCAAATCTTCATTCACATATTGTAAGAGATTGGGTTTTTTCGAATAATTCGGTAACACTAGACTCAGGAATTCCTTATTCGATCTCAATTCCAAACTGGCATGTTTGAGTGCGAATGGATTTTGTTGCATGGCGAGTTGTACCACGTGTGGATCATTACGTAACTCCTCTGAAGCAAATTCCAACAAGTATCCATTCTGTTGAACGAGTTCAGAAATGAATGAACGATCGCTTCGAATGGAGTGAGAGGCATATCGGAGTGCAGTGAAATCTCTTCGCATGGCTCGCAAGACAATGTCCTTATTATTTTTTGCATCTTCTTCCTTGGATTCCAATGTATTATTTTGTGGATGATTATATATGGATGGATTCAAAAACAACATTGGAGAAGGTTCATTGCAACTCTGAGAGGAAACTTGTTGTGAGAGGAATTGTTGAATCTCCCATTCATCCCAACCAGTATATTTGAAAATGGAATTTCCACTGGTTTGAAACGCTGCCAATATCACCTGTGGATCTCGTTTCAACTCGTCATGGTTACAAAATTCGAGAGCATGTCCATCTTCCTGCACTGCTGCTAACACCATTGCTCGATCACTTCTCAAATGCTCAGAAGCGAATTGCAAGGCATTTCCATTCTCTTGTACAGCCTTCAAAACCAGAATTGGATCATGATGATGGAACATGGATTCAACGTTTCTAACAAATTCCAATGCCATTCCATCTTGTTCCAACACACTGGCAATAAATTCCCAATTCGACAATAATTGAGAAGAGGCATAGGAAAGGGAATGAGGTCCTCCATAAATCACTGCATTCAACACAATGGAAGGATCGTTTCGTAGCGACTCGGAGGCATGGCGTAAATTTTCTCCATCAAGCCTTACTGCTTCCAACACGACTTGTCGATCATTCTTTAAGGCTTCAGAAGCAAATTCCAATGAGGATGGATGTTTTCGAATCACTCGTAACATCATGTCCTTATGATTTAAAAAGGGATGATGCTTTGGTATCAAGAGCAAAATATCAGCACCAGCCTTGGAGCACAATAATTGTGCAATGAATTCGTGATCATGGTCGAGTAAACTCTCACTGCTGTGGTGCTGCTGCTGCAAGAACCATTCGATCAATATCTCTCGAAGGAATCCATCGATAAAGCCTCTACAAGACTGTACCGCTTGTAAAATAACTTGTTGATCGTATCGAATCGATGGAGGGCAATAGCATAAAAGATCATGTCCCAAAAACAAACGATAGATGGGCATCTTTTTCATGAGATTCAATACGAAGGACTTGTGACAAAATTCAATATCCAACGGGTTATGATAATAATTGTTGTAAGAATTTCGATTAACGAAATGTGTCAACACTTGTTCATCATTCGAGAATTCAATGGGCAAGTAAATATTATTCGAGAATGAGTTGGTTTTGAGAAAGGCTTCTTTGTTGTTGTGCCATTTAAAAAATCCGAGAGTTTGATTTTGAAATTTTGTTTTTAGTGCTAGTTGTTGCTCCGAATGGGATTGGTCAGCAATAATATCAATTAAATGGACATGTACTAAATCTTCATCGAGTAGACATTTGAGTGCCATGGTTGACATTTTTTAATCACTGGCTATTGTAAAGTGGGCTTTACCTAAAAGGTTTTTGCTTTTGAATTGTAAAAGCTCATGAACTAGTTCCTTCAACAAAAACCAGTAACGACAGCAACTGAACTCGATTGGAACTTGACACCAAAAAAATGGTTGCCTGCAATAGCACGGCCGTTGCTGCCGAATCCTTGCAGTGGGAATTTTATGACGATTTACTGTCTCATATTTTACAATATTTATCAACAAAATTTCTCTTGAGAGTGTGTTTGTGTGTTTCTAAACAATTTCATCGAGTTGTTTTGAACATTCCGAATTTGGAATTATCATCAGAGAGTTGGAATTCATTTCCTACACCTATCACTCGTTTGAACTTTCTTCATTTTATCAAATCGAGTCATTATTTAAGAAATTTAAAATGGACCTTGTCCGAACTCTCCAACTTTTTCTCAACTGAAGATTCAAAGAATAAAATGCACAGTTTATTTCACGGGTGGCCAACTCCTTCAGTAAAAATGACCAAGATTCGAGACAAGATTCTTTACGAGCGCACTTTTATTTTTTACTCGATTTATAACACCGACCATTTTTCAAATTTTGTTTCAGAGTTGAACTGTTCTACAATTAAGCATGCTGAAACCAAGATTTTCATTTGGTAGGAGATTCTTTCCCTATAGTGTCAGATTCTTTTGTTTGGTATTGTGAGACCTAATATTCAATTAATAACAGCCGTTAAAAAAAGGTGTCTCTGACTTTAGCTGAATTAAACATAAAGCCCGTGTAAAGTGCAAACAAGCAACATGAAATTCTAGAACAACAGACCATCTTACACTCAAGGATGTTCTATTTGTTGTGCACTTTTGACGGGCTTGGTGTTATTTTCAAACTCTTCTCAATCACATTGTACTCCACAAATTGAAAATTTTTGTTAACACCCTTTTCTTCGAAGAGAAGTTCGAAAACATTTTAGCAACAATTTCACAACACATTTCTCAATGTAAGAGTTGTGGTTTGAGAGAGATGGTGTTGATAATGACGAAGAGGGGTAAGGGCCCCTTCAATACTATACCACCCTGGACGTGACAAAGTTTTACGACGTTACCACCACGGCTCTTGTAATGCCAATTCAACTTATTGACGCCCCAAAAATTAAGTAGTGTTTCCCTCACGTGTCAGCAACAAAATATTGCATTGGCAAGTTTTGAGGGGTTGAAATCATTATAAAATCGTACTATGATCGTAGTTTTATTAAAAATCCCCAGCGAAATTCTCTCTTGCAGCTTGTTTTGTTCACGAAAAAATACGCTTGAGTTGGCCACCCGTGGTTTATTTGTGCGATGTTTTTGTCATTCATTTCTGAATGGTTGAAATTTGAATACCAAGTTGAGCGCAGGCGAAACACGGTTGGATTTTAACACAATGCTGAACGGAATGTTGACTGAATATTTCAACACATTAATTAGCTATTCTCAACATCGTCCAAACTCTCGGTTTGGCTGTTTCTTGAATGGTGTAAGACATTCTCTCTCAAACCAAGGTCGAAACTGCTTTTGCTAATCCAAATGTCTCATATTCTTTTATCGTGAACTTTCAGAAATATTACTAGTCTTTCATGATTTCACTGTTACGATTGCTTGATATTTATGAAATGCATTCTTTTCTTGAAGGAATAGAATGTCTTTTGATGAAACCATCACGTTCTGCGTTGTTTTTTATTTCTTTCTTTCAAGAGGACTGTTCGAAGAGATCCATTAAAGAGGATGTAGAGAGGTTGAGAAAGTTTAGCCTGTTGAACTGTGAAGAAAGAGTGGGAAGTGGAAACTGATTGGTAAAAAAACACGTCTCAAATTCCGGTTCAACTTGTTAAAATTTTCAACTTTCTCAACCAAATTTTTTTTGAAACGGAAAAACTGTGTGTCCTGTTTGCACTGATGTTTGAGAAGTTCGGACAAGGTCCAATCATTACAATGTGATCTTGGAGAAGTGGATGTTTCACCCTTGACAGAATGTGAAAATTTTAAAAATTTAACAAGTTTACAAATTCGATCGACCTCTGCAACTACATTCGAAAAACTCGCTCATAGTTCCAATGTAACAAAATTGAACAAATTTATGTTTGGTTTCGGCCTCTATAATGATCAACTACCAAATATTTCGGTACTTCAAACTCTAGTTCAAAGTCAAAATTTTTCAAACCTCAAAGAATTTCATTTGGAATTTACTTGTTTTCATCAAGATATAGTGAAAGTCATAGCTGAAAGTCCAGTGTTAAAACTTTCAGGAAATTTAACAGTTTTATCATTGGGTCGATTAATCATTGGATTGGAAGATGCACACTATTTTTCTCAATCTGAAGCATTTAGAAATGTAAAAACATTACAATTGAAAGAATGTTATTTGGATTCTCCTCGCTATCAATTATCTCAAGGCCTTTCTATTCAACATTATTATTCCATATCCAAAAGAAACGAATGTATTGGAGGTATGGGATTAATAGCTCTTGAAAAGAATGGTCTCTTTTCAAAAAATCTCACTTCATTGACCATTAGTAGTTCCAATCTCTTCGCTGCTGATTTGAAACAAGTTATTTATTTTGAACAATTGAAAACCTTAAATCTGTATCGAAATACAAACATTGGTTCCATTGGTGCTCAATATCTTGCAACGAGTTGTGAAAATTTGAAAACATTGACTTGTTTAAACTTGTCCTGGTGTGAAATTGGAGATGAAGGATTCATGTACTTGATTCGATGCCCCTATTGGAATCATCTTGAAAAACTTTCAATTTCAAGAAATACCATTCGAGAACCACAAACATTTCAAGCTCTTGGTGAGGATGGAGTTTTATTACAACAACATTTATCCTCTCTCGATCTTACTTGCAATGATATTGAAAATGATGGAGTTATTGCACTTGCACAGAGTTGTGAAAAATTTCAAAACTTGAAACATTTGTATTTGAGTGCAACGAGTCTCAACGAACCAGCTGCGAAGAGTGTGTTGAATGGTGAAAAATTTTCGAAATTGAAAACCTTCTCTCTACATGCTGTATGTAATCATGAACTCTATTGTGAGTTAATCATGAAGAAATTTCCAAAAAGCAATGTCTATGGATTTTTCAAACAAGCTGATCAACAGCAAACGTGTCAAATTTATTAAAAAATAAAAAAATATTTAAAAAAAATTTTGAAACTCGGAAGTATGACGACTTGTCGTGGCAATGATGATGATGACGAAACGAAACTGATCATGACACATCCTGTCCAGTCCTATACACGAGTCAAGTTATTAGGAAGTGGTGGACAAGGAAGTGTAACTTTGGTGAAAATTCAAAAACAAAAGAAGAGGTCACGTGCATTTTCCTCATTCAGTACAACAACAACAACAACAACGAATACAAATATAAATACAGCAGCAGCAACAACTACTAGCACCACCACGTCGACCAACACGACATCTCATCGGAGCAGTGAAGAAATTTATTCTCAAACCACAGCAACAGCAACAACAACAACAACAACATTTGAAAATGATTCACAACCACAACAACAACCACGCGAAGAAGAACAAATAATTACGATTGAAAAATATAGAGCTCTCAAAAGAATATTTTGTATCGGATTGGATCAATTAAATTTAGCTCTACGTGAAGCACAATCAGTGTTACAAATTGGTTCTCATCGAAATATTGTAAAATGTTATAATTTTTTCATTGAACGATCGGAACATGTCACAAATAGAGGATTGGAACATGTTACGACGATTGAAAATGAATGTGTTTGCATCATGTATGAATATTGTGAAAAAGGATCTCTTGCCGATGTCATTCGATCGAAACGAACTTCAAACAAAATTATTCCATGGAATACTGTTCTCGATTTTTTCAAACAAATTTTGTGTGGAATTCAATTTATTCATCAAAATAATATTTGTCATAGAGATATGGTAAGTTTCAACACAACAAAGGATATTATATTTAAAGAACTTGATGAATATTTAGAAACCTGCAAATGTCTTTCTAAGTTCATCCACTCTCGATCATACCTGGGTGTTAAAAATTGGAGATTTTGGATTTGCCAAAGCAGTGACAGAAACATCTCAAAGTATGGACACAGTGTTAGGAACTCAAGCGTTTGTCGCTCCAGAAATTCGACAATTTCATCCGTATGTTTTATTAATCGTTTCAATATTGTTGTGAATTTGTGAAATGTTGGAAAATAGTTATACGACAGCGGTAGATATTTGGGGAATTGGATGCATACTCCTCGAAATGTTACTTCCTAAAACATTTGATTACTCGTACGAATGGGCTTTTAATTCTGGAAAAACAATTGTAGATCTCATCAAGAAACGATATCCAGAAGAAGAAATTATTGATTTGATTCATTTTATCATGAAAATGAATCCTAACGAAAGACCGAATGCCACTCAAGTTTCGAGTTATATTTTGAAACAGTAGGTTGAAAACAATTGTTTTACCTTTCATCAAATGTCGTCGACTACTACTTGTGTGCATGATCATCATCATGATGGACCATTCGGAATTTATAAATTCTCTCAATGATTGACAGTATTGAACATGAAGAGATTCATGAACAAGAAATGATGACAGCTCTTCAAACACTAGCTCGAAATAAGAATCAAGAAAAGGAAATTCTCATCCTCAAAACACAAATACAATCGTTGCAAGGTCAAATTCATGAACGTATGTATTTCACACATTCTCAATATAGATTGTAGTGAGAATCTCCTTGAAAATTTTTTTATGTATGAATGAATATATACGTTTCAAAATATATATGCACCAATAGTACAACACATTGTGGAACAACAAGAAGAAGAAATATTTTACTTTAATCATCCAGAACTGATTCCAACACGATCATCTTCATTGGTCAATGCTCCTTCTGGATCTACTACTTCCTCATCATCATCATCCAATTCAATAAGCACCAATCCACCAACCATTACTGATACATTTTTAAAGAATATTTTTAATCCAACGAACAAATCCTCCATGTATGAAAATTCATACAATCTCAAAATAATTCCCTTTAAAGATTTCAAAATAGATCCTTCGATACCACCTGTGACTGGTTCATTATTTATGATTACATTTGGCATTGTTAAAACTAGAGAAATTAACAATGGAGAAGAAACCAAAGTTGCGTTAAAAACACTCTTAACTCGTTACAAGACAGATTTAGATCAAATTGTGAAAACATTGGGATTGGAATTTAATTCAAAAATTTCACATCCAGCCATTGAGAGAATTTATGGATTGACCAAAAATGGAAAAGAATATTGTATCATTGGAGAGCCATGCATTGGAGGAAATTTGAGACAAGTCTTATTGAATAGAAACATTGGAATTACTTTTTCTATGAAAGTAGATTATTGTTATCACATTTCAAGTGCATTACTCTATTTATATGAACAGAATCGTGCTATTGGAGCACTCTCCCTCTATCATATTGCTGTAAGTTTTGTTAAATCTATTAATATATATCATTTCACACTATTCACACCCACACCACTACGATCCATTCATTAATTTTGAAATTATTCGTATTATTCACCCCTTTTTCATCTTGATTGATTCTATTTCCAACCAACACGTTCACACTAAAATAATGATCAATTTTGAAAATATTATAATTTTCTGCATTCCATGGATTCCATAAATTCAAAACAACAAAACACATGGATTCCATCAATTCAAAACACACCAAGCTCAATGAACAATTAACACTTCCAAAAATTACTACTTGGCACACCTCTTTCGAATTGACACCCAATGACAAACGTGTCGGAGTCATCAAATCACTCAAACAATTAGCTGGAATTTGTTGGTGTATTTTAATACGAGAAAATACGGAATCGATTCGAAACTTCTTTAAAAGTCATGATCAATTCTGTCCTGACATTCCTCAAGTCATTCAAAAGTATTTATCACCACCCGTACCAACACCTCAACAAGAATTGTGGATTTATGAATATATTGAAATTGTGAATACATGCTTTTCACTTTCAGCTTCACTTGGCAAGATGAATAAGGAAGATGCCTCAGATCATGAACTCTTGAATGGAACATTTCGAAAAATTGTATTTAGATGGGGAAAGTTAAGAGATGCTATTAGTAGTAATAGTAGTAGTAGTAATAATAATAATAATAATAATAATAATTCCAAATAATTGTCATGCATGAATGTACATTCAATTCCATGGTTACAATGACAATGATATTTTATTAATTTTGACAACGATTAAGCTGGTACACTGATTGGTCCGTCCTCTTCGGAATAATCTTCTTCTCATCAGCAACCTCAGGAGAAAAAATGTGGATCAACAGCAATAACGATACACAGCAACTTCGCCGTTTGAATGTATTGGCCAACCATTTGAATATTGCCACTACTACTGATCACAACAATATTCAGTTATACCCATCTTCATCATTGGATCATCATGGTTGGCTTGCCATGAATGAAACGGCTGCTCTTGGGAAGGGAATGTTGAGTGCCACCCCGATCCAAGGAGGCTCCTTCAACACTAACAGCCTAAATTCTTCAACTCCATTGACTTTAACCGACTCGGAAACAGAACAACTTGCCAACACAATCATACGTGGAGATTATAGAGAATTGCGTCAGACTCTCTTCACCTATTTCCAACAACATGCCGATTATTACAAGATATTTTCAGGATATGACATGTCTTTGGACGATGCAAGACAAAAGAGTCATGATCGAGCCATTCGAATTCTGAAAGAGAAATTTGTCTCTCCATATGACATTCTCAAAGATCCACTCAAAATTTCAGTGTTTATGAATTCAATTCCAACCGATGCAAGTACTTTGGTCAAGTTGTCGGTGCATTTCAATTTATTTGGTGCTTGTATTGCACACTTGGGAACCAGTGAACAATTAGAGAGATGGTTAGGACCAAAAAGTGATTTTTCTGAACGTCTTGGATGTTTCTTAATGTCTGAATTGACACACGCAAGTAATGTTCGAAAACTTGGTGTCACTGCCACCTATGACAGAGCAAGAAATGAATTTGTACTTTATACACCTGACGAGGGAGCACAAAAGTATTGGATTGGTAATGCTTACAAATCTGCCACGAAAGGAGTTTTATTTGCTCAGTGTATTGTCGATGGTGTGAATCATGGTGTTCATGCATTTGTTGTTCCAATGAGAGATCCATCCACAATGAAAGTTTATGACGGTATTCTTGTGAGAGATGTTGGAATCAAGATGGGTCTGAATGGTATTGACAATGGAATGGTTGCTTTTAATAACTATAGAATTCCAATCGATCACTTACTCTCCAGATATGCACAAATTAAGGATGGTAAATATGAGACTTCGATCAAGAATGATAATGTAAGATTTGCTAAACATATTGGAGCACTTTTACAAGCTCGTTTGGGTGTTGGAACTGGATGTTGCAATGCTCTTCAAATGTCATTAACTACTGCTATTCGATATGCCCATAGAAGAGTTCAATTTGGTCCACCACCACCCAAAGATAAGACAAAATCTAAAAATGAAGAAGAATGGCCACTCATCAAATACAAGACTCATCAAATGAGATTGATGCCACTTGTAGCTGAAGCATATGCTTATCACTTCTTTGCTTCTTTCTGTATGAAGAAGTATGAAGAGTACATGATTGGTGGAAATAGAGATGATCTTCTTAAAACTGTTCACTTACTTGCTTCAGCTTCCAAAGTTCAGATCAGCTGGAGAAATCTTGCCATCATTCAAGAATGTAGAGAGGCTTGTGGTGGTCAAGGTTACCTCACCAGAAATTTATTACCAATATTGAGAGTAGATAGTGAAGCAAATGTCACGTTGGTATGTTTTTTAACAAGTGTGAAATTCTTTGGATTTATTTTCTTTATAGGATGGTGATAATCATTTGCTTCTTTATCAAATCTCTGGTGTCTTGCTCTCTGAATATGCAAAACAATTTGCTCCTTCCAAAGACAAGAGTTTGTTGACTACTGTTTTGGGACCTGGATTGAACGCAGCCAATGCATTGTACATTCTTGGAAAAGAAAAGATCAATGATTTGTGGAGAGACGGATTATTGAAACATTATGCCAATACCAATGAGGAGCATTTGTTGTCAAAAGAATTCTTATTAGGAGCTTTGCAATTCAGAGAAAACAGACTTGTCCATACTTTGGCCGCTAAAATGCACAAGACTTCTCAAAAATTCAAGATTGAACAACACATGTCTAATGGAGAAGCACAATTTGCAGCACATAATCTTTGTTCAACACATAGCCTTCAATGTGGTAAAGCTTACTGTGACAAGATTATTGCAAAGATTTTCTTTGAAAAGGTAGAATATTTAAAGACAACATTGGGCTCTCATAGCAACATTTACAAAGCTATGCATACTTTGAGTTGCATTTTCGCCATGAGCATTATTATCAATGATCCATTCTTCCTTGAAAAGAAGGTGATTGGTGCCACTAAATCCAAGGCATTGAAGAGATTGAGAGAACAATTGGTGTCAAATGTGACTCACTGTTGCTTATCCTTGGTTGATGGCTTTGGCATTCCAGATTTTGTATTGGAAGGTTCCATCGGCTCTCGCAACGAAAATTATGTTGCTTTGAATGGATACAACCACAAAATTGTTGATGTTTAACATTAATAAAATAATTTATCTTCTATCCAGTCAAGTTTCTTATCAAAACTAGTGAAATCTGGATTATGAGTACAATAGGTCAATATTTCTAGTTGAAGAAAGGAAAGTCATTTAGCCCAGAAATGGTGTATTTGATCCATCGCACATATTGTGCAGGCACATAGTAGAACCAAAGCTTATTGGTGGTTGATTGACCGATTTGGAATCCCATAATATGATAATCTGCATTCGAGTGAATGGGCTCAGTATCAATATATCTAATTGCAGCGTAAGGAATCTTTTCAGTGTTCGACTTGGATTGAATCCACAATTCACGTAAATCTTGTTTGAATGTGAATCTAATCTCTTCACCTCTATTATTCAAAATGCCATTAATTGGTTGTGTGACTGCAAGCTGTTCATGTTAGCAATTTCAAAGGTTAGAAAAAGAAATATTACGAAACATACATCCTTGCTTTTGTCTCCTTTTTCAGCATGTTCAGGAACACCCTTGTCAATATATTTTTTGTGTTCCTTTTCAAGTAAAATTCATGAAATGTCAAGAAGTGCAAAAAGATGGTACAAATTCCTTCTGAATCATGAAATCTCGAGACTATTACACAAACTTACTGGTAATTGAGAAATTTTCAAAGTGACTGGGGATGATGGTTCATTGGATTGTGACGAGGAGGTGGTTCTCTTTGGCTTACTTGAAGAGGCTTCAATAATTTGCTCCAATGTTGATCCCATCAATAATATTTTAAATTTTGGAGCATGAACCAATCCTAAATCTTTGATCTTTGCTCCGTCATCCTTTAAATTTGGCTTTTCCTTGGTTTTGAATAATAATTTCTGCAGACCAATCGGAACTTGAGTCTTTTTTTGAATTTCTTCCTTTAGTTGTTTTAAAGTAGAATCTCCACTCAGTTCCACTGTAAATACATTCTTTGAGTGTGTTACTTCAAAGCAGTAGGTTGGTGTTGATGATGTTGCATCTGTTGATGTACTGTTCTCTTCTGAAGACATGATTAATCTAGATTTAATTCGCTTATCATACAAAAGTACAATATTAGTATTAATAACAATATAATTCTTGATGATCAAGATATTTTCAATCCGAACACAAAAAACCAATCACAATCGTGAGCTGGAAACACGTTCCACTTTAAGAGGAATTGTAAATTTTTTTTAGATTTTAAAAAATACGCAAGAACTGTTCTTTGAGCTCCCAATTAGGCCTTAATTCATCCAATTCTTCTTTTGGAGTGAACAACAACTAGAAGAATAGAACATTTTTGAGAGAATTATTGCTTTAACAAGATGGATACAATTTTTCCAAGCTCTAATCCCGCTTGTTTGTAATCCTTAGAATGAAAACTCTCCGAAGCACTCTTTAAATCATGAGCCAAATCAAATCCATGATGTAAAACATTGACCAATTCGTGAGAGGTAATTTTAAGAATACCTTTGGGAGATTGTAATGATTGTGCAATTTCTTTCATTCGATCTACAGTTTCTTTCACGTAACAATTTTGCATGACTTGTGCCAGTTGGGAAATTCCGTTTCCAAGAGATTGAAGACCTTTCTCGATGCTTGTAACATCCACATTAGAAAAACCAGTTTGAAGCTCGGAAAACGCTTCTTCGAATTCGTCTAAGGTTAAGTGGATGGATCGTTCACATGCTCCGTTGGGATCTTGAGCAGCTGTCAAAAGTCAATCACAGCAGTTGAAATTCCAAAAGATGTTGAAGGTCAGTAATTATGACTTACCATCTCCACCAATGCCAATTGTAAATCCTTCGATAAAGTTCAGAACCTTCTCGGGTGTTTTTTCGTGTGGTGGTATTACTTCATTCTTTCAATTATTTCAGAAATAAATCATTGATGAAAAAGAGATCCAAAACGTACCGACGAAGGTTTTAAAGGATCATTTGTTGGTAATGATGGTTTTGAAGCGTTTGATGTGGAATTTGGTTGATTTGATGTTTTTGAATTTCTGTGAAATTTGGGGATCAAGAAATAGGCTGCTACAGCTGAAGCAACAATTCCTAGATACATTGATTTATTTAATCGATGACATGTTAAAACTGAAACACAAACCTGCAGCACCAGCGGATAACAAGAATACCTTGTGATCAGCGACGAACCTTTTTGCTTCGTTCCACATTTTTAATTGCTATAAATATTAAATTTATTATTAAAAAATTAATTCGCATAACGTTCGCTGACATCATTAAATACTCATTGAATGCTGAAAACTAAAACTCTTCTCTATGGACACCAGGACTTTGTTCGATCTCTCGCTGTATGTCCCAACAAACACACGACAATATCGGGATCCAATGATCACACCATTCGAACTTGGGATCATGTGAGAGGATTTTGTGATCGAGTGTTGATGGGTCACGACTCGACCATTAATTCTCTAAGTGTGATGAATAATAATAATTTAATAATTTCTGGAGGTGCAGATCATACAGTCAGGTGAGTCATCATGATATTTTGTATGGAATTCAAAAGAATTATTTGTTTTGAAATTTTAAATTTTCGGAGAGAATAGAATTTGGGATACTCGTAATCCGATCGGAAGTGAATGTGTTCATATGGTGAGCCACGTCAGTGATGTCCATGATGTTACTTGTTGGAATGATTTGAATACCACGAGTGATGAAAATTACAAATTTGGAAATGAGTTTGTGATCTACAGCGTTGGACAAGACATGAAATTAAATATTTGGGATTTAAGAAAGATGTCAAGCTCGAGCAGCACACAACACTCGAATGTCAATAGTTTTGGATTTTCAAATGACCATTTTCACTATTCAAATAGTGTCATGAGTGGACAACAGCATTCTTTTGGGAATACCAACAATTATTATGGAATTGGTTCATCCTTTGGTGTCATGACCAATGATACTAGCAAACAATCCAAAGTGAGCTCAATATCCACAAATTTTGGAACTCCTTTTTGTTGTCAAGTTGGAATATTGAACCATGAACAAGTGATCTTTGTTGGTGCAAAGAATGGAATACTACAAGCTCTCTCTTTAAATGAAGAAAATAATTCCTATCAAGGTAAGTGATAGTATACTTTTGAAAGGAGTTGATCGTGTTCATTCAATCGTGGAATGATAGTTTTGAAAAGTTATGAAGGTCATTGTGGAGATGTGAGCTGTTTGAGCTTTAATGTTGAGAATTCAACCTTAATCAGTGGAGATAGTGGTAATATGGTTCATGTATTCAATATCTATCAAGAAACTCCATTACAAACATTGAAAGATCATTCTGATAGCATTACTTGTTGTCAAATTCTTGGAAATTCCATATTCACTGGTTCCAAAGACGGTACTATTCGCGAATATGAATTCTGTTCGAATAATGATGATGATTCTTCTTCTCAACAACTGCAATGCTCTCCTAAACGATGCCTCGAACGGTTGTCCATGCAAGTTTTTTCAATTGCAGTCGGAAGAAATCGATTATTATTTTGTGGGAGTGATGAAGAACCAGTACGATGTTGGGATGTTTCTTCTTCTTGAGAATTTTCTTAATGAGCATTGATTAAGCCATTCATGATTTGTTATGGATGAATAAGGGCAATATACTACCTGCCACTAAAAAAATAATGTCCTCTCCGATCAATGAACAGGAAAGAGAACACTTGTAATCAGATGGTTGATCCATAAGCCTGGTATGTCTTCATTCGAAACGAGTCGGAAAGCCATGCAGGAATTCTCATCATTTTTGTTATTGCTAATTGAATAAAAAGCCAAAGTTGAAGGCTGGTGTTGGGAATGGGTGCGTTTGGTTTGAAAAAAATACGAGAATTATCTCTTTCCTGCATCCAATCAAAAAGCAGCAAATTTAAAAATAAAATGCCAAGTTCCCACGTCTATTTTTGTATTTCGTGAGTCACGGTTCGGAAAGCCGCATCCAAATTAATTGTAGGATTTTGAGTCAGCCGTTTGCAACAGGCTCACACTAAACGATGACTTCATCCTTACTCATCACACATGTGGTGAGTGAGTAGATTTATGAATCAATGTTGCCGTTGGTGTTGTTGGAAAATAACGAAAAAATGAGCAAGTCAAACAGGCCACAACAACACGGACGCGCCACATTTTGCTCATCACAACAATCATCACAACAAAATGAACCTAGTACTTTACCACAATCATCACAACAACTACCTTCGGGTGAAACTCAACAAACAAAATCATCGGAACAACAAATCATCAAAATGTCACAAGATGAGCTACAACAACTCACAAACAAGAATTTAAAAGAATTATGTAAACAATATCATGTTAGGACATCAGGAAACAAACAACAATTAGTCCAAACTATAATGAACTTCTACGCATCACTTAATCCAAACGCATCTCAAAATGAGTTTGAAGGGAATCTACGGAGCATTAAAAAATTGAAAAAATCTACAAACAATAATTCATCAGCCGAAACCAAGGAAACTAAGAAAAGAAAGAAATCAATGACATCAAGTAGATTAATTGAGAAATCAAAAAAAAAAGAAAAAATCAAGTATTGTTTGCGAAGAATGTAATAAGAAATTTGCAAGCAAAAAAGCTCTCCTCTCCCACAACAAAGACAAGCATGGTTATATTCCTGAAGGCTGGAAAAAAGCACCGGAATTCTGTAATCCATACATCACCAAAGAATGTGGCAAACCGTCAAACAAAGTTACAAACGGAAATAGTTTTGAATTATTCAAACAATTATACACGGCTGAGGTGGAAAAGCATATTTTAGAAAAAACTAATTTAAAATGTGCTGAATTGAAAAAACCTGAGGTTACCTTGCAGGAATTGAACTATTATTTTGCGATTACTTTTACAATGGGGCTTATCAAAATGCCGGAGTTGGCACATTATTGGACAAAGGAAGAGGAATATTTATTTGGGAACGGATTAATTCGCAACATAATGACCAAGAAACGTTTTCGAGAAATTCATCAATGCATATCATACGATATTGATTGGATATTAGACACGTTTTGCAACCTGCTTCATGAGTGTTGGATCCCAAGTAATATTGGGGTTGTTGATGAATGTATTATATTGTTCAAAGGACGGTTTAAGGGAAGACAACACGTCCGTGGTAAACCACATGCCACAGGTTTAAAATTATTTATTCTATGTGACAGTTTCGGGATGCCGGTTTGGTTTTGGTTATACAGAGGGAAAAATAATGAGCATAACCTTAGTACTACCGTAGTTGATTATGTTATGGATTTGGCCAAGAAACTTCCAGATTACAACACAAGAAAGTACACAATAATTACTGATCAATTTTACGGAAGTTTGACATTAGCAGAGCAATTGAAACAAAATAACTTTGAATTTGTATTGAGTTGCCAAAGTAATCGGCCTTCCGAAATATTTTCCAATTATTTGCAACCGGATCTCAAACAGAAAGGAGATCAAAGCTTTATTGTTAGAAATGATAACGCTTTTGCAGCACTCTCAGTGTTTGATTCTGGTAAATGTAATTTTATGGCGTCTGTTGGGTCCACTTCAATTCCAAGAGAAGAATTAGAACGTGTCAAAGCCAAAGGGTCTAACAAAACACCAAGATGTGACATTTTACGATTTTATAACATGAACATGGGAAGTGTTGATTCATTTGACGCTGCATTGAATTTGTACCATTTTCGAAGTAGACATAGAAGTTGGAAACGATGCATGTTTTTTGCAATGATGAAGACACTTGTGGTTGGTTCTCACAAATTATATCAATATTTCCATATGGGACCCAATAACCGAAAGCCTCAACAATTAGGCCATTTGGTTGCCATTATTTACAGCCTTAGTGATCGACAACCTCGGTATAAGGAAATTTCAACGTTGCAACATTTTCCAATGTTGACCCAACAACCCAAACCATGTGAATTTTGTAAGAGAAAAGGAATTCGTTCCAACACCACTTTCAAATGCAGCGCATGCGCTAAACATGTCCACTCACATTGTTGGTTTCAATACCATACGTGTGGAATATAAAGTGAGATGCATATATTCTGTGACGTGTGTCAGATTCCCTCAAGCTAGTGCTCTCATTGGTTTCCTGCGGTCAAGTGCTAACGCGCTTCTTCAGGTTCAGCCCCGAGTCTAAAAGACTGGCTTCGATAATCTGACACAAGTCACACCCAAAAACTTTTGTTAATGCCAACCATGTCTCCAACACCATGCTCTCATCCGCTTCCTGCAGTTCAGTGCTAACGCGCGTCTTCAGGTTCAGCCCGAGTTTAAAAGCTTGGTGAATTCGTAATGAATTGAAATGGAGCTGGAAGGAAGTAGTTGCTTTACTGTAGGTGCGGCTAACACCAAACCAAGGTACCAACTGCGTTTGTTTTATGTTGACAACAAACATTAAATTTGGGAAGTGGGAAATCATCTTTCACACTTCCCTAGTTCGACACAGTCGGACCGTGAGGGACCTTTTTCAATTTTTTGAATTTTGCAAGTTCATCCACCAGTTTACAAAACATAGGTGGTACGGCTGAGTAATGAAAGGGTTATGGGTCAAAATTGATGCCCGAGTTTTTTAAGAGAAAGGCTTGATGAAGGAAATGAATCACCAACGAAAAGAACAAAGGATGGATCCTTGGAATGAACAGAATAATAATATTATTAGCGATGAACTAGCCAACGACAGAATTAGAACTCAACAACAATCGTCGGATCGGTCAAATTGGATTCCTGGGTCTAAAGTATTATATGATGATAATGATGATCATCATGACTCACATCATCATGCGGAAGAGGATGATGATTTTGAAACTGAAGATTTTGTTTTTTCAAAAGTATTAATTGCGTTTTCCAGATATGAAAGATATTACTTTAATGTTCTTGACAAGAAGATTGAATTCTTCCATAGAGTATGGAATCAAAGTTTGGGTGATATCAAAAAACATATTACTGTTTCGGAAGCATTGCCAGACCAATTTGACAAATTCATGTCCATGAAGATGGCCATTAGAAATAATTATGAAAATTTAATTTTGAAGATTATTGAGTCACATACATCACAGTTCTTGGAGAGTGAAGACTATAATCATCTAGAACAGCATGCTGTTTTTAACACCGACCATCAAGATGCAGGATTTTATCAAGTTTATCATTTAAAACCACGAATAATGGAAGTCAATGTTCCTTCATACATGTATCGAACTGAGGATATTGCTACGCTGTTGAGTTCTGAAGATTATGACAAGGTTACCTCCACGGTTAAACAGTTTGTAAGAGACTGGAGCGAGGCAGGACAAATTGAACGACAAAATAGCTATCAACTCATTCTAAACGAGATTGAAAAACTGCTACCTCTTCATGGAAGTCTCAACAAGTATAAGGTGCTAACACCTGGTGCAGGACTTGGAAGATTAACGTGGGAAATTGCTCGTGCTGGTTATTATAGCCAAGGAAATGAGTTTTCTTTTCACATGCTTCTTGCAAGCGCCTTTATTTTGAATCATCCTTATAGGGAGATTGTTGTCGAAGGAATTGCAAAATTTGAACAGTTTGAGATTTTCCCCTTTGTAACACACATGAGTGACTTGTTTTCGAGAAACGATCAGCTATGTTCGTTTAAGGTACCTGACGTGAATCCAGGGAAGTTACTTCCTAATGGTGTTGAGTTTTCTATGGTTGCAGGCGATTTTGTCGATGTTTACAGAAAAGAAAATCAACGAGAGTTTTGGGATTGCATTGCCACTTGCTTTTTTATTGACACTGCTGCCAACATCTTTGATTACTTAAACACTATTTATCATTCGTTAAAAGATGGTGGATATTGGATTAATTTAGGCCCTCTTTTGTGGCATTACCACGAAATGGGAGAAAATAGATTTTCCATAGATATTACTTATGAAGAGTTGAAACAAGTCGCCCAAAAGATGGGATTTGAATTCGTTTATGAAAACACGAATGTAGAAAATACTTATATTTCTTCATTTGGGAATGAGAGGCACTCAATGAGGAGAACAGTTTACCACTGTGTTCTATTTTCTGCCAGAAAAATTCCACGTCAATGAATGTTGTTGTCTGATAATGAGCCATGACCAGTTTCGGTTAGATTCATTGCCTTCCATGGACAAACCTCTCGTTTTTCTTTTGTGGTCTTTTACCTCACCGCATTGAGTGAAGCAACTTTGACCTCAAAAAGATTACCTTGGTTAAATACAGGCGAACCATACATCTGATTTCTTTAATAAATTAAAAAATAAATTATGGAACCAAAAAAATTCAATCAGTTCGAGTTGACTCATCACTATTGTTTCAAGCATGCAGGTATTACTCTTTCAAAGCCGTCACACTGGCTTTTAGCATAATCATATGGTGTATTTCCATTTGCGTCTTTGGAGTGAACATCTTCATTACATTCATTCACTAACAGAGGTATTAAACTCCATCGTCTGCAGTCGCTACATGCTAGATGCAATGCAGTGAGGTTAGTTCCCTTTGCTTTCTGATTAAGAATAAGTGGTTGTTTTTTGATCATTTTCACAATACCAATGTCAGAAATGCTTAAAGAGGGAATAGCTAGCAGAAGTACAGGAACAGATGTAATTTCAAGCAAATCTTCAGGTGATAAATAATCTATTAAATAATCAATTATAAAGGTCGGCGCTTGTACAAATAGTAGATAATGAAATAAATTCAGCTGCCGGGTAGTACCAAATTTAGTGACCTCGAAGTTCTTAAATAGCTTATCGACATCTTTCACAAAACCTCTTAAAGTAGAAAATGCAGGCAGAAACGTTCCAATCATTTGATTTCCCAAAATGTTTAACAACAATTCTCTAAATTGCTCGACTGTGAGAATGAATTGTCCATTCATTAATCGGTCTTTGAGGAATCCATTTATCACTTGTTCTGCGAGTTCCGAGGGTAACAATGGTATGACCTCAAGCATGTTATTCATAATGTCATGTCCATATTCAATACAAGATATTGCAAAATCTGGTGTGCATTGTTTTCCAAAACTACGTTTCCAATATCGATTATTCAAGTAGAGGGCATATTGTAAAAGTGGTAAATAGATGGTATTGCTGTATAAATCAGTATTTTGAGCCCAATTAAAGTGTTCTAAAGAATGCTTTTTCAAAATAACCTCGATCATGCTTTTCTTTTCCAATAAGGATCGTTCATCGTCAATAAATATTGATCGTAACAAACTTGAGCCGTCAACTTGATAGGGTTCAATACCTTCATATGTCTGCATCATTCTATCTAGCATTGAAGCATTGATGGGTTCTGTATGCATTTCAAAGGTATGTTCTGGACGTTTAAGTGCAACAAAACGAGAAGTACCAAAACCTTCAACCTGTAGATTGGATATCCTTTTACATACAGTTGTCAATTTCTCAAACATGTCGCCACTGATGTATCCTCTACTGAGATTGACAAATTTCAAATTTTCGATATTTGACAACGTGCATTGTTGATTCAACAATTGAGAAAAAATTGTGTAAACACCTCTTGGATAGTAACTCAAGATTGTTAAATTCTTGAGACCTTTCAAATTCTGAAACAGAATTTCAATAAAATGTACATTCTGACTTGTTAACGGAACGGTTAAGGTATGAATATATTGATTCTCTCGATGGTAGCGTTTTGTCAATGCGCCACCATAATAGCTCTGATAGTAGACATTTCTGTACAGATCAATTGCGTTACGATGTATTGTTAATACGTTTGCAATATTGGATTGGTCTTGATTTTGATATTTTCTTAAAGGAGGTTTTGCAAGAGCTCCAATTCCAAAATCAGTCGCTAAAGTGACTAGTTCTTTTTCAAGCTCGTCATGATTCTCGCTTTGTAAAATATCAACCATTAACTCGTCTTCACCAACTGTAGAGTCATCCTGTGGGGGATTTTCATTATCTTCATCACTTTGCAGGGTGACTGCATAGGAGATTTCCCCTTCTGTGTCTTCTTCAGATCCAACGATTACCTGCGAGTAAGGAATAAACCCTTGTTCAATACGTCCAAGAGTCATTAATTCTTGATGAGCTCCTAGCAAGCTTAATATCATATAGTACTTATTGTTAGTCCCGTACGTGATGTAATCTGAAAGATCTAATCCTTCGCGTGAAATTCGTGTTGCAATGGTATTTTCTAGAACTTGTTTGACATCATGACAAATGACACGGTGTTTTAAATAACTCATCCACCATGGATCTATCACTAGTTGCTTTTTTGGCTCTAAAATAGATGTAAAATTATTGTACGATTTTGTGACCCAACTATTGGTAGATATAAAACAAATAATGTAGGCTTTTGCATCCATCGGAAGCTCTCGCAATTTTTGTAAGGCCACCTCTGTTGCCCATTCTGTTACAGTATCAGAATTCGAAGTTTGGTTTTTCATCTGTTCTTCCGAGTTGATCAACTTGTTGTTAATATCTTTTAAAATCCATAATCGTGCAAGTTTTGAACAATGGCTGTATGGAGCATAATGTGAGAGCAAATCAGTGTGCTTGGATTGATCATTTCTTTCAATCCATCCATTAAACTTTTGAAAATTATTCGGGTGTTCATAGATACGAGGACGTCGCTGCATCATGCCAACACGAGAACCTCCTCGTGTTCGAGCCATTTTTTGTTCTTGAACATGGATTGAAATTATCGCTGGCTCCCTTATTGGATCGTTCATGTGATTTTTGATGGGAACTAGCGTCTCAGCAGACAGCAATGAATTGACTTTTGAATGTTATTGATTTTAAATCAATGCGAAAAAATGGAAAAGAGTGATTCATCACCTACAACCCTGGAGGAACAGAGCCAACCTGTTTTTGATCAACCCACCAAAGCAACCTCTTTCTCATCATCTCGTCGGAAGAAAGATAGCCATGCACTTCTTGCAATTCTTGATATGTATAAATACTTGCTGGATCATTATCCTCCCCTGTTGGTGAAATCATTAACTGCTTCTCTTATTTCATTCCTTGCGACGGTTGTAAGTCAAAAAGCCATCAAGGGAATGCCAAAAGTGAATTGGAACAATGTTCTCAATTTTACCATTACGGGAGGTGTATGTGCAGGCTTTTCTCATTATTGGTACATTCTGTTGGATAAGATCATGGAACAACTCAAGATGATTAAGATTGTGCGACCTATTGTATGCAATCGAACATTGGAGAAGTTTGCAATCATTCCAACACTGATTGATCAAGCGTTCTATGCTCCATTCATCAATGTTGTATTCATTGCAGTTTTAGCGTTTCTTGAAACACGATCCTTCTCCGTGGAAAAAGCCTTAATGAACGTTAAGCGAGATTTCTGGACTACTCTCACCCGTGGATACATGTTATGGCCGGTTGCTACCATTGTTGTGTTGTCGGCAGTTCCTTCCGAGCTCCGAGTTCTCTTCTTTAACATTATTGGGTTTTTCTGGAGTTGTTATTTGGCCTATGCCTTGTAGTTGTTCAAGAGGTTCTTCATGATTGCCTTCATACATGTAAATACACAAATGAATTATTGAATGCTCATTTCCGAAATGGCTGCACTCATAACGTTGTTAGCCAGCTTCTAACAGCTCATTCATCATCTCAATTTTTTGAAAGAAAAAAACGAATTCAAAAAAAATGAGCAACTTTCAACAGGGCACAAAATTACTCAACAAATCTCAACATCTGATAAAGAGTTTTCATGTTTCTCCGTTCATATCCCTCGTTTATAAGAATGAATCGGGAGAGGTACAACAGAACAAAGTGGCCTTCTCAAACATTTCTCAACAATTTTATGTTTGTTGTGCCGATGACAAAATTAATATTGTTGAGTATTCAACAGGAGAACGATTATACACCATACAGGCAGATTCAAACGTGAATTGTATATCATTGAGCTCCGATGATAGATTCTTGGCTGTGAGTTGTAAAAGTGGTCAAGTAACAATTTATAGCATGAAACAGTTGAAGGCTTTGAGAACACTCCGAGTGGGTGTTGCATCTCCTGTGATACATTTAGCCTACTCTCCTGATGACACTTTCTTGGCAATGGCTCACGGAGATGGAAGTATTGATATTTACTTGACAGCAGGTGTTCAAGAAGAAGATACAACTCAGCAACAAAACTTTACTAAATTATTATTCACCATTAGAAAACATCACCAAGCTCAAATACATTTAATGAAATGGATTGACAATTTGTGGTTAGCTTCATGTGGATTGGATGGTGTGAAAATTGTGCAAATTGGTAATGAAGAAGATGAGAATCGACCTTTCAAAATTATTGCAAAGCTTCATGATAACAGAAACGACATTAGAGAAGTGATTTTGTTGAAACAAGAGGAAAACGATTCTGAGAGTAGGCCTGTTTTCCTCTTTACAGCTGGTTATGGATCTCTTTATCAATTCACTTGGGCCTCCAATGCATTCACTCTTTCAAAGACAATTCCAATCAAACATTATGTGACAAGTTTAACTGAAATTAAAACAACGGATGAAAAGTCGTTCACGCTCGTTGGTTGCTCACCTGTGAAGAAAAAGAACAATTTAATTAGGGTCACTATTCGCAAGCCATCAACTCAAGAAAAACAATCCAAGAAAAAGTCAGATAACGATTTACTGGATGACGGAGTTAAAGTCGAGTACATACCAGAAAAGACAATTATTGGACTTTCTCAACTGTTTAAGTTGTCAGATTCTGAGATTTTTGCAGTTACTGTAGACTCTAATTTTGCCATTTTCAAACAGATCACAAAGGACGAGAGCAACAAAGTTAATTTAAAGAAAAAACTTGGCAAAAAAGAAGATGTGACAGAAATTGCCTCCTCTGGATTATTATTTGAAAAGACAGGACAAAGACTAGGTTTCAATGATGATGTCCTTGATATGGCTCTTTTTACCTCACGAAATATGTTAGCTATTGCCACCAACTCTGAAAACGTTATTCTAATGAATGTAAAGGATGCCAATCAAGATCCTTTCGAAATTGTTGGGCATACTGAAATGGTTCTTTCAATGGATCGCTCCAAAGAAAAAGACCAACGATACTTGGTGACAGGTTCTAAGGATAAAACAGTTCGAGTATGGGACGTTTCAAAGTATGGAAATACCAATGGTGACGATTTCGTCACTCCAGTGGCTGTAGGTACAAGTCACTTGAGCGGTGTGACAGCTGTTTGTGTTTCAAATCACAAGAGAAAAGTGAATGACTCTGAAGACTTCTTTGTATTCTCTGCTTCTGATGATGGTGTGATCAAAAAGTGGCAACTCTCCAACTGCAACTTGTTGGGAACTACTGCTGATTGTCATAAGAAAACAGTCAGCGAAATTGCAATTTCTCCAGACGATTCTTTAATTGCTACAGCAAGCGCCGATAAGACGGCCAAAGTGTTGGATGCTAATGATTTATCAAAAGTCGTTTTTGAATTTCCTCACAAGCGAGCTGTTTGGTGTGTTAAATTTTCTCCAGTTGACAAGGTGTTAGCTACTGGATGCAGCGACAACAACATTAGAATTTGGTCCTTAAAAACAGGAAATTGTGTGAAAGTGTTGGAAGGTCATGACACCTCTGTATTGAAAATGCAATTTTTGAACAACGGCTCACAATTAATTTCTGCAGATGCCAATGGTGTGGTTCGACTTTGGGTCATCAAGACTGGAGAGTGTATCAAAGTGTTTGGTGATGCTCATAAAGACAGAATTTGGGCGATTGCAGTGGATCACAAAACCAATCAACTCATCACTGGAGGTGAAGACTCTGTGATTAACATTTGGGAAGATAATACTGAAGAAATTAAGGAAGACCAACGAAAAGAAGTAGATTTATCTGTCATGCAAGATCAAGAACTTCGAAATTTAGAAAGACAAGGAAAGATGAAAGATGTTTTAAAAAAAGCCATTGAATTGGACCGACCAAAACTCACCTACAGTACCATTGAGAAACTCATCAAGACCGATGAAAAGAAAGTTCTAGATGCTCTTATTTTGGAATTGCCCAAACTTCAATTAATGCATCTATTCCAATATTGCATTGATTGGAATTCTAACTCAAAATTCTCTCAAATTGCACAACTTGTGCTCAAGACCATGTTCGATTTATTGGAACCATCCTTTGTAGATATTGCTTATGAAAAATCAGTGGATGCCCTTACACTGTACAGTCAAAGACATTTGAAGCGAATTTCATATTTGGAACAAAAAAGTTTCATTTTGGAACATGCCTTGAATCAAATGAATGCACTCACGCCTCTCAACAACAGCAATGTCGAAACTCTGAAAGAATTATCCACAAAGAAGAGAAAAGAAATGAGTACTAACAATATCGATGAAGAAAAAGAATCAAAAAAAACCGCCAAACAACCTTTGCAAATTAAGACTGTCGAAGTGGTCGATGAGGATGTGGAATTTTCGGATTATGACATGGATGGAGAAGCGGATGATGTAGAGGATCATGACGATGAAAACATAAAGCCATCTCAACCATCCCAGAAAAAGGTCAAACAATAAACTTATGTCTCGTTTAAGGCTTGATTTTAAAGTATTGCATCCTTCAAATTGCCTCAGTCGATATAAATACAGTTCCCAAGAACAACAAACGAAGTCAAGAAATTTCGGGAATTTTTCTACCCTGTAAAATAAAATCTTGGTTTTGCACAAAACAAATTCACAACACAAGAAATGTCTCAACCAAGAACCATTTCCCCAACTCTCCGATTAGGTGTTACCTTCTCAGCACAAGTACAAGATGGCATCATCCTCTCACTCTCTTCCGAAGGTGATTTTCTTTGGGGACGCAAAGGTAGATATCCCGTGAGTTATTTCCTTATGGAAGCAGCTGTGGTGAACAATATGGTTGGAAAGCCTTTCATCGCTGCACTCACCTCGGTCTTATCTTTGATTAATAAATTAGTGGGAAGACAAATGAAATTCCGTGATCTCCGGTCCGCCTTGTATGAAAAGCTTTCCCAAGAATTAGAATTAGACATCAAGGAGTATATGCAATTAAGTTATCCGAGTGATTGGATTCAAAAAGCAATTGTTGAGGAAATTGCTGTTCGGTATATGGATATTGTGGTGCACGGACCTTTGGCCTTCATGCCAGGTGAGAATGCTCCTGAAACAGTGATCCAGCAACAAAAGCAATCGCTTCAATTTTTGGCTGCCATGGAGAGAAAATTGTCTAATCAATAACATGATGTTTCAATAATTTTAAATACGCGTCCAATATTTCTTTGTCCACTACATGTGTTACCATCTCAGTAGAATTAAAACATTGCTGCGTATTGCAAGAATATGCAAGGCCTAACCAATATTGTGTAAACTGCAAGCTTTCCATCAATGTATAAGTACAGGAGTACTTGAGCAAACACGGCTGTGCGTTGCGAGGGAGATCGTGCTTGGTACATTCTTCTCAGCTGATCAATGCTCGTCACTGCTCCAAGAAGAGCGAAACACAAAGATGAGTTTGTTTTACAGTATCACATCTGTTGGAATCAATTAATTCTTTACATAATTAAGAAACACCACCGAAGGTCAACAAACACCGTACAACACGCTCAGTGGGGTTTTCTTTTTAAAAATTTTGTAACGAATTGTTATAATTTAATCAAAACCTCAAAATTGTTCTTAGAAATATGCAAAGAAAAAAGTGACAACCAACAAAATGTAAACAATAACCAATGCAGATCCTTGAAAGTAATTAGTCTTTCCGTCCAAACAAACATAATTCAAAACCAAAATGGAAAAGAAAATTGCAACTAGATTGAGCTGAGGAAACATCAAGTTAAACACACGTGACTCATTGCTACCAAATAGAATGGCACTCACTACCACAAGTACAGGCATTTGAATGAGAGCAATTTGAATCGACGCAGTGTTACCAATTTCCAAAGCGAGAGAAATGTTGTTTTGTAAGGCAAATTGAATAGCATTCACAAATTCAGCACAACTATATTCAAGTAACATGAATATTAGTAATCAATTGAGTCCGTTCAAAGACAACAACATCTATACATACCTTGGTACAATGCTCAAGAACGTAAGACCTGCAAACATTGGATTGATATGAAGAAAATCAAAAGCAGGTTCTAAACTCGAGGTCATCACCTCTGCAACCAGTGAATAAATGATTGTGCTCACCACAAGAACCACCACACAAAACCATATAGGCCATACTGCACCAATTTCATTTTCTTCTTCATGATGAACAAGATCTTCCTTGTTCTCTGGGACGGGTGGTCTTTCAATCAAAAATCTGTGAGTCTGTTCATTCATTCATTCATTCATTACAAAATGTGTGAACTTGTTGTAAGGAACTATACTAGTAGTAAAACATACTTTGAGTGAAAATATTAATCCAATGAGATAGGCCACAGGAAGAATGCCCGCAACGGCATATGCAAGAGGAAGGGCCCTACCGGTGTAGACAGCGTCCTGCATGGGATCCTTTTCAACGTAGCTACAACCTTCACAAACGAGTCCATAAGTGCCATTCGAAATTGGAGTACCATTCACACTAGTGACTATTGGAAGCTTGGAGGTAGCCAATAGTTGAGTTTGATTCACTGCAGCGTTCACACAAGCTCCACATTTGAGCTCATAGTGAGTACTAAACATTTGGTAGAATAATGAAGGGAGAAGTGATGCCACGACACTGATGAGAAGCAAAGCACTGGAGACGCTGGCTGCTTGTCTGTTAAAAAACTGTTGTTTGAATTTAATACCTCCAATTACCATGGCCAGACCCTTTTGTTGGTAATACCGTTATTAACATCAATTAAGGCGTAGATGTTGTCAAACGAGTACTTACGGGAACCAACAGCGTTGCAGCTAATAAAGCACCTGTGACAGCTGTCACTACCACATCGTGCATATCCTTCCAAAGTGCTAAAATGTACAAAATCAATTCAATAATACTTCCACAAAATGCATTCAGCACTGCTCCTATCAAAAAGTTTGTTTGGGCCGAAATTGCAGCCACTGCTTTTCCAATCAAATAAGCCAAGGGAACCGTTGAAATTAAACAAAATGGGAAAATAACCAACGAGTAGTGTTTCACAAATTCCTCACCAAAAGCAAATCCAAGAATGATTGAGACTGCCGAGAACGGCAGCATGTTAAACAATATTACATTAAGTCCAAAAACGCTATGTTTGTAGTAATAAATATTAGATGCTTGGAAAGTGCACAATATAATCTCTGAAGACACATGAGGAGGATACTCATCATTGACATTTAACACTAAAATGTTTCTAAATAGAATTTTGATAGCCTCCATGTGAATTTTGCTTGACGGAATTCCAACAATAGAAAACCATGTCATTACCATGCAAATGGCGTGAAAAACAGTTAAAATAGGAGCGAGGAAAATAATCCAAATACTAAATGACAAAACTCCCAAGCATGTGACATCCCTCTTCTTTTTCCTTGATTTGGTAGTGTTCGTAGCAGTGGTAGTACTTGGTTGAGACTGGCTCGTCAGTAAATGTTGTTGAATTGACTCATCTTGTCCATTTTGTTCGAACGTTGAATAATAATTATTAGCATCCTTATTAGTAATGTCTGTTGTTGAATTTTCCACATCCACAGAGACCTGCACCATCGATTGTTGTTCTCCCTCTTCCTCTGGAATTGGATACGAATGATCCGTATGATAAATCTTTCTATAATTTTTCATCACCTCAATATATTTTCCAAACGGATACAAGTAATAAAACGCAAAACTGAAACACTTCTTTCCATACGGTATGGTAACAATCAACACACAACTCAACACTCCAACCAACATGTAAATTAAAAACATCCACCAACCAATCAACAAGCCGTACAACACATTTCCGACGCTTAAAAAACGACTCTTTTGAACTTGATGTAAATTACTCTTCGAGTTCCACATGTATAATTGTTTGACCTGCTCACTCCGTTCTTCTAATCTTCGTTCTCCTAACATGCCTTTCCAAGGTTTAAATCCAAACAAGTGGTTTCCAACGTTTTTATGAGAATCAATCGGGTTCGTTGCAGGCTCAACAAGGACGGTGGAATGATGGTCGGCGGCTCCACTCTCTGCAACTTCATAATTCATTCCCTCATCATCATTGTGTTCAATGAGGAAACTCGGCGAGAATTGAGAAGTTTGACTTTTTCGTTTCCGAAGGGAGCTTATTGGAATATTTACTGTAGTGGCCGATGGAGGAGGAGGAGTATGAATAGGGTTACTGCTACTTGCTTCATGATGATGATCTCCAATAACGTGCTGAGCCAATGATGATGACGATGAAGAAGGCTCATGACCGACCACTACCGTATTGTCTTGGTTGCTCATTCAAAAACTAAAATATGAAGAACAATGAAAATTGCAATTAGTAACGTTCAATAGGAAGCAGAAGTGAAATCAGCGCTCAACGAAATCTCAAGTAGTCTTGTAATCGTTGGGTCAGTAACAATTTTTTTTTCCTTCTTCAATTTTCATGTTTGTCGTTTTAACATCAAGTTTGTTAAAATTATAACGAACTCTTCAGAGCGCTACGCACGTTCGAAAGGCGCAATACTTGGTAAAAACAAAGAAAAAGAATAAATGACATTATAATTCAATGCATCTACTATGAATTTGTTGTAAGGGATGAGGCATGGAATGTGGCGCTATGGCCAAATAGACCATGTCCGCTTTTACAGTGATGATGCACCTTTTTGAATCCAAGTGATGGCAATGTATGTACATAAGGTTTTCTCCAAGACATGATTCCCTCAAATTTCAAGTGATACGCCTTTCTTCAATTTCAAAAATTGCATGGTCATGAGTGGATTCTTCTTGGTCTTGCTTAATAACGATCAGAGAGTGACCATCAGCAAAAATTCCTCTTTTAAAACAATTGGGATATGTCCAATTCATACCAGGAACAATTTTCTTCATCCAATGCTTGAACTTGGAACTTTCTGGGTCTTTGGATGATGTCGAAGAGGAGGATGAGCTCGACGTTGAGGAAGAAACATCATCCGAAAATGATGGGCTCTGTGAAAATTGGTTGTTCGTATAATTTTCATCGTTGTGTGGTAATGACGATTCTTGTTGTTGTTGTTTCTTTTCTGTGGTCGTTTTGGCAACTCCAGCGACAATAGGTGCTGTGGCAATTGTGACACCTGTGGAGACTCCTCCAAACGCTGCTGCAGCTCCAATTCCAATCAATCCAACTCCTGCCAATGCTCCAGCAGCAAGACCAACACCAGCAGCAACTCCAGCACAAACGCTTCCAACAATGGGTAATGCTTTATCCCAATTGGAAATAATTTTGTCTCTTGAAATATCGAAGGGTCCAACTTCGATTGTGAAATGCACTCGTCCTATTCCTTCAAATATTCCTAAACGTCCAGGAGGAATGATCAATTGATGAAGTGGACCTACTTGAGAGAGTATGACATTTATGGTGTGTGACGTTTTGTTATCAATCAAAAGTGAACCAGTAAGTGTTCCGTTATGATACAATTTTCGAACAATCAAAGGTGTGTGAATTAAATTACAAAAATGTGGATATTTCTTCAATAAATTGGTCCAATATATAAAATCTTGTTGATTGAGTGCGAGTAAATCTTCTTCCTCATCGGTTAAATTATTAATATCCAAATTGTTTGAATCCGAAGAAAAAATTAATTGATGATGTTCAAATGCATCCTCTTGTTGTGATTTGTTCACATTATTGTGATTCATAGGTGATCTCTCATGAATCTGTCTTGTTGAAACAATTTCAATTTCATAATCGAGATTCTTTTCGTGTAACAATGGACCATTGACAATGACATGATTTTTTGTTTTCGAATCATTGCGATGTTTGTTTAAATGATGTTCGCATAATGCTAACTGACAATTTTGACAGCAATGGGATGAAAAAACGATTTGAGTATTTTCAATGAGACACACATCACAAGGCTGGCCAATATTGGCCAAAGTCTTGGTGCGATCGGAATCTTGCATCTGTTGTTCTGTACTGCTCACCATTTCAGTCATGGGCACAAATTCCGAATGCATTGCATTTGGAGTGCCATTGGTGGCATCATTATTTGGAGTTCCAACTAACGGCGAGAGTAAATGTGATGAAGCCTCGGTGAGAGTGGTTAGAACGGGTCGGAAGAAGGACATTTTTTTTGTTTGTTGTTTTTTATGTATTATTTTTAAACATCAAGCAGTTGTCACGACAATGAATTCGAAAATCAGTGTCACAATTCGAAATGTAATAATTCTTTCACAAAGCAAATACATCAACGCTTAAAGCTCTATTTGGAATTTTCTCTTTGGTGCTTGTTCTTGGTTTTGATTTGTTTTGATTTCTTTTTCAGATGATAAATGTACTTGTCATGGATTTCAGTTTTGATATTTTCAGGCAATGTTGAAAAGTGAGGAACTTTGGACACCTCATCGTAATGTTCAACAATGGTCTTAATACCATGATTCTTAATGACATTTTCATTGTACATGTCTGCAATAATGACAATATCCATGACGTTGTCGGTGGTAATGTTTTCGATCACGATGCGCTTGGCATGTTGTGAAAGTTCAGCTAATTGAAATAAATGTGAACAAACAAACACTTCAATAGCTATTTCGATGGGAATATCAATTTCGGTTGTGTACAAGTATCTCAATACACACAAGATTCCATTCAGTGAAATTTCGTTGAATTTGATAACTCCAGTGGTCGACTCTTCCATTTTGGATGCAAAAACTGCTGCGATATATGTCGATCTTGAAATGAATAGCTTATGAGCTTGCAGTTGATGAATAATATCGTTGGTATGAGGATCTAAAAGTTGAATTGTGACGTCGGCATAAAGGTTTTCATGACATGATTCTGGAAAAATGTTGTCCACCGAACATACTACTCGTTGATACAGTTCAAGTAAATCTTTCTTAAATCCGTAAATAATGGAAGCAGAAGAGTCCATAAATAATTTTCTACGATTGTAAATGTCAGCAAATATTTCATGCTTTGGATGATCCATGCTAGAAATATCAACAATTTCTTGTAAATAATGTTCATCCATATGGTCTGGCAACAGTATATTGCCTGTGTAGAGGAATGATATAAATGTTTGAATCGAATCAAAGTGGTAGTTGCTTATTTCAATGACAAGTTTTCCGTCATCATTGTATATACATCTTTCTTTGAACAGATTTGAAAAGTAAGTGCTTCTCGCAGCAAGAACACCTCTATGAACATGTAACTGTTTTGAGTAACGGTCGTTAGATGCCTCGTTTTTGTCTATTATATTGAGAACTGTGTCATAACCTTGAAAAGTTCCAAGAAATTGCTGTTCTATTTGTACTTTTAAAAAATTGGTCATTTCATTCTCATTTCCATGGTCCAAAGTATGAATAAGAGAAATGGCATTGCCGGCAATAGCTCCTGTTTCCAAGTTCGTACAACCTCCTACAATGAACAGCTCATCATACAGTGAAATGGTTGTATGAAAAGCTCTTGCAGTGTCGCTGTTTCTAAGATGTTGTGACACTACTATACTAAACCTGCGTGTCTGTGTATCGTATCGATAAATAATATCATTAATCTTATTTTCTCCAAGATCGCCTCCAATAAGATATAAATATCTATTTCCACAATTCGAAAATGAATGATTTCTCAGTGGGGGAGGAGAGAAGGAAAGATCAATTTCTATCCACTGTCTTGTGATTGTATTAAACACATGAAGGTCATTCAACAACTGATGTGGTTGCATGTAATTTCCTCCATAAATGTAAATGTTATTTTCAATTTGGCATTGCGCATGATTTTCGCGTGGTAAAGGTGGATCTGACCCAAATATGACCTCTCTTTTTACCGATGAATGCACCACTGTAATTTTACATTCCACAAGTTGATTCGTTAAAGCACCTGTATTGACGCTTCTTCCTCCAAAAATCCAAACCTTATCTCCGTAGCAACTGTATGAATGATTGGTCGTCTTTTCGATCCTTTTCGTGTTAAGAGAGAGCGAGGTCTTTCCCCACTGTGACAATTCAGAAGAATTTTGTGGATCTTTGACCAATAATTGTTGTGGGCGATACCATATAAAAGCATTGTCAAAATCAAAACAAAATAATGCTTCACCTAAAGCGACCAGAATTGTGTCCTTATTCACGAACGGTATAAAGTTGAAACACCTGTTACGAAAATGCTCCTGCAACCCATAATAGATTTCTGTCAAATTGTACCGTTTCTTGAGTGTGGTATCATACACAAGAAATGTTGAATATTCTTTTCCATCTTTGGGACCGTTTGCACAAAATATGTAAGGCATCATGGAACAAGCGATGAGATGAGTACTATCCTTCATGATTGATAAGGTGGGCTCGTCAGATTTTGCGTTCGTTTTGATAGTATTTGAATGTTCATTCAAGATGTTATTCAATTTTTCAATGGACATCTTGTCTGACTCTACATATTGCAGTGGCAATTTTCTAATCATGGTCATGGATTTTTCAAAATTATTTTCATATACATGATTCCACTTTTTATCCATTTGTGTTGGAGCCTGAATGAAATCTTTCTCTTGTTGCTCTTCCTCTTGAATGATGAATAATGATTCATGATGCGAAGGATTTCGTTTCTTTTTTTCAATCTTGTGTTTAAAAGAGACTTTCTTTGGCATGGAAAGTACATTCTGACCAGACAATAATTCCTCTTTCGTGATCATTATCAAATTCTTCTCTTCATCATCACGTTCTTCTCGATACAAGGCTCGTTGTTCTTCCATGCTCATAAATTCGGGTGAGCTAGTGCATTCTTCATCCGAAGAAGAAGAAGGAGAGGATGACCCATACAGAGCGTCCAAATATCTTGACATTTTTTATTGGTTGACTTTGATTTTGAGTTCAATACAAGTTCAAAAATTAACTGTTCCGTTCTTGATGAAACCCAGATTGTTGCTCAAGTAATCTTTGCCTCTAGAAGCAGACTGTTGAACATGTGTTGTTTCTTTGAAAAAAACAAAAAAAATGGCTCGAAATCAGGAAAAGGCTCAGTCCATGCTTAACCGATGGACTAATTTTCGAATCGGAAATGAATATGTGGAAAAGAAGAGACCTCCACATCCATCCTTTTCTAAAACGGTGAAGGCTTGTGAACATTGGAGAAGAAAAGTGTTGAAGGAAATTGCTGAGAAAGTTACGATCATACAGAATGCATCACTAGGAGAACATCGGATTCGAGATTTGAACGATGAAATTAATAGATTAATTAAAGAAAAAGCAGAATGGGAAAAACGGATTGTGGAGTTAGGAGGAATTGACTACTCTAAACAAGATATTAAATTACTTGATGATAACGGTCAATTGATTGAAGTGGGTGGAGGATACAAATACTTTGGCGCGGCACGGGAGCTGCCCGGAGTGAAAGAATTATTATTTGAGAAACAACAGGCAGTAGAAAAGCAACAAAAAACCAAGATATCTGAGTTGTACAAAGATGTTGATTCTTTTTATTATGGATACGATGAAGATATTGATGATCCAAATTTGAGGATTGCCGAAGAAAAAGCTGAAGAAGAATTACGAAAAGATTTCTACAATCGTTATGTGGAATATGCGGAATTTAAAAAGAAAAAATTTTCAGGGGAAGGAGTTCAAAATGTAACGCGAGAATTATTACAAGCTAAATCCTTTGGCGTGCTAGGAGAAGAGGATAAGAAAAATTTCATTTACAACGTTGTGGTTCCGTCACAAAAAGAAATTGAGAGACTTCTGGTTGAAAAAAGAAAAGCAGAACTGCTTAAAGAGCTTGGAGATATTTAAAAGTTTAAAATCGCTGTTGTAGCAACAAAACCAATATTTATAAAATCATTATGTATTTTACAAAGCTTAGCTACAATTTCAGTAAGCACTGATATTGGAATGACCACTGCTACTTGAGCTACTGGCCGCTGTTACATCATTTCTTGGAACTGTGTTCGGGTCAACATGATGTTGTCCTTGTTGTTGTCGGCGTAACATCTCCTCATTCAGCCTACTTAAGGCACCTGTGTTAATGTGCTCAGGAAATGAGAACGAGTCGATGACTGATCCCACCAAGCTGGGACTTGCCATGCCGAGCGATGAAGGAGTAATGGAACCAGCAGCACCTGGTGAAATATAGCTACCATAGGTACCAGAGTGAAAGCTTGAACTTCTGTGCGATGCAGCCGCTTGCCTCACACCTTGTGGAGGCGTTTGCATGTCCGTGGTGACCGATCCTGCAATATTCATTTCCGTATGCTCAGTCAAACTCTCGCTAGAATCGTCAATATCGCTCAGAGATTTTGCATCCATAGAGTCGGCCTGGTAGTGCATTGGATAGTTTTCTTCTCTTGGTTTAAACTTTGAGGTGTCAAGAAGGTTGGTCACATTAGGAAGCACTCCAAGTGGTTCCTTTAAAACCTTATTCCAATTAACACCTTGCATGAATGGATGCTCTCTGGCTGTTTTGTGGTTCAATCTAGTTTCTGGATTTGGATCGAGAAGTTTGTCTATAAAATCTATAACTCCACTAGAAACAATTTCTGGAGGCAACAATCTTTCATCCACCCAATTAATATTTCTCGAAAGAATGTTGTCGAAAATATATTCTGGTGTTTCATCATTAAATGGTGGACATCCAAAGAGAAGCTCAAACAAAATGCATCCTAAACTCCAAAAATCTACTGCTTCAGTGTGTGGCATACCTAATAGTAGTTCTGGAGCGAGATAGTCAGGAGTACCTCTGACTTGAATTTCACTCTCATCTTCATCTTGTCTCAGACTATCTAATGATTGTTTACTTGCTGAGGTTTGTTCATCCTCTCTGTCCAATAAACCAATCTCGCTCAAACCAAAATCTGTGAGTTTTAAATGTCCATTTCTGTCGATCAACATGTTATCAGGTTTCAAATCTCTGTGTACAATTTTGCTGTGGTGTAGGTCAGACAATGCTAAAATGGTTTCCGCAGCAATATGTCGAACAGTGTCTACATCAAAAGCTTCTCCGTTCTCAAGCTTGTCAGCAAGTAAACAGTCAAGACTACCTCCAGGACAATACTCCATTACAATATACAGGTACCTTTTACCAGCAAAGGAATAGTAAAAGTTAACAATGAATGGAGATTGTTCATTGTTCTCCATAAGCACTTTCATAATTGTTCTTTCTGCAAGAAGATCTGGTTCGTTGGTCAAGGTTTTACCAACGTTCTTGTGATTGTACAGGTATTGCTTCTTAATGACCTTGATTGCATAGATATCATTGGTTGTTTTCTTTTGAGCTAGATAAACTCTTCCATAAGCACCTCTAGAAATTGGTTTGATAATTTCAAAATCAGAAATTTTGATTTTCTTCTTGGTTGCTGAGGATTGTTTTTCTTCGTGAAGTAAGGCTGTGCATTTTGATTCAATTACATCCAACAGTCTTTTAGCATAAACGGTTACTCGGTAATTATTTCCAACGAAATTCTCGTCCTTATGCTCTTCAAGTATTTGATTCAGGTTTCCAATGATTTCTTGTAGTTGTGTTCTGTCCTTACTATTCTCTGCCTTTTTTGCTATTTTAAGAAGCTTGTAGAGAGAAGTAGATTTTTTCTTTTTCACAGTTTTTTCAAGAGCTTTTCTTACATTTTTGAGTTTCTCAAAAACTGTAATGCTTTGCATTTCTACTTTGTGCTTCACAGCACAAGTGGCGCTATGTTCAGCTAATTGTGTGCTTGGAACTAGTTCTTCACAAATTCTGCATAGGATCTCGATCACGTTAGAATCTTTGTCTTGTTTGTCCTTCTTTTTTGGCTCTGTTGTTGGCGTATTGCTGGCAGACTTGGATTTTTTGTCAGGGGTTATGGCTGGAGACAGTGTTGGGCTATCATCTCTCTTTGCAAACTTGGCAAAGAACTTTGAAAAAAAGCCCTCAGAAGCTTTTTTCTTCTCAGAGGATGGGGTTATAGGTTCCTTACTTCCAGTAGTCGGTGTTCCATTATTTGAAAGCGATGATCTAGGAGAGCTAATAGGAGAATCAATATCAGATGACTCTCCAACAACTTCTAGTTTTGAGTTAGAGCTTACACTGGACCTTCTGGGTGAGACACTTGTTGATGACGTGTCCTCCTCGTCAATGGGTTTTAACAATGCAGAATTTGGTCTTCTGTTAATACTGTCTTGAGAGCCAGAGCTATCATAACTATCCTCTTTTGGTTCAACATTTTCAATTACTGATTTGATACGTTGGCGTTTGATTTGCTCTCTATTAGCCTCTTCAATTAAATGCTTCTTATACAATTCCAAAACTCTGTTAATTCTACTGTAAATAAATATTAATTTTTTAGCCTGCTTTAAAACTTCAAAATTCTCCGTCACAGCCTTAGGATCAACGTTATTCAGTACGCTCCCTAAAATTAGGCTAGACATTGTGGGTGTAGCTGATAAAACATGCATCGAGGGTGAGCAGCTTTGATGAGTTAAGGTAGCATAGTTTGAGACACAATTTTGTAACAGTGTTTGCAACTCTTTCATAAAATCTCTGTTACACAAGTCGTCAATAGTTTTGCAATCCAAAATATCCTTTGCAATTTTCTCGAGTTGTTCAAGATCGTAACTCATAATTTCCATGTCCTTCATTTCCCATAAAAATGTTTTCAAATCTCTATTCATCTTTAGTTGAACAACTTTAGCACGCTCTTTTAAAACATTTCCAACTCTATCAAACATTGCTGTTGTTTGATCAACGCTCATGGCACGATCTCTCGAGTTTGAGAACAAAAGTCTTGGTGATGCTCTGTCACCATTGTTGTTAATAGCAAAAGAAGCGCTTGCAGCTGCAAACACTGAAGCTTGCTTTACGAGTGGAGTTGATTTCTTGATAGCTGGACTTGATTCGTCTTCCAATAGGTCAGTAAGGTCCTCTCCGAAACAATCGTCTTTTCGCATATCCCATTTTGGATCGACGTTGTGTCTACCAAATGAGTTTGCAACCGGAGGTTTGTTATGATGTAACACGCTTTGAGCTCGCTTAAGTGCTGGCTGTTGGAAATTTGTCACACTCATTCCTCTCGTGAGTCGTCCTCCTAAACCGAAATTCGTTGGTAATGCGTAAGAAGAGCTGCTAAATGAATTGAGAAGTGGGTTTCCTCCTCCGCTTCCAACACTGCCAGTTGCAAATTGCAATGGTGTGCCTCCACCTCCGCTGCCACTACTTCCCGAGCTACCCCCTTCATGTGTTCCTTTACCGTTGTTGGATATGGTGATAGCGCTAGATGTGTTTACTGAATATGCCATGGGTGACGTGTTGTTGGTTTGTATCTTGTTGCTTGAAAGTAAAGGGCTATATTGCATACTGATTAAATTGTTAAAGGATGAGCTATTTCCTCGGTTTCGAGCTGGCATGGTTTTAATTCTAAATTTTGTGAATTATCGTTGTTGTTGTTAACATGGGATAGTTATTTTCCGTATTTGTAATTATTTCAATAACACATAAATGACGAATGAGGATCATGATGAAATTAGTCATTCAAACATCAACTATTATTACTACATACGCAAAATCTGAAGGAGATAGTGGTGATACAGTAGAATTCCATCCTCTTACATGAGACGGTCGGTATGCATTGCTGTTAGTGATATTCGATTTCGTGCTGCTGTTGTTGGGCGAGGTATCTAACAATTTTGCTGAAGGTTTTTCTGTGGTTGGTACTTCAATGTTGGAAAGGAATGGAGGTTTTTTGTTGACATTATCATGAGGAGAAGGAGGAGGTTGATTGGACTGATGATTATTATCAGTTTGTGGTTGTTGTTGGCTCGCCGATGGTGAAGAAGGTACAATGCTCTCTGTGGTGGCTCTATTCACCACTCCTGATAAGGCTGTTGCCGCTGGTTTTGGCTTGTGCCCCGAGGATGCACCGCCCACAACCAAAAACTCATCTTCGTCATTCAAGCTCTCCAATAAACCACTTTCATTGATTGAATGCAACGATGTAAAGAACGAGACCCGTTTGCTACTCTTTGAAAATTCCTCTAAATTATTGTTGCTGTTCGTATTGGGATTGTTAGTGTTGTTATTGTTGTTGTTGTTTATATGATGATTATTAGTAGTAGTGTTGGAAGTGTTGTTGATATTATCATTACCCAAAGATGTCAAAGTACATGATGGTACAAGTTGGTGATTAGAGTCCGAATTTGTATTGCGGTTGCTTGCCGTTGTTGTTGATGAAGTGTTAGTAGTAGCAGCCGAATGATTCTCGGAGGAGGAAGAGGAGGGTGTTACATTGGTTGTTGATGATGAGGATGTCGGTTGTTCCTTCAATTGCTGTTCATCCTTCCACATAATGTCCTGATTGCCTGTTGGTGATGCCGTGGACTTGGAACGAAGATGTTGGAACAGTCTCGGCATCTTTTGTGTTTATTTTTAAAAGGAAGGAATGGCGAAAGGTGAAGAAGAGAGAACACGTGGCCAAGTATGGATTCGTTGGTGATGAAAATTGCAACAACAACTCCGTGTGTGAATTTGATGGGGGTTGTGGTTTTACTACGCAAAGAGAGCTCTGTTTTTGAAGATGTTGCTTTACGGAGTTGAAGAGTGAGGATTACTGAGCGTACGCAGAAAATTGGCTAGAAGAGATGATGATCGCTTCTAGTTGTTGGAAATGAGTCAGCTGCTGTATGCGAAAGGAGTTCTACTTGTGCGTTGAGAGAAGGATTTGTTTTTTTCGCTTTCTTGATATCTCCTATCGTCCATCAGTTTTGGAAGGTTTGACAAATAGTCCAAGGTTGGAAAGGATTCATCATCTTGAAAAAACAAATATCACATGCAGAAGAAATGAGAACTGAATCTCATGAATAATAATGTCAAAAGGAAGGGTTTACACAAAATATGTAACTCAAGCTCTGTATTCAGGTTATCAAATAAGTTATGACACGAAAATGGTTCTTGAATTTAGTTTCTCAATTTGGAACAGTACTGTACAACGCTATCCAGCTTCTTGACATTTCACCAATTCAACCACCTCCACAAGGACATTTACTTCCACCAGTTCCTCCATTATTATTGCTCGTATTTCCAGCATTTCCAGTGTTTGTGTTATTGTTTGTATTGGTTGTGTTTCCAACATTGACAGCTCCTGAATCGTCATCTTTGATGATTCGTGATTGTTGTTGTTTTGAAAGCCAGGCCTTTCCAAGTCGTTGGAAAATGTCAGTAATTCCACTCGAGTTCTTGGCACTGGTCTCGTTGAAAATTGCACCAATACTGTTGGCATATTTCTCTCCTTGAATTCGTTCAATTTCTCGAAGATTGTCTAAATCGCTCTTGTTGCCTGTTATTGCTATTATTACATCTTCTGGTGAATGTGGAATCAGCTCCTAATTGTTGTTGTTTCGAAATTAGTATATTTTTTGATGACCATATACTGCATATACATACTTTATACCAATTCTTGGCATCATCAAAAGTTTTTTGTCTCGTAATGTCATAAACAATGATGACTGCATTGGCTTTTCTAAAGTACAACGGTACGAGAGCTAGAAAGTATTGTGTGAAAAATTACATGTTGATAATGACCATCGGAAAGTTTGTTTCAGTATCATGACGTTCCGAATAAGATGTTTTTTCCTCTTGCTCAAATTCGAAATGAAAACAGAGACTAGTTCACTTACATTTATATTGTTCTTGTCCTGCGCTATTGTATGATGAAATTGTTTGTAAAAGTTTTGAAATTCCAACTTACGTATCCCAAACGTTGAATTTAATTTGTGTGTCGTTAATGTTGAGAACCTTGGATAAATAGGAGGCTCTAAATAAATGTTGTCAGAACAGTACCAAAATATGATCAAATGGGATATTCAATTATAAATAATAATAAATTCATTCCATCACGTCCGATGTTGATAAAGTATTATGGTGTTCCCCAAGTGATGATATTAAAAATTGGTAAATGTTCATGAACACAATATTGTGCTTACCCGATGGTTGTCTCAATGTATTCTTGAAAGTTGTCTTTCACAAATCGCATCACTGTACTCGTTTTTCCGACTCCTACAGACCCAACCAATACTACTTTCATCTCGTGTGTTTTACCACTCAGCGTGGTGGATGAGTCCATCATTTTTTGCTTTTTTTGAGTTTTTCTAGACTTCTTGCAAGCCTCACATCGAAGTCATGATCCGAGTTGTTGTTGTATTTAAAAGTGTTGAAGAAGCAAGAACAAGAGCATGGCAAAACCAAAATTAAAAGAATGTACTGACGAGAGAAACAAAAGCCATTGGCAAGTTGTCTCAAATCATTTCACTCGACTTTCGCACCTCCAAAATTTTCCTAATAGTTCAACTTGAACAAAAAAGTTCTCGGAGAAGGGGAGTGAGGATCTTGCAGAGACATGGAAAATTAAATCTCAACTCAAAAAAAACAAAACAACACCTCTTGTTGCCACGATACCTTTGTAAACTTGATACCTGAGAAACCAGATCAAATTATAATCTAATATACCGGCATTGATTACATTCATACAACCTACTAATTTTATTTGTTTTGGAAATGACCTCATCTTCAAATTCCGACAAAACTCTCCTCTTGGACGGTTTAATTTCTATTGAATACAACACAACCGATCGTTATGCCATCATTTCATTGTGCAGTAAGCCTGTAAATTCTCTGACTCAACCCATGATGCAAGGAATTATTGATGCCATCGAGTTAGTGGAGAAGAATAAGGCGATGAATGCAATCATTTTCACGTCGGCTGTTCCTAAAATATTCACAGCTGGTTTGGATTTGAAATCAATGTATCAAGTTCCCAAAGACAAGTTTATTGAATTTTGGTCGACTTTGCAAAAATTCTTCTTGAAAGTGTATATTTGCCCATTGTTCACAATTTCATTGATTAATGGACAATGTTTTGCAGGTGGATGCTTGTTTAGCTTGGCATGTGATTATAGAATTATTCATAACGATTATTCGATTGGTTTGAATGAAACAAAATTTGGTTTGGTTCCACCCAATTGGTTTTGTGATGCATATGAAACAGTAATTGGAAAGCGTCAATGCGAACTGCATATTCAATTAGGAACCTTACATACAGCCCAAGAAGCACTCAAAATTGGCCTTGTCGATGAAGTTCACACAGATTTTGAGGTTATGAAAAATTCTGCAATAATGCAAGTGAAAAAGTGGAATAAGGTACATCAAGTCGCAAGACGTGCATCCAAGTATGTGCTTAGAAAACCACTGTACGATAAGATTACCGAAATTTCTAAATCTGATATTGAGTTTGCCTCAAATTGGGTTGGTTCACCTGAGGTTCAAAAAGCTCTTGGAACTTATTTGCAAAGTTTACAAAAGAAACCTGAAGCCTCACAAAGATCATCCAAGTTATAAATGATCAGCTCAGCAGCAATAAATAATATTTTAATTCGAAGATTAGCTTCACAGAATGTTTTAAAAAATTCATTTCAATGGAGTGTGCCAACCTCCAGGTCTTCACTAATTTCACTCATGTCAACCATGTGTGCCATTTCATCTTCATGTTCATCGCTCTCTTGAATTGGAACTCCTTCATCTACATGCCCAATTTCTTGTGGTAAAGGTAAATTGGCAACTTCTTCGAGCCACTTGTGATTGTACAAGAAGTATCTCTTTCGCTTGATGATATCCGTCCATTGTTCATCACATTCCGATATAATGTCCAACATGGTTTCCGATGTGGACGCAATCTTTTCATTATCATCTTGGTACAATTCAATGATTACCTTGATGATATGGTGTTGACTCATTAAACCTTCTCTAGTTGCATTAAATAACAACATTTTGTAGAAGGCATACATAGTTTGCAGAACAATTTCATCGTCTTCTTGCTTTTCGATGAAAATATTACACAGAGTGAGAATAATTGGAGATTTGGCTATTAGCACAGCAGTCTCCTCATCTGATATAGCATTTCCAAGTAGTATGATTGCTTCCAACAAGATGTCATCATCTTTGTCACCTTGTACATTGGTCAAGGCGTTGACAATGGTTGTTCTTGTTTTGGTTCCCTTCTTAAGCAAATTGAACAAAAAAGTGACAATATCATATTGTCTAAAGCTCTGCGCAAATGAAAAGGATTTTGAATTACTCATATTTCCAAGTATTCCCAATAATTCTACCAATAGATCATCAGTTTCGGCAATTGAACACATTCCTAAAATATCATTTACATATGGTTTAAACTGAGGCCCCAATTGAGGATGTTGTGAAATATTTCGTACCATTTTGGCAAGGTGTTGATCTCTTGTTCGTACAAGCCTATCCATAAGCCGAGAAAGTCCTTTGTTGTGGAGACACATCTTTGTTGCAATACTTTCTATGCATGATAGATTGATTGCTAGCGCAATTAATTCTTTTCCCACTCTGGTGCCAGGATATTCTACTACAAACTCTAGTATTATGAATGGAAGCGCTTCAGTAGCACAGTTATAGCTTGAAAACTCTTCTTCTTGACTGAATTGATACAGCAGCTTTATACAAAAGTCAAAATGATCAGGAAATCTTAATAGCTCCACTAATTTTGGAGTGACAGCTAGGACTGCTTTTCGTGAGTTGGAGTCAAAAGTCATATTTATCAATAATCGAATCGTCTCGTTTAAGAGAATAGCATTTTCGAATTGAAAGAGATATGAAACCTTTTGCAATAAGTTAGCCTCAAGCATTTCAGTCCTATTTTCCTGGAAAACACTTAATTTTCGTAAGAATGTGACCAAGACACACAACAATTCTGGATTTTCAGCATCTAATGCATTTACCAGGTGAGGTATAAGACCTCTCTTTTTCATCTTGCTTTCAATTTCAATATTTTCTGCCAAATTCAACAAAATCCTAAAACAAACATAGAGTAAGTTTTCTTGTTTTGTGATGGTTTCTCCAACCTTTCGCTGCTCTTCCATTTTCTTCTCTTTCTTTTGGATTAATTTTTCTCTTCGTTTTTCTTCGTATGCAATCGCATCCATGACTACCAGTCCCACTTTAAATTTTGTAATTATTTCATGAAATTGTGAGAAGTGAGAAAAGCTGTAAAAAACATAGAGGATATTGATCATCAGATCCATGCTCTTCTTTCCTTCTTCTCGGAGTGTTCTTGCTAAAAGGTTCAGTAGTTGTTCTTTTCATGAATAATGACAAGTCATGGTGTTTGTACAACTCTCCAAAAACTCGAGGCATACTTACCATGAGAAACCAAATACTGCAAATTTACAGGATTTTTCGAGAGCATCATAATGTAGTAGGACGCTTTGACCTTCGGAGTCAAGTCTCCGTGCTCATAGAACATCTCAAGATAGCTATCGAGCTGATCGATTGAAATGTATTCCTCACCCGATGCCATATTTTTTATTTGAAGAAAGCTGTACTACATTTGGCGGGTAAAATATTTGCCAGAGCAAAACCTTAAAAATGAGTAATAGTTTAGACCCGTTGATGAATATAGGCGGGTCCTATTCATCCTCTTCATCATCGGGTAGGTCTTCTCCAACGGCTCTGATGGAGAATGATCTCGTTCAAATGATGGAAGAAGATGAGGATGCTATGAGAAAAGTGAGGAATAAGTGGGAGGTCAAAAGAAATACAGGAGGGTTTACTATTCCCTCATTGCATGATGTAGGTTGAATCAATAGTTTCAATGATGATCGGAAAACAATATTTGCAATATGAAATAATTTTTGACATTGTATGATCATTGAATCATACGATAATCATTTGGGAAAAACATTGATGGCTATTGTTGTATACTTTATGTCGTTTTGGACATGCCACACAGTCAACAACTAGCATACAATCGATTCAAAGTCTTTCTTCAACAACAAACATTGTGAGCAACAACAACACGAATAACATTAACCCGAACAACATGTATTCCGCATCATCCGTACTTAATAAGAACACAATTAGCGCAAATTCTACACCTGCAATGGGTGTATTCAAAATCCCTTCCAATACCAACCTCCCTCTCTCAACAACAAAAGCTCCCTCAAATAAGGAATACGGTGAATATCTAGCGAAATTGCAATTGCGGAATCGAGAAAAAAAGAGATTGGAGGAAGACCCTCAAAAGAAAGAACTCGAAGAACGAGAACGAGGATTTAGTTTAAATTGGAGCGGAGCCAATAACCAAAAGAAAAAAGATTCAAAGAGTTTTAAGCCATCACCTTCTGAAGATATTCCAGAACCCACAGCAAAAATTAGAATTAGGAAAAATAGACCCTCCGGTTATGCAGAGAGAAATCAAAGCAGAGTGGATGAAAATGCAAAAAGAGGGTGGAAACAAGGAACAGTTAAAATCAGAAAAGAAAATGGTGACGTTGAAAGGATTGCTCCTTCGCGAGCTAAAAGCATACGCCCTCAAATGTTTGAAAGCGAGGACGACAGAGATGATGAGTTTAATGACGTACACTCCCATGAGTCCAACGAGACTCAAGATAGGGATAAAGAGGAAGAAAATGATAGCGACAACATCGAAGATGATGATGTTCTATTTAGAAAGAAAACAAGAGTGACCCTTAACAAAAATGACATTGAAGTAATTAGACGTAGTCTAAGTTCGATGAGCAACACAGAGATCATTCAAAAATCAGATTCAACAATTTCTACAATGGACACATTAATAGAGAAGCTAAAAAAGTTAGACCAACAGAAACAAAAGTATCTTTTGAAGGTTCTTGAGAAATTGGAAAAGTCAGACAAAAAATTGGAAATTGATGTTTCTGACGATGAAAATGACCATACTCCGATTCAATTACCCAAAGAAGACAAACTCAAGTCTCATTCTCTAAAAGCAGATAATGTAACATCAACACTAGAAATGGATCAATATTGTATTAGAATTTTAAGTACTTGGGGACATTCTAGCAATGTAGGATTAACAGAAATTGAGCTTTATTCGTATGATGCCACCAAAATTGAAGTGTCAGAAGAAAATGTAAACGTCAAAGGAGGATTAGGGGGTAAAGGAAATATTATGAGAGTTTTTAATGGGAAGAAAAAAGTATGTAATAATTTTTGAATGCCGAGGAGCTTGAACCTTATTATCCAACCTTATTCCATAGACCACCAACGATCAGTACATGTGGCAGACATCTTTGCCAACCTTAAGTTATTTAGAAATTGTCATTGATATTCCAGTCACACTCCCTGTGGTTGCCATGACTTTTTGGAATTTCAACAAAAGTATTAATGTATGTAGTTGTTCATGTTCCAATACTTCTAACAACGTATTTAGGAAAGTGTAAAGGGAGTTCGAGAACTAGAAATTTTGCGGAACAACGAGCAATTGTGGAGAGGAACCATACAAAGGGGATGCGGAAACAACATTTTTGACTACTCTACATCTGTGCAATTATTATCTCCAGAAGAAATGCAAGTGAAGAGATCGTTATTTATTCCTCCAAAACTTAAACCTCCCACTAAAATATCACAAATGGACGAAACACCACCCAAAGCTTCGGACGTACAACCTGTACTACCCCAAGAATTGAACATAGACGCTTCTGTATCGGATAGTGAAAGCTCTGATGTAACATCATACACACTGGAGGTTGAAGATGACGACACCGTTGTACAATTTAATGACCCACCAGCTGAAACTGACAGCACCACTGAATCCACTACCAAAAATACCTTGCCAATAATTCCTCCTCTGAACATTGCTGCTAAAGAAAACAACTGCAGTCCCATTGTAGAAAAGAAAGAAAATACCTCTACATCAATGACAATTTCAGAACAGCAAGAACCAATCTGGCTCTCCCTATCACAGAGCAGTCCAACCCCAGAAAAGAAAGCTCCCAAAGGAAATATACTTTCTGATGCTCTCAAGATTACCAACCCAGAAAAAGTTCCAGTTTGGTTTAGGGAGCTTGACAATAAGGAAAAAAACAGAAAAAAGCAAGATATTACGCTTCCAGAAAAGTCTGAAGAAGTTGAAGTTAAAGAGCCATCACCAAAAGAAGTTCCCCAACCAATACGAACTTCCAGATCCAGAGGATTGATTGAAATTCCAAAAGTTGTAAATACGGAATCTAATAGCCCAAAGATTGCTCCTGAAAAACCACTGGAACCTCTTAAAAAGATTGAAGTTCCTACTCAAGCTAAACGATATCAATCAAGATCAAAAAGCAGGCCAAAAAGACCACAAGTGGTGTACAATTCAGGTTGTAATGTAACCGAAAAATCTTCTATTTCAAACGAAACTTATGATTCCTTGATGAGATTTAAGTATTCTCACCTCGGAAGACTGAAACCAAGAGAGGAAGAGTCCAACATTGTAATTTCAGAACCAACAGAAATTCAACCACCAATCTGGAAAATTGAAAAACGTAGAAGCTCTTCAAATATTTTGGAGGATAAGGATGCATTCTATTTGCCTTCTCTTAATATTGCAACAAACACAAAAGAGGAGCACGACGCTGCCGAAGAAGTGGATGAAGATTTTATTATTCCAATTTACCCTTCGGGCCAAAAAATCACAATCAACATTCTTGAAAGCTGGGGAGACCCTCACTACTTGGGATTATCAGGTATTGAAATTTTTGACAAAAATGGAAACCTTATTGCTCTCAATGACGTTTTTTCGCAAGTGAAAGCTAATCCTTCCGACATTAATGCTCTCCCAGAATACTCTAATGATCCAAGAACTGTTGACAAACTTTTTGATGGTGTAAATATGACATGTGACGATCTTCATCAATGGTTAACGCCCTTTACTCCGGGAGGAGATCATTTTATATATATTACTCTTAATGAAAAAACCACTCTTTCGATGATAAGATTTTGGAACTATAACAAATCTAGAATTCATTCTTATAGAGGAGCCAGATATCTTGAAATGTATTTGGATGACAAATTAATTTTCAAAGGAGAAATTAAGCGATCTGCAGGTACCTTATCATCCGTGGAGTCGTGTTCGGAATGTATTCTATTCACAACAGAAGCTGAAGTTTTAGAAAAGATTGAAAAGTATGATCAAGAAGTGTATGGCAACTTTCTGCTGGATCCTGAGCCCAACATCACTAGCACTGAACGACCCAAGACAGCCAGCAAAGATTCCGAGGATTCCACAACATTTAACCCTATTGAGCACTTCTCAAATTTAGACCCCTCCGAGAGACCTCTCACAAGTGCTATTCAATCAAGAAACGATAAAACTAGCTCAAACGGGCTTGTCAGAGGTCAAAAGATTCGAATCACACTTGAGACTTCTTGGGGAGATTTGTTTTATATTGGCCTAACAGGTATTGAGGTACTTGGAAAAGAAGGCAAGTTGATCAAGCTTACAACAGAGCAGCTCTCTGCCAAACCTCGTGACATGAATGAGGTATCTGGACATTCTGGAGACTATAGAACCTTAGATAAATTAATTGACGGATGCAACATTACAACAGATGATCGGCACATGTGGATGGTACCTGTTACAATTTATAAGGAACGTCCATATATCGAAATTGATTTAAGACAAACAACAGAAATTTCTGGAATCAGATTTTTTAACTACAACAAGAATTTAGAGGATACATTTAGAGGAGTGAAAAAGATATCTCTTGCCATTGATGGAAAGCCCTTACTAGACGGTGAAGATAGCTGTTTTATTTTGAAAAAAGCTCCAGGAAATACTAGCTTTGATTTTGGCCACACGATAATATTTGCTGACGTGTTGGATGGTGGTAGATCAAGTCCAGCAGAAATTCAGAAGCCAAAAGATAACAGCGCTCGAGGGAATCCATTGAGAAACAGCTCTCTGTTGAATGAAGGCATTCAACAAGCTATCTTAAAGGCTCAAGCAATGGCTCAGACTCAAGGTGTTCAGGCACCAAGACAGGATTACCAAACTGCCTTGTTACCGTGTGCTTATACGTTCAAGTTCCATTTGATCTCTTCTCATGGGGATCCATATTATGTTGGCCTTAATGGAATTGAATTGTACGACGCAAGGCACGAAAAAATTCCACTCGCTTCAAACAATATTCATGCTAGTCCATATAGCGTCTCAATTTTGGAAAAGTCCAAAGACGATGTAAGAACTCCAGATAAGCTTATTGATGGTGTCAACAACACGTGGAATGATAGACATATGTGGTTAGCTCCTGTTGAACCGGGACAAGAAAATTATTTGTACATAATCTTTGAAGAGCCAATAGCAGTATCATATATCAAGATTTGGAATTACAGCAAAACACCCTCACGAGGTGTTGAGGAAGTAATTATTTATGCAGATGACGTTCTTATCTACAAAGGTTTTTTGCGACAAGCTCCTGCGATTAATGAACCCAACATTGACCTGAAGAAAGATTTTGCTCAATCCATACTTTTTACCAATGATCCTGTAGTTTGCACGAAAGAAAAGAAGCACATTTATTCTAAAACTTTAGAAGATCAAGAAGTGAAGTATTTTAATGAGAAACAGCTTCTAAAATTACCCTCTCAATCCTCCTCACAAATTGTACAAAGTAGTACCAAAAACACATCCATCTCAAGAGAAAATTATCCTTCCACTAGACCCACCACATCTGTTATCAACACCAAGTAGGATTCCGATTCATCCCTCAATCCAAAACTAAATAATTTAAATTATTATAAGTCAATTTATTTTACAAACGTTGTCATAATTTACAAGTTAGTCTTCTTCCATCTCGTCTGATAATGATTCTTCCTGTGAGGATAGATTTTGACTATTGGATGTTGATTCTGTTTGTTCAAACTCTGCCTTCAAAATGTCTACGATTTTTGGATAGGATACCTTTTCTTGTAGCCGAGTTTGTCCAAATATTAATTTTCGCAATAATTTCTGCAATTGTGGCTCGGTTTCTTCATGCTGTGCGCTTAATATTGCAGAGTTGAGTTCTGATGCTGTCTTTTGTCGTTGACCACTTGTCAGCAAATTCGCAAAAGGACTTTGCTCATTATTTTCAAATGCCAACAAGCTCATCGCTTTTTCGATTTCTTGCAAGAATTCAGTATTATCTCCAACCAGAGGAGCCAGCTCTTCCTGAGCAAATTGAAGAGCCTCATCAATTTTTCCATCTTTTATCAATTCTATTAATTGTTGTTGCTGAAGTTTAAAATACAGTTTAGGGTTGGAATCTAGAATATTTGGATTTAAATCATTCACTTGTTCAATGGCTCCTGCTATATCTCCATTGATCATCTTTTTCCGAATTCCGACTCGTTCATTAATACTACAAAGATTAGAAGGCTTGTCTATGATGATTTGTGAGCGGTTTGTAATTGTTCGTATTTTGAAAAAGATGATTCGTTTGTTTGGAATTTCCAACTTACTGTCGAGATTGGTTTCTTGTTGAAATATCTGAGCCGCTTCTTCATATCCTTCTACAATTAAATAATTTAACACAATTTCATTCATTTCGCTGTAATCGGATGATCATCGGAATGAATCGTTGGAAATCCGTTTAAATTTTGATTTAAAAATTTCTTTAAATGACTGAGGAAATATCTCATGAGCAGACATACCTTCTACTAATTTTTACTTCTTTCAATTTCTGTTCCCATTCTTGTTTATTGAATGATGATCTCCGAAAAGAGGAAGGTGAAGCTTTCGACATTTTTTTAAAAATAAATAAATATTTGAATATTCCTCAAAATTTAATGTCAAGTATTCACTCATTCAGTACAAATTGGAATTAAATGGTAAATGTTGCAAAGTCTGAAGCAAGATCCACATTCGAAAAAACAGCTTGTGCTTGCTGTTTGAGAAGAGACACAGAAACCTCATTTTCATGCAAATCAATTTTTCCCTCTTCAACATAACGAGCAGAAAAGTGAGTAAGAATCAATCTTTTAGCATTGAGAGACAACGCAAATTTGGCTGCCATACTCGGTGTGGAGTGACCTCTATCGATACACAGTTCTTGCATTCCGTCTTCCAAAGTACTTTCATGGACAATGACATCACAATTCATGGCGATTTGGGAAATGCCTTTTGGATCATGTGTATCCCCTAGCATGACAAGTTTTTTGCCCTTAATGGTTGGTCCAACGACATCTTCTGGTTTGACAGTGATTCCATTTTCTAATGTGACTTCTACTCCGTTCTTGAGCTTTCCAAGAAGAGGTCCTTTTGGAACTCCTAATTGTTTGCATTTCTCCATATCCAAGGTTCCAGGTTTATCATTTTCTGTGAAAACATAACCTACACAAAACACTCGATGTAATATTGGAGCTGCTTGTACTATCAATCGAGCATCCGTTTTGGATAAATCAAAAACAGGATAAGAATTTGTTTCCTTATTCAAATAAATAAAGGTTCCTGCTGTTTTTGGAATACTATCCACAGATGACTCACTACCGCTCGATTCGTACTCACAAGAAAGAGGAGGAGGACATTGCTCCTCATCATAAATTTTCACTCCTTCTTCATCAGTATCAGGAGGGACAAGTTCATGAATGTCAAGTCTGAAATTCAAATGGGCATCACTCAAAGACAATGTTTGTCGTAAGAAATTCTTGAGACCTAACGGACCTACAATAGGCAAGACCGTTCTAGTCACTGGATTATTACCTGAAAGTGTACACAACAACCCTGGTAATCCGTACACGTGATCACCATGCAAGTGAGTAATGAAAATTCTGGAAATTTTTCCTGATTTCAAAATACTTTTCTGTAATCAATGATGATTCACCAAAAAGTAATGATCCACACATGCAAAGATTGCAAATGATTCATCCAAAATATATTCACCCGATGATCATTTATGAATTTCAATCAGATCTAATATTCGGAAAAGAAAACCCTTACCTGCAATTGATGTTGAGTTCCTTCTCCGCAATCCACCAAATAAACCTCTCCATTCTCCAATTGCACACCTGTAGAGCTCACATTACGCAATGAAGTGGGAACGCCTGAACTGGTTCCGAGAAAGGTCAACGACTTGGACATTTTTTTTTGTTAAGTTCATGTTAGCAGAGTGGTGTTGATCGTCATCTTTTTATCATGTCTGAAATTGATGAAGGGATCATGTTTGAAAATGAGGTCCATTTCAAGTTCATCACAGGTTGTTACAACATCATTAGATTCGTTTCTGATATTGAATCCATTTGATAAAGAATGAAAAAATGATTTCTCAACAAGAAGCGGAGAGAGTTGTATTGCAAAATAGTCAAAACACAAAAGAAATAACGAACAATTTCGGAATAATAGCAAGCGATGAAAAAGTGAATGAACGGAGAGTGATTAAAATTGCAATTATCGGATCCGGAGTTGCAGGATTGTCATTGTAGGTTGGTCTGAAACAATTGTTTTGGAGATGGATGATGATCGGGAATAATATTGAATGAATTTGATAAATTTGATTTAATATTTCGTACAAATGATGAAAATAGAGGACTAGCGTTGAGAAGATTCAATCAAAATCCAAAAATTAATTCAAAATATATCATTGAGGAATGTATCTATGAGAAAGATGCTTCATTTGATTCACGAGCTCAAGGATATGCCTTAACGATACAAGGAAATGGTTTATCGGTTTTGAAAAAATTAAAACTTGATCACAAGATGAAACAACGAGCAGATTGTATGATTAAATCAAACAAAACGTATTCCATGACTCGGGAACATGGAATGCAATTCATGTCAGGAACAGAAAAGAAAATGAAGAAAGATATGAACTTTCCATTGCCCAGACAAGAAGTACGAAAAATCATGTTAGAGGCCTATGAAGAAGAAAGCGGTCAAGTTCAGTGGAATATGGGCTTACGGACATTTAAAGAAGATTATGAAACCAATAAGGTCGTGGTTACATTTGAGAACAATACAACAATGGAATGTGATTTATTGATAGGGTGTGACGGATTAATGTCGGCAGTGAGAAGGTAAGATTTATTGAGATGTGGTTGAATGATTCATTTCACACAACATTTTAGAGAAATGCAACTTGATGAAGATCAAGATTGCTCATGCAACGGCTATGGAGTAGGAGACGGTTATGGACAAGCTCAATATCTTGGTGTGGCCATGATTAATGGAATTGCGGATGTCACAAATAATGACAACTTACGAAAATTAACAAAAGATGCAGTTTTTCAAGTGCTGGATGGCCATTCCAGATTGTTTGTAAAACCATTTAGCATGAATCAATCCATGTGGTTATTGACCTATCCATTGGACATGGGAACAACTGAAATGGAAGAGTATCTCAACCACATTTTGCCTTCCAAAGAAAAGCTAAAAGAACAAGCAATTGCCAAAGTGGCAACATGGTCACAGCCAATTCCACTTTTTATTGGCAACACTCCTGTGGAGCTTATTAGAGGGGGTTTATTGCATCAGTCCAAACAACTGTCATCTCTTCCTTCAAACAAATTCAAAATGACCACCATCATTGGCGATGCGATTCATGCAATGGCTCCATTCAAAGGTCAAGGATTCAACAATGCATTGTGTGACGTCGATGAGCTGGTTGGCCTGCTAGAAAAACATTTAATTACTGATCCTACATTTTGTTTTGCATCTTTCAACACTAAATTCGAGAAGGAGATGGTGAAAAGATCTTACAAATTTCAAATCAAATCTAAAAGACTTGTTGAATTCCTTCATACAGCAGATGCAATTGACAAAACAAAACATGATTACTATTACCATGTTGAGCAGCATCAAAATTTGAAATAAATATTTCGAGTAAAATCTATAGTCACTATTTTTTCTTCTTTTGCGAAGTTCCGCTACTAGTCGTGGATTGTCGCTTTCTCTTTTTCTTTGTCTCAATTTCTCCACTGAGATACTTTACAATTCGTTTACAACGGTCTCTACTGTTTCCTTTCAGCTTCAGCTTGAAGAATTTACACATGTCATGAATCTCTTTGGCTGTATAATTGACATAAATGTCGTTGGAGCTGACTCCAAATTCAATTTTGGGCCTCCCCTCACTAGATGGAAATTCAATTTCTCCTTCTTCTTTTTCACTGTCATCACTTTCTGATTCATGTTCTATAGAATCCTCTTTTATTCCTTGTTCCATCCTAGCTTTGTTTTCGTCATCTTTCTTAGTTTGATCCTTATTTTCACTAGTTTCCATAAGCTTTTCATGATGATGTAAATCTTTTTTTTCTTCCGTGGTGGTGATCGTTCCATTGCTAACACTACTAGCAATGGTTGTTGTTGATTCCAATGTTGCTGCTGAACCATTTTCTTGTGAAGAATTGTTTTCTTTAGGAGGTTCTACTTGTATTTCTGGAATTTTTAGAGACTCGGCTGTTTTAGTAGCTCTTGAATTGATCAGCACTTTACATGCTTCATTATTCGGATTTAAAATGTATTCTTTAAACTTAGGCCTCAAATGAGGAAAACTCAATGACAATATAAGAAGAGCAAATGCAAACGAATCAAAATATGAGCAAATGCAATAGGCATCCTCAAAGAATGAATAATTAGAAAATAGTTCCTGAAATGCGTCTCTAATGGCTGTGAGTGCATTTTTCAGATCACTACTTCTCACGTTCTGCATCAATAGTAGACATCCAGCAATGAACAGTTCTTCTTTCAAAGCGCTCATTAATATAACTCTATCATTTGTATCCTCTCTAAAATTCAAGCATTCACAAAATCGATGTAAAATCTCCACAGGAGTGCTTTGAAGGAAAAAATCAAATCCTTTGGATGCCCACAATTCTGTCACTAGCTCTCTTCTTGTGCTTGTGTAATGAATGGTGTGAACATCACTCACTTTTGAACCAAACACAAGAAATAAATCGTTCAATAGAGAAGCGTCCATAGATTCTTGCAGAATATTTAAGCCTAAAATATATCACGAACATGAATCATATAGTATTGAAAATCACAATTCAACACAAAATGAATATTAGGAAATTAACATGATGAATAATAACACCATACAATCTTACGATGTTCAATTACTTACCTGCCCGAATGCAATGTTTTATAAACTGATTTACAACTACATCAAAATCCTCATTATAGGGATCAAATTTTGATCTGGGTCGCAAGGTTTGTTCAACCATTTCGCACAATAAACTTCTCGGAAAGGCTGACAGTACTTGTTCAAAGAATAAAAGTGATGGATCTTGTGGTAATTGAAAATCGGATTCATCATCCTCACTCTCACTCTCGGATTCTTGATTCTTACTAGAAGATGATTTTTTAGAATCCTTTGATGTTGTTGAAGAGGAGGATTGTTGATTTTTCTTTTCTTTCGTTTCGTTCGTTGCCGACGAAGAAGACCGGCCCGATGAGGCAGCAGCGGAAGGAGCGGCTGCAAAAAGGGACATTTTTTTTCGGATGTTTCTTCAAGCGGAACAGTTTGGGATCAGCACTGTTGGATCCAAACACATTGGTGCTTTGACATCGCCTACATGCTTACAAGTTTATTGTCATTTTCATTATTGGGACAATGAGCAGTAATCCATGGATGACTCAACAATTCTGGAAGAGTCATTCGTTGAAGAGTGTCTTTCACTAAAAGTCGACTCATGAAATCTTGTGCATCCAAAGAAATAAAAGGAGGGAATTTCAAATCGACATGTTTGATACGTTTAAAGGTTTCTTCTTGTGTAGGTGCCATGAAGGGTGGTTCTCCAACTAGAAATTCATAACACAATACTCCTAGACACCACAAATCAACTGTGGAATCATGTTCTTTACCTTCGACCATCTCTGGTGGAAGATAATCCAAGGTTCCACACAATGTGGTTCTTCTTGTTGTTGGGGCATGAACACTCCAACCAAAATCAGCAATTTTCACTTCATGATTGGAGTCCACCAGTAAATTTTCAGGTTTAACTGTTTTGGAAAAAGTATTATCATTGTTGTTACACCATCATATTACAATAATCGCAAATTTCAAAGGTTTAGAAAAACTTACTGTCTCTATGAATGACATTTCGATCGTGACAATATTTCAAAGCCTTAGCTAAACCTAAAATATATCGAGCAGCTTCAGGTTCTGAAAATCGTTTACATTCTTGCAATTGTTTATACAATTCTCCTCCTGCTGCATATTCCAAAATTAAATACACTTTTTGTCGATCATAAAAGTAACCATAAAGCCTCAGAATGTTCTTGTGTCTGAGATGAGATTGGATTTCAATTTCTCTTCGTAGTTGATGCTCCACTCCTTCCTTCTTTAATTGTTCTTTATCTAATACTTTAAGAGCAACAATATATTTGGTTCTCTTCTCACGAGCCAAATACACTTGACCAAATTTGCCCTTTCCCAAATAATTTCCAATTTCAAAGTCTTGTAATTTCCATGACTTTTTCTCGTGTTGAGAAGATAAAGAACCTTCTTGAGAAAGAACAGCCTCGGATGTAGGATTGTTGCTTGGAGCTTCTTCATCTACCATCATCATGTTATGTGATGGCCGAGAAGGAGGAATGATCTGAATGGATGGAGGCGTGATGTGGTGGTGGTTTGGAATATTACTGATATTGTTGAGAGCTTTTCGTTGAGTCGTCGTAGTATTCTGTGGTTGATGATCTACAATCTTCTTGTTATGAATGACTTTCGGAATGGCACTTGGTTTGAGTTGAGATGAAGACTTGTTGTTGGAAAGAGTTGGAAAGTGGAAATGTTGTGGCTCGGTATTCTCTTTGGAGCTGCCAACATGTTCGTAGGAATCGTTCATGGTGGAGTGTTGTGGTGGTGGTGGTGGTAGGATTGAGTGGGTGTGAGGGTGGTATTGTTGCTTTTTATTTTGATGGGAAATGAATTTAAAAATTTTAATAACAAGAGTAACGAATTGTGTTGGCGGGAGATGTGAAGGCGGGAATAACTTGCCAGAAAGTGGTCCTCTTGTGTTGAAAACCAGATCGCAATCTTTTTCGCAGGTGAGGTTATTTACTGTCGCCGAGGAATTTTTTGTTGAGAGGAAGAGAAAAATTGGCGAGGCATGTTTACGACTTTAAGGTTTCTAATATTTACAAAAACATTGGGTTGTATGGTTCTTTGGTTTCTCTTTGCTTTTCCAAAACCTCGTTCAACTTGTTCCTAATTGCTGCTCCTGTTTTTTCAAGCTTATCGGTTTTGATAAATAATTCCTCACCCACCAACTTGTCAATTGCATGAATAATGGTAATAATTGGTCGTGTTGACAACAATTCATGTCTTAGAGAGACTGGAGCAAAAAGACCAGTAACAGTTAAGGATGTGTATGGAGCTCTAGATAACACCAATGCGCTAATTCCAGTCAACACAATATTTTCCTTGATAGGGAAGTGTCCAAATTTAACAAGAGTATCAGCAAGTTCCTGATTATTTGTAACAAAGTAAATACTGTCATCTTCTTTTGTAGGCTCTTCAACTGAGGTCAATAACTTTAAAAGCTCTTCACGACTTGGTGGATGAATAGGAGTTTCAATATCATCGACGTCTTCTCCCGATATTAATCTCTTCTTTTTTTCATCCATTGGAATAGCCTCCAAGCTTACAACACTCTTACATTCATGTCGTTCTGCAAATTCGAAAACAGCATTGACCATTTGATGAGAAAGGCCGGGATCTTTCAACTCGTATTCACTCGAGAAAACAACAATCTTATTGTTTCCGTAAATTCTAATTCCACTCTGTGGTGTGTAATCTAGATTTTATAAAAAGAATAGCAGCCCGATTGTAGAAACATAGAGAAGTAAGCTCATAATGTATTGTCTCTGGTGAAAAAACTTACTCTCGATCAAACAAACAGGAGGAAAAGCATCACTGATCACATCTCCGATCAATGGAAGTTCCAATTGCTCCACAATATATCCTGCAGCTGTTGCGATTGATGTTTGGCCAGAAGGGAAACCTTCAATCAAAACAGCTCCCTATGATTTCAATAATTTTGAAAAAGAGAAATCCACCAAGTTGCGAATCAGTTGTGATGATCCATCAAATAATATTTACCTTGACATCAAAAGAGCCAAACTCTCTCAGTTCAATACTTTTATTTTCAGCCGACGTGTATTTGAATGTTTTAGAGATGGTGGTTTGAATGGCCGAGATTTTCTTTCCAAGTCCTATTTTAATCATTTTTTTTTGCTTGATTTTTAATTCCAACTTTATCCAAGAGATTCTTAAAAGGCAATTTTTATAAAGCCATTCTAAAGCAATACAACCACTCTTCACAAATTTCTTGAGAAAAGGTTGCGCGAAGTAATTCCTCACACCAGAGAAATTAAAAAATTTTTTGTGAGCCAGCTGCGCTGTGACAGTTGAGTACCCCTCTCGATTGCGCAGGGGGGGTAATTCAGACCGAGTGGTTGTATTGCATGGGACCCAAAGCAAGAGATTCCTTATATCGATGTCTGTTTTAACTTGAAAGGTTTTTAATCATTGAATACTACTTTTTTCAAATCTGTCAAGAATAGTTTAAGGAAAATATTGTGCTGACTGGAATTACAGCAAATACCTCTCAGGTCAGCTGCAATTACTGTTTCATAAATTCCATAAGAATTTTCATCTCTTCGAGCAAACAACCATTGCTGTCAAAAATCATCTTTTCGAATGAAACGGGATGTTTCTCTTTAAAATGTTGAATATTCTTCACAATCAGCTTCTTACTATCTTCGTTGACTGCTGGTAATGTCAATCCCTGAACAAGTTTGGAGAAAATCAGTGAGGCTGAATTCCAATGCTCCAAAACAAACATGTCCATCATTTTTGAAAGACCTGAATAACAAATATCAAATTCCTTCAAGTCTGATCGAAGAGGTAGCGCTTTAACGAAACGAGGAAATAAATCCAAAATCAATTGAAAGTCCACAATTTCAGCTATGACCAATCTCGAAAACGTTGCACAAGCATTATCCAGCACATTTGCATCAAGACCAAATGTATCCAGAACGATCGATAGTATGTTCATGATTTTCGTAATATGGGGTTTCACTTCTTGGGGATTGTAAAATGCCAAAATACCAATTCCATACACTGCATTACGTTGCGCGCCGACAGTGGTATGTGTCATGTATTGCATGAGAATAGGAATCAATTGTGAGCAATAAGCTGTTGGGAGTTCTTCTACAGCCTCTATTGATGAACAAATAAAGCATAATGCAGAGGTTATTTCCTCTTCTGGTTGATTGTTCGGAATTTGGAGGTATTTGAGAATATCTTGCCAAATCAAATCCAAATAAGGAGTAAATTGTTTTCTGAGAACACAAACCATGCTATCAATGTTATCCAAATAGGCATAAATACATCGATTTGATTCTATCTCTTGTTGCAAAGTTGAGTTTGCGTGTGTTGTTGTCTCTTCTTTGGTTGGATCAACATTTTCTCTTACAACCTTAAAAAGCATGTCAATAATTTCTTCCATTCGCGAGCGTATCACAAGCAATCCAAATTGGTCGATAATACCTCGAAGGCAAAAATTCAAGGTTTCTGCTTGTTTCGTATGTGGGTGCTGTTTTAAAAGTAGAATCATTTCATCTAAACACTTGTCCACCACTTGTTGTTGTTTTGTTGAAAGTTGTTCATTCTCTTTTTGAATGACCAAGGGAGGAATACCAGCAAAAAGCAATTCCTGAAGTATGCCATCCATTGTTATATTGTCGCCATTCAAATCTATTACTTTCAGATTTGTCAAATACATGCTCGTAGCAAGCGAGCTTGCTCCGGCATATCCAATCAAATTATCTGTCAATTCCAAGCTGGTTAAATTCGACATGAAAGGACTCGAGGCCAATATTTTTGCTCCTTCGTCTGTAATCAAGCAGAAACTCAAGCTAAGAGAAGTGAGATTGGCCATAAACTCACTGTCAGCTATGGATTTGACTGCTTGATCCTTGATATCGTCGCTCATACTTAATGATGTCAAGTTTTTCAAGTACTCGCTTGATGCAACGTTGTGGGCGCCTTCATGGGTGATATCATTTACGCCAATATTTAATGTGGTTAGATTCTGCAGGTATTTGCTGTTGCTAATTTGCCTAGCTCCTTCATCGTTAATGGAGTTGTCAAATAAATCTAAAACTCTCAACTGGGAAATGTAAGGATTATTGACAATGTGTTGAATACCGTCAGCTTGAATATCGTTGCTTTTTAAAATCAATTCTCTTAAGTTTTTTAACAATTCACTTTTGCCAAAAATACTTGCTTCTTGATCGTTCATACCAACCTCAGTCAGCTCTAACGAAGTCAAATTTTTCATGTTCGTGTTTGACGTCATCAGTTCAGCAGAATCTATCCAAGTTGTTCTAGAAAAATTCATAACGATTAGCCGCTGTAGATTTTGCATGTACTGGCTTGATACAATAAGTTTTACACACGCATCAAGGGAATCATCAAAAACATTAACATGTAATGTCGTTAAATTTTCAGAACGCTTACTTGTGGCAATAGCTTTAGCCCCTCTTTGATCAATATTGGTTGCAAACACTTTCAAGTTTGTACATTGGAACTCTGGGCATGAGAATAGAGCAGCTGTTTCTCCAGAGTCCGAGCAAAACATCTTTAAACTTGTCAAATTTCTCATAACATGGCTTTTAACAATGGATACTTCATCTTCAAGATTATCTGAGGCCTCAAGACGTAAATAAGTCAAATTTGACATGTATTCACTGTTTGCAATTGCTTTAACTGCTTCATTGTCAACATGTTCATTTTTAAATAAATCAAGCCATGTTAAATTTTTCATGTATTTGCTCTTTGCAATGCTGAAATATCCTTCGTTACAGACCGAATTCCGTTTCAAAATTAATACTCGTAAATTAGCCATATGTCTACTTGTTGCAATATATTGAGCTCCTGCTGAGCTTAAATTATTACGACTCAAGTTTAACGTCTTTAAATTGTTCATAAGTTCACTACATGCGATTAGTTTTGCTCCATCATCGTTCAAGAAATGACGAGACAAATTCAACTCGGTCAAGTTGTAAGTAGTTGTACATGAAACCCATTGAGCAAGTTTTTGAATGTTCATTTTACTCCTAACACGGTCCAGAAATACGAATTCTTCGAGAGAGGGCAATATAGGTAAAGGTATCTTCAAAGGAATAGGCTCTGAAAAATCAAATTTCAACGCAATTTGGAGGGATTTTGAAAACCATTGCTTGGAGACCAGCGTACACACTCGTACGATGAATTCGGAATCCAGAAATTGCAGTGTGTGGTAGATGGTATCATCTACAAGAAGGGCATGTGGTGCGATTTCCATCATGATCATGAAGGTTATTTTTTTTTAAAATGAAAAAATCGAAATTAAAAAATAATCATGGAAAAGGGTGTGATTGAATTGCTAGGAGGTGGCTTTTTAGGATATTTTGTGATGTTACTGATTGCTTTGCACGTGGGAGCCTTTTTGTTCTGGATTGGAAAGGTATTGATGGGTGAAGCAACGACGTCTGAAACTCAAGAACGAAAGAACAGATAAATTATCAACATTTATTCCGATACCTGATGATGATAACTAATTTTTCATGCTGCTTTTTATTCCGTGTTAGAATATGGCTCATAAGTGTGAGAAAATAAATTATTATTAATTAATATGGAGACAATTCTGGAGTATTGAATTTCAAAAAGCAAGCTTGAATTTTTTTACATGTTTTGTTTTATATTTGCAATTCCTCAGGATTTAAATACTGTTCTCGGAGAACTTCAAGATCTTTCTTCTTGGGCAGGTTAATGGTCACAAGTTGACCATTATTGAGCTTGTAATGGGAAGCGTCACTTTGAGATCGTTGGTGTTTGTTCACCGTCTTTGGAAAATGTTTCATTATTTGTGATTCAATTTCATTGTAAGAAGCAAAGGTAACCTTGGTGGCTTGAACCAGTAATTTACCTTGCTTGTTCACTCTGTAACATTTGGTTGGATCAATATTTACACTCACATAAGAAATACAATCGGTTGGTCTATTACCAAATCCGCTATAAAAAGGAAAATCTGTTGGGAATAAACTTGCAATAGTAGTCAGGCAGTTAATTTTAAAAGTTTCCGGCCTCCTGATAATGACTTCTCTTGCAAGGGCGTTGAAAGCCTTATTTGGAGAGGTTATGGTGGGACCAAGTGGCATTTTGTATCCATCTTGATAGATAGTCTGTATGTATTCTCGTGTTAATTGTGCCATCGTTATTGGTCTGGCACTCAAATAAATAAATTTGTAATTATTTTCAGCAATAGATTGGAAAAGCTTTGCAATTCCAGGATGAGTATAATCCTTTCCCATTCGACTGTAAACTTGTCCCATCAAGTCTGATTTGGTGATCGTTCCGTCTACGTCACTGACAATAATTTTGTCATGTGGTGAAAATTCAAAGATATAGCCCTTAATAGGTTCTGGATTGAGCCCAGATGTATCTGTGAACGTAATAGTCGATCGAAAATCGGTCATGTGTGAGTGGATAATATCTAAAAACTCTTTGGAGGGCCTTAATCTATGTTCAGGATGTGTTTCACTGTCAATAGATTTAAGCCATTTGTCCATATATCCAGTTTTTGATGGGGAGCCAGTTGGACTTGATGATGTATAATAGGTGGCAGAGTCGTCAGAGCTGGTGATTTGTAATTTTGGACTTCTAGAAAGGTTTTTTGCTCCACTTCCTGCTCGTGGACGGGCTGTGACAGCTTTTGAGCGAGATCTTGACGAAACAGTGGTTTCTTCTTCGAAGAGTTTGAACATTTCTTTCTCTTCGTCATCAGGATCTTCGTGATTTTCCAAATCATTCAACATCATTTCTCGTTCCTCCCGTCGCAACTCTTCATTCTCCTCTGGAGAGTTTAAGGTGTCTCGTGGACCTAAATTATTCTTAATAATTAAATTTTGTGGAATAGTTTTTTTGGGGAGTGGAGGCAACAATTTTGGAGGGCTACCTGTTGGAGTGTTTTGTCTCTCCTCTCCATTATTATTCTGGTTTGGCATAGCAATATTTCCACTCGTATTGTTTAAATTAAGTTGTGACATATTTTCTGTGTTGTTCGTTGGAGAGCTGTGGTTGCTGTTCGACTTTTCGAACACAAGTTCGCTTGGTGGTTTGGCATCCACAGTCTTTTTCATTGAGGTTGGTAAAGGTGGTAATGATTTCTTTCGGTATTGGGCAAGAGCAATTTGGGCTTCTTCAGTAGGAACTATATTTGCAAATGTCTTGTTCTCTCCCACAATTACAGGTGATGAAACCTGAGGACTTGACGTCTCCGATTGATTATTTTCCACAATAATACTAAAGTACGCATAGTTGTGATCAGGATCTACAATAAGTTCGCAATTAGGGCATTCAATCTTCTTGCCGTTGACTTTTACCGTGATGACTCGACGGAATTTCGTTCGTTGAGGAAAACGAACAAAGAATGGTGATGATTGATATGAGCCATCTTCTTGCTTTACAATGATGATGCTATTGAAAGAATAGGAAAATAGGGCAACAGTTGAAAATATCGGATTTGTTCCTTTAAACGAATTTTGTATCATACCAGGTACTTACTCTACACAAGCCATCTATTCCGATGATGATAGTTTTTATAATGATAGCAATATGATATAATGATAATGATAGCAATTATGTTTTATGATTAATATTTCTCTGTGATGATAGTGTGGCCACACACGGTTACCGATGTTCTCCAATGCTTATCAAACCAAGGATCAGGAACAATTTTCAATCACCAAAGGTTATATTATATCTGAAATTACGAATATTTCCTTTAGATTTTTCGCAACACAACCTCTCCACAACAAAGCCAACTTTCAAATTTACAATTTTTTTGGATGCTTTGTGATGCCAAGATCGGCGCCTAAGATTGCAAATTTGTTTGGATCATAAAAAAGGAAATGAGTTGACGAAAACATTCTGAGACTTGATAGGGACCTTTGGTAGAGAACACCCTAAATGAGGAGAATGGTTACCAGTATAGAGTTATTAATCTGTGGCAGACATCTACAGCTGTAACTGCATCAGCATAATTAACGCTTGTGGCCACAAGTGGTTTACAGTTACTACTGTTGATAGTTCTGAGGAGGTATGAAGGTAATAGAAGGTGCTCCTTTCGTTTTGGAAGGAACTGTAGTGATGTGTTGAATTGGAACAAACGTTTGACCAGTTTGTTGTTCTATTCGTCTTCTTCGAATTCCCACAAGGGCTGGCAATAAGGTTCCAAAGAATGTGTTGCTAAACCTCCAAGTGAAAACCATGAAAAGGAAATATTTGAAAATTCTTCTAAAATCAATATTGTCAAAATCGAGTGAATGAACCACAATGACTTCTCCAGTGGCAAGTACAGGGCTAGAGGCTAACCGTTCCAGAGGATCTTTTAATGCATTGGAAGCAGCTTTTCCAGCATCAGCTCCAAATCTTTCGATCCATTTTAATGGTGAACCGGTTGTTCTTCGTTTTGATTCTTTTTTAGGCTCGTCTTTTTTGGGTTCTGGATTTTCGTCATGTTTCTTATTGCTGGAGGATGAAAATAAGCTTGAGGAGAATATTGTTGAAAGAATGGACGAGGAGGTATCGCTCGTACTTTCTGGTTTTTTAGATGAAGTGACAGCTGTGGACTTTTCGTTAGACGTACTGTGTGCTGTCTCTTTTGATTCCTGTGTTTTTGATTTATCTTCTGTACCAGTTGCATTTTGTTGTTTTTCCTTCTTGGAATTATTTTGATTACTTCCAATTATCCAATAAAAAGGCGAAAATATGGTGTCAATAAATGTTTGTGTCTGATTGGCATCTTTGGTTGATTTGTCTGGACTCTTTTTCTGCTCCGTTTTACTTTTCTTTGGTACATCTCTTTTTGTTGACTCGACACTAAATCTGTCAAATCCAACTTGTTTTGTTGTTTCTGTCCCAGATTCCAATGCTGTCATTGAATTACTTGTGAGTGGTTCTGATGTTTTAACTTCGTTTGGTCGGTATTGCCCACTTTTTATCGATTTCATTAATTGTTGAGATTGTGAAATGATATCCTCCTCCCCTCCCATCTCATTATCAAATAAATTTTTTGAAAATTCTTTTTCAATCATTTGATTATCGTCTACATTCAATTCATCCATCTCTTGTGATTGCTTCTTTTGATCATTATCCTCCGATTGAATATTTCCTTCTTCATAATATCTATTAATTATATTTACAGATGAAGGCTGTTGTTTTTGTTCCGTAATGCTGGTTGATGAATGATTTCCAAAATGTTGTTCCTCATCCATCATAGAAGCTGGTTCCGACATTTTTTTTCTCATCCATTAAAAAAATGTCCTCTGTTATTACGATCGGATTAGTGGAATTTCGGATTCAATATAACAGCAATGAAAGCGATCAAAACAAAGAGCCTAATATTTGGATAGAGGAAATGATGAGAAAATTTAAATGTAAAATGAGGAATACTCGTTGTAGAAGAACAGAAAAGGCTTTTTCTATGAATTTTAAATTCATTAATGCGTTAACTGTTCCGGAGTTGAAAGTCGAGAATGTTGTACCTAGTGATGTTAAGATTTCATATGATAATCATTGTATCCTCCTTGTAGAGTACTGGTATCAAAATCTTTATGTGTTTGATTTGGACACAAAACAATACAAATATTATGTGTCTCTTGAATTTCCGAATCCTTTATATCTATGTGTTGAAGAAAATTATGATGGAAATTATCACGATGCCTTGATTGTCAGTTTTGAAAGTCAACAACAGGTTTACAAATACGATTTAAGAGAGCTACTGGGTCTATCCCAACACAATCGTAGTATTAATGCTCTTTGGAAAAGCAGTGAATGCGATCAACCAAAAGGAATGGCTGTCCTTTACCTTAATGACTTTGCTATGATGAACGAAGCGTTTGTCAACAGAAATATTATTTTCATATGTGACTTTATGCAACAAGGGATACATGCTGTAAAATCGTCATCAGGACAATTGCTTACAACAATCAAACTACATGATATTCCTCTTGTCAAGCCGTTAGATATTTGTATCCTGAATGGCGATGTTATTTTCACAAATGGTACTCCAACTGATTGTGTTCATATTTTAAGAAACTGTGACCCATTCTATGTCACCTTAGACTATCAATGTGTTGCAACTGTTGGTCGGCACGGCAAGAAGGAAGGCACTTTTTCTGAGCCTTGTAATATTATCTGTGAACAATCTACTGGAAAACTCATTGTTTCGGACACGTGGAATGATAGAGTTCAAATTTTCCAATACTCATCACATAGGAATGAAACCACGCTACAATTTTGGAACTGTTTTGGGAACCGAAAGGAAAAAACATTTAGAAATCCTCAAGGTTTATGCCTCAATCGCTTAAACGGAGAGCTTTTAGTGTGTGACAGCGGTAATGGTTGTATTCACATTTATCAATAACTTAATACTTAGTTCAAACAATGTCGATATTGGAGAATTGGACACAAAACCCCGTTTACAAAAAAAAACAGATTCGTTTTACCCAAATGAGATTTTCGCCATTCAAAACCAAATACTGTGTAGATAATGCATGCTCTCATGGATTCTGAAAACAAAATTTTACAAAACGGAAAACGTTTTTTCTACAAATTGATTGCAAAACCATGCACTTCCACTGAGATCTTCGATGGTTACTCCATGTTGTTGGTGAACCATGTTCGCCATGCATTCCGTTGCAGTCAAAAGTTTGCCGATGTACAAATATGGAGAAATTATGCTCGACGCACAATTCTAGGATGCATTCCTCAGATGATTCTTCATAGCAGTTTTAAAAGAGTAGTTTCAAGTCTCACAGACCATTCCTCAAACAAAATAACTCGACATCTCTCACAGAATGCCATTGAAACGAAAATCTACTCGTCATTCTCAGCATGCAACAGACACGGAAATGAATGGTGGTGGTGACTCCAAAGAAGTATCGAATGCAGCCAGTGCTACAACTCTCAAAGACGATAGAGAGCCTAAAATCACCTTCTTTTCACATTTGAAAGTTTTTAAAGTGATTGGACTGTGGAATTTAACATTACTCTCTTTGGGAGTTATTGGCTCCATGGCATACGGAGTGCTGCCAATTATTTGCCAATATATTCTTGGAGATTTGATTGACGACTTTCTTGCTGCAAACTCAAACGCTGCATATCGAGCAGAAGCCATTAATCAAGTATGCATCAAATTGACAATTATTACATTCTGTGGTATGGCTGCTTTTGGCTTGTATCACTTTTTCCTTCAACTTTCCAATCACAGAATTGGAACTGCGTTAAGACAAGCTTACATGGATGCATTGACAAGGCAAGAAATGTCTTTCTTTGACATTAAGAAAGTAGGAGCCTTAACAGTCGTGTTGAGTGAAGACATTCCAAAGATTCAAGACGTCTACACAAACGAATTTTACATTTTCATGCAAGAAATAATTCAATTCATTGTTGGATTTATCTTGGCTATTACTACCAATTGGAAAATGACCCTTATACTTGTTTCGACCACTCCATTGACCTACGTTTCACATACCATCATGTCACTCTTATCGACCAAGATTACAAGACAAGTGAATCGACTCACTGAACATTCTGCTGGAGTTGCCAATGAAATTACATCGTGTATTAGAACCATTCGATCCATGGCAGGAGAAAGTAAGGAAATGGAAAGATTCAATCAAGATTTATACAAAATTAATACCAAGGGAGTATTTAAGGGAACTGTTCACGCCATGGGTTTTTCATTTGGTAAGTGTGTTATTCAAAGAAACATCATGTGGCTCATCTTTAAAAAATTTCACACAGCTGCCATGTTTGTCTGGGGAACTATTGCTTTAAGTTTTTGGTATTCTGGACATGAGGCTGCCAACGGAGGTACCACTTTAGGATCCATCTTTAAAGTATTTGGAATGATGTTTGTGGGAGTGGTTGCCATGATTCGTGCTGCAACTTTTTTCCCACACTATGGAAAGGCCTATGCCAGTGAGACGACTTTATTGAAGGTCTTGCTGAGAGATCCTGCCATTCCATTAAGTGGAGGTAAAACCATTGAACATATTGAAGGAAATATTCGTTTTGAAAATGTGGAATTTTCATATCCTTCTCGATCGAATGTCATTGTCATGAAAGATTTCAATTTGGAAATTAAGAAGGGACAAACAGTTGCCCTCGTAGGACCAAGGTAAGAATTACACACTTGTTGCTTTGTATTTTAACAATGAATCTCTGAAAACTTTTACTTGTAACAATATAGCGGTTCTGGAAAATCCACACTTGTTGGTCTTTTAGGTATGTAAATTCTTTGAAATTACAAGCTTTTTTATAACTTTAAATTTCAAAATCCAGAACGTTTCTACACTCCAAATAAGGGACGAGTCTTTCTAGACAATATTGACATTCAAGAACTTGATCCAACCTGGCTCCATCACAATATTGGAATTGTCAGTCAGGAACCTGTCCTCTTTTCTGGTTCCATCAAGTACAATATTGCCTATGCTTTAGGTTTAGAAAATGTCACACAAGAACAAGTAGAAAGTGCAGCCAAACAAGCCAATGCACATAATTTCATCATTGATTTACCCAATGGATATGAAACTATATTAGGAGAAAAGGGAGTGTCCTTGTCTGGAGGTCAGAAACAACGAATTGCCATTGCAAGAGCATTACTTCAAAATCCTAAAATGCTGGATGAAGCAACTTCTGCATTGGATTCCGAATCCGAACGATTGGTTCAAGTAAGTAATTGAGTTTTAATTTTTTTTTTTCAATGACTGTAATTTTCACATAGGCCGCTTTGGATGTGTTGATGAAAGGAAGAACTACGATTTGTATTGCTCACCGTTTGACAACAGTAATTAATTCAGATTTAATTTGTGTGATGGTGAAAGGCATTTTGAGAGAAAAGGGAAGTCATTCTCAATTGATTCAGATTAAGGGTGGAATCTATCGAAATTTGGCTGCAAAGCAAATGATGCTGGCTGAGGAACATGTTTCCATCGATCGTGATGAATTGGATATTGAGGAAACAATGGATTTGGTGGTGGATGATGAGCAAAATCTTGCCTTGGAAAGCTCTCAGGACAAACTTCACAAGGATGAATAATCTCTTGGAACACTCTCAGAACAATGATGTCATATAAAGTGCCAATAAATTGTTTATTGGACAATAAGCAGCAATGAATGGTTTAAAGCAAGACACACTACTTAAAGGTCTCTTGTCTAAATTCCATGCTGACCAAGTTGAAATTGAATATCATTGGAAGCAAATTGAATGGCCTTGGGATTTTGAGTCATGGCCAAAACAACAATCGAAAGATCATTTCTCAACACATTTGAGGCAAAAGCCAAGGTGAGACCATCCTGTTGAACAGCCTCTCGAACAATTTCACGATCATTTCTAAACGTATCAGGAGCATTTTCAAGTGCTTTAGGATTTCGTTGAATGGCCTCCATAATAAACGATCGATTTTGTCTCAATACTTCAGAGACATATTTGAGTGCCTTTGCGTCCCATTGAATGGCTTGCAATGCAAAATTTCGATTTTGTCGAATCGATTTGGATGCATATTGCAAAATCCATCCTCTCTTTTTCACAGCTAGTAAAGCCAATTCTGGATCATTTCTCAACTCTTCCGAAGCATATTTGAACGCCATGTTACAAGCTTGAACTGCTTTCAACATGAATTCCTTATTTGCTTTCAATTCCTTCCCTGCAAATCGAATAGTATTTTCCAAACTATCTTGACAATGAGCCGTTGCTGTCAATACCACTTCAGGATTGTTTCTACAACACTCTCCAGCGAGTTGTAACAAGTCCGAACGTTTTTTCACAGTTTCCAACACCACTCGTACATTACTTTTCATTTGGTGTGAACACATTTTAAACGCCATTGGATCTTGCTTCACAGCACATAACACCAATTCTTCATCTTGCATGAACTCTCTCGAAACAAAGTTCAATAATAAACCTTTTTGACTCAACATGTTTCGCACAATATTCTTCTTTGCCATACAACATGGTGGTATTGAATTGAAATGAGTCAATGAATAAGGAAGTACTCGGCGCTCATTCACTTTCTCAATATTGTAATGAACATATTCAAAAGAAAAATTCTTTCGTTGAATCCAATCCTTAAAGTGTAAACGCTCCAATGAATTTTGTGTGACATTCCTTAAAAAGAAGACATGGTTGGAATTGACAAGTAATTGAATATTGGAATCGAGTGTGGTTCCTAATAGTAAAACATCTCGTTTCAATAATTTCCACTCTCGAATAGGTCGTATCATATTTGAAAAATGAATAAATGTGTTGTGCCATGGCTCTCTTCCATCGGTTAATGTGAGAAAAATTTTCAAAAGGAATGGAAGAGTCATGTTGAACTTGTTTTGGACATTTTCAATGTCATTGGTGCTTACAGGACCTTGTGCCAAAGGAAGAATGAGAGAATTGTTTTCTTGATGAAAATAATAAGTAAATTCACGAGCGACAATATTTTCACATGCTTGGTGAAATTTGGAACAGGTCAAGGCTGCCAATGCACGAGAAGAATCATCTAGAAAACTGATAATAATTTCAATCATTTCTTGAGGAGTGTCTGAAAGTGAATATAAGGTCCATGAATCTTGGAATGCTGAGCTGTCAGATGTCAATGGATGGTCATTCTTCTTGACTCTTTTACTTTTCAAAGGATTGATTCTTTTTCTCAAGCAAATCGAATCATCTTGATCGATTGTAGTATCATCATGTCCAACACCATTCATACTCATCGCTTCAGAATCTTCTTCACCAAAATTGGAAGAAATTCCACGAGGTCTCTTTTTCAACTCTTCCGTCCCTTGAGACATTGTTTCATCTACTACTACAATCACTCGTTGATGATGATTCAATACCAATGATGATGCGCCAGAAGAGGATGATGGACTTGTGTGATTATTTTTCGAACCATCATTATTCTTTCGAAAACCTTTCGAAGCGTCATTCCAACACGTTGTGGTTCCATCATCATCAGCATCATTCGAACAACAAGAATTTTCATCGAAGCTCGAAAAACATGTGTTCCATTCGTTCGAATTCTGATGATTCTCATCATTTCGATTATTCGACGAACACGTTGTGGTCGAAGAATTCCTTCGATCCGATTGCGTCAATGATGATGAAATTGGAGATGAAATAGATCGAGAGTTGTCTTGACTTGGATTCATGGAAAGAAAGGAATCATCATGGATGGTAGGAGGATGGTTTTCCTTTTCCGATTCATGATAGGAGGAGGATGCTGCATTTTGCTTCTTCTCCAAGTCTTGCTGTGGTGAAGCAAAATTTGGCGGCACACGCATTTTTTGACCTTAATGAGAATTTTTTTTTGTAAAAGAACGGAAGGCTTGACAATTGGCAGGTTCTTTTCTTTCGTGATGGACATGTCTTGGTGTTAATTATGTTTGAAGATCCTTTTATAATATTGAATGTAAACATGTCACAACTCCCACTCTTTTGTGCCATTAATAATTCCATTGTAAATATTTTATAAAATGATCTCAATGGTCGATCAAAGAGTTGAAAATCAAAAACATACCCATAAGTACTACACCACGAAGGTCTCGATGTTGACCTGTGATGATTCTCTGAAGTGTTGTTTTCTGACATTTTTTGAACTTGGTTTCATACAAAATGTCAATATACATCTCAATCTTGTAGACACCAAATTTGTATGATCTATCTACTTTGTTCACGATGAAACAACACTTCAATTTCTCTTACATTGTCAAACAAGAACCACTCCCATCATTCGACCTACGTTTTGTGATTCTTTGAATTTTGCGTCTCTGTTCAAATGGTAATTGAATGAAACTATTTTCCGTCTCAACGCGTTGTGGAATGCATTTCACAAGCAAGCATGGACAATTCAATTCATGTAAAATAATGTTGCTGTTGTCGTTTCCAAATAATACTTGGCCATTATTAATAGTGAGTAAAAGTTCATCACGATGAATGATCAATCGCAGTAAGTTGGGAGCTGTCAAATATTTAAGATGAATTTGAGATTCTAGACTGAATGATTGGAATACCATCGATCGAATATGCATGTGCGTGAGACGTGTCAGGGATTTAAAATTAATATGCGATTGAGAAATATTAATCTCACAAAGAAGTGGCATATCCTGTAAGGAAAGCGAGAGTGAGGAAACTCCTCCATGTGAAATGGTTAAGTATCTCAAATTTTGAAAAGTCTTCTGGGAGATTACACATTGTGTACAGCTCTTCAAGATCAATAAATTAATATTTTCACAATTGATGCTGCCTGATACTCGATGGAATGCTACATTTCGAATCGACTCATGCTCAAGACTGGTCAAAGATGTCAGTTTTTGAATATATTGTGGGGTGGTTTCGGCTATGGCTATTTCATACCCGCTGCCCGTTTCTTGTTTTCTTTCCACACATATAGATTTCACATCTGGAACTAAGGTCAGTAGGAATCGATCGGTTGAGGTTAAGGGATCACGACTCGATAGTTGAATGAATCTAGCCAAAGTATGTTTGGTGAGTAGATCGTCAAATTGATTATGATCGAGATGATGCATACTCTTCACAATGAGATGATCCACAGTAGTTCTTTGATGAAACATAAATGTTCTCTTGTTGTTGGAGCACATGTTCAATGTGGCACAGTGTTCCAAATCTATTTCCAATACGCAACGATTGGACATGATCTCATCATCGTCATGAAGCACCAAACTTGATAAACGGACGTGAGGAAGAAGTAGTTTCAGGTTGTTGCAATTTTGGAGATGGACGCTTCGAAGAGAGTGACAAGTCATGATTTCCGTCTTCTCAGCTCCTTGAACATGAATGGACTCTATGTGTGAATGATCTCTAAACGAAAATTCTGCACTTTGTTCATGGACCATGTTTGAGGTGATGATTTTAAATGTACGTAAACGCTCGTGCTGTGCAAACCAACCTTCTGCATCACTTCCTTTACAATTGTCGAGAGTTAAATGGGCCAATGAATCGAATGTTTCACGTTCAGGAATGTTAAACATTCGAAGATGCATACAGTGAAGAACAGGAGCTCGCATACCCTTCAATATCAAATCTTGCATACATCCTTTTAAATTCAGAATTTTCAAAGATGTAAATGAGAAGACGCTCAAATCAAGTGTTTCAGCACTTTGGTATTGAACCAATGTCAATTCTACCAAATTAGAGATTAAGCCCGTAAAATCTGTGTTTGTGATTTCATGGGAAGGGCTTAGCTGCAAAACATTGAGAGATCTAAATTTTGAAATGTACTTGGTATCATGGTCGCCATAGAAATTTTTGAATAGTGCATGAAGGGTGTGAAAGTGTTTAGAATCTATGGAACCTGCTAACTCCACTGAAATCAATTTTTCAGATGTGAACACTCCTTTTTCAATTAATTGTCGACAAATGTCAACAAAAACTCCAAAATTATTTTGATTGTTCATCAATGTAATTCGTTCCAATGACGACATGTGTGCAACTAGTAATTGAACACAATTTTCAAAAACAATATCAACCGCAACATGTTTCATATTCATCCATCGTTTCACCGACATGTCTAACGAGCTCGTGATATTTGGTCTTGCTCCAAGCTTACCTGCTCGTTCTAATAGTATCAATTCTTGAACATTTGGAAAGGCCTCAACGAAATACTCTAATAACACTTTACAATCAAATAGTTGTACTGTGTGATCACTATCACCCGTCGATGGATCATTCAAATATTGAAATCTCTTTTCCAATACATTTGGAAAATTGAAAACCTCTGCTGAATAATTCAAACATAATCTCTTCACCACTTTTTTACGATCACATAAAACATCTATCATGTTCAATGCATTGAAAATGTCATCTTCCATATCGGGAATAAATTTTTCAGTTAGAGCATTGGTAAAGTGTTCCGAGAAGGAGGATTCTTCCTCTGGAACCATCATACTCATTGCCATGAATCGGGATCTCTCCACGCAACTCTGATAATTCAAAATTCCGGGAAATTCAAACACCACTGAAAACCATAACGATTCATTCTCATGCACAAACTGATACATCTTTTTACAGGAATATTTCAACGAAAAGAGGCTTAGCATTTCATTCAATGAAAATCGGGTGTTTCCAAATTCCCCTAAATAATCATCATGCTGATCATCACTACGTTTAAATAATTGATGACTCTTCCGATGAGAAGTTCGTTTGAATTTTGCTTGCTCCCGATCACGATCATTATCAAAGAGCTCTCCGATAAGAAATGAACAAATAGTACAGAGAGACTCGGTAGGAAGATCAATAAGAGACATTTTTTACAATGTGTACTTCGGAAGGGATTATTTTGAACAATGAACTTTGTTGAAGAAGTTTACAGAGAACGATTTGTGGTCTTATTTATTTCTTCTTTGAGTTGATCAAGGACTCGCAAAATCGATTGAATTTTCACAATTTGAGCTTTTCGTTGCTTCTTAATCCAAGAATTGTCTTGGAACTCTAAATTATCCAATTCAATGGTTAAATTCATCAATTCGCCGTCCAATCGTTGCAATGTTCTCAAATCTTGATTTTTCTGAATTTCCAAATTTTCGTTCGTGACATGTTCCTGATTTTGTTTTTTGCATTGATAATTCGTCACAAATTCATCGACCTTATTCAACACATTTTCAATCTTATTCGAAATTTCAAACACTTTCCAACCATGCTCTCCTCCAAATCGATCTTTCATGTTTTTAAGTCGAGCAGCTTCTCGTTCTGGATCTTCGGTTGCGAGTTCATAACGACACGTTGGACATGAATTGTGATCCTTAATCCATGGCATGATACAATCTTTATGAAAAACATGTCCACATGGTAATCGTGTCAAGACTTCTTGTTCTTCAAATTCACATAAACAGACGGCACATGATTGAGTATTGGATGCATCTTCGGAACAAGAACAGCATTGATCATTCATGATTTGTTTTCGGAAAGGAGTTAACGTAAAATTAGGTAATTCCTGAATGGCTCGTTGGGTAGTGGGTGTTTTCTTATTGATTTGATCTTGTTGATAGTTTTGGAAGGATTGATTGGCCAAGTTTTGGAAGAATTGTTGAGGATCAAAGAAGGCTGAGCCATATTGAGAGTGGTGTGGAGTGGCATTGGGATGAGACTGTTGTGGTGAGGTAAAGAATGGAATAAAGAAGGGAATGAAAAAGTTGGCATTTGGTGGTTGAGAAAAGTGAGGCGAGTGCGGAGAAGATGGCTCCATTGAGGATGGAGGAACATAAATATTAAAGTTAATGGTGAACATTTTGTTTCTATGGAAGGCTTGTTGTTAGAGATTGACGACTCGGCTATGATGTTGTCTTTTTTTTCACTTTTGATAAAATTTGAACGAACGAGGAGCGAATTTAAGTGCGCATGTGCTAAAAAAAAAATTCATGCGTTAGGAAGATCGGAATTAGTGCATCACGGAATTGCTTGAATCGGAAGTCTCGGAATGGAGCGGAATGCAAAGAATGAAACCATCATGGATGAGATTGATCAGAATTGGAGTGCCTACTCGAACGTTCTTTCTTCAGCCAATTCGTCAATTTCTTGAGAGGTCAATACTGCTCGTTCGTGTGCCTTGTCGCTCAACAAGTAAGATTGCATGACTCCTTTTCCTTTCACTTCAATTTTTCGTTCTTCAAATTGTAAATCCAAATCATGAACTCTCTCATAGGTGGAACGAGAAATTTGAACTCGTCCTGGCAATGATGTTGATTCCTGATTTCAAAATTATATGTGTGTATGTCATTGAAAATAATAATGTTGAACATTAAAATAATAACCTCAGAGAAAATACTCACCATTCGAGAAGCAACATTGATGGTGTCTCCCCACAAATCATACGCAAACTTTTTAGTTCCAATCACTCCTGCCACTACAGCTCCTGTGTTGAGTCCAACTCGAATATCCACTTGATGAATGACATGATCAGTTGCTGAAGTTGTGGTGGGTGACATTAAATTATTGTTCGATGAAGAGCTTGAAATTAAGCCATGAGTATTTGAATCATTTCCTACAGATGTACCAATCATTTCCAAAATCATTTTGTGATTGTAATTTCTCACCACTCGAAAAGTTTCCATGGCAAATCTCAACACTCTTTCTGCATGATCACTGGCTTGATGCAATCCTCCAACACAGAAATAAGCATCTCCAATCGTTTTGATTTTTTCCAATTCATACTTGTCAGTCAATGAATCAAATCCATTCACAATATCACTCAACATTTTCACTACTTGATGTGCATTCATGGAACTTGAAAGTTTTGTGAATCCAACCATGTCAGAAAAGAAACATGTAATATCTGGAAGCTTTTCTGCAATAAATGTTTCTCCCTATTTTGTATGTCGTGTATAGTTCAATTTTGTGAGTGTATAATTCAATGTTAATTCCATGTGAAATTGTTATTCATGGCCATGACATTATGTGATGAATTTCATTATTAATATTTGGAAAAGAATAATATTATTTCAACATTTCCACAACAGTATTATAATATCTAAAATACTTACATTTTTCAATTTTTTAGCCACTGATTCAGGTAAAATATTTCTCAAAAGATTCTCTGAAGTTTTCTTTTCTTCAGCAAGAAGTGAATTTTGTTTCTTCTCAGTGGTAATATCCTTGATGAAACAAACGAATACTGGTTTTCCATCAAAGGTAGTCCATGAAATATTCAATTTCGCTGGAAATTTCGTTCCATTCTTTCTCGAACATTCAATTTCCAATGTTTCACCACTTACAATACTTCCTGTATTGTTTTTCATGTGGTTCAAAGAGGTTTGAATTCTTTCCTTATTTTCTTGTCCAAACAAATTCCAGAGAGGAAGTCCAACAACTTCATTCATATTCTTTCCAAACATTCTCTGTGCTGATGGATTGTAAATATCGACAACAAATTCTTGATTGCACAATACAGCTCCATCTACCGTTGCATTGAGAACGTTTCTAACCTTGTCATCATCGTTGATAGTACCATGTTTTTTCTTGCTCCAGTTGAGCTGATGGAAGAGAATGTAATTTCTGAGAGATTCTTTGGCGTCAATGTTTTCAACTTTGACATAGTTTAACATCATTCTCAAGCATTGAATTTCAGAAAAATGTCTTGAGGTTCCTCTCACATACATATTCGTTATAATAGGAAGAAGCACCAGTCCAATAACACCAATGATAATCGTCCAAGTTTGGCTGTCATCCCTTTGAACACTTGCAACATAAACCTCAATAAAATTCAGCATTCCATCTGTTATCTTATTACAAGCTAGATATACACCTGTGAAAAATTGATCAAACACTTTAAGTACATCTTTTTGGGAGGAGGCATAGACTTCATTAATTTCAATAGACTTCAAAAGAAAGCTGTGAATTAGGTCATTAAGTCCAACACATTTCGAGGAAGTAGTAACATTGAATTGGGTACAATTACGGCCTTTGAGGAGAGTGTCTATTTCAGAATATTTTCCAACAAGAGAAGGCTTGCCATTGTTTCCAAAAATTAAATGATCCCAATATCTCTCTAAATTCGTTGTTAGAACATCGATTCCTTCATGATAGTTTTGGGTTTCATTTTGGCTAAGTAGCAACTCCGAGTTCATAGGATACGTATTAGGTGTCAAAATTCCAAAGGCATAAATCTCGCCAATATGTAGCGAGGTAATTTGTGCAGATGCAGCTACGTTCACGGAACCTTGAATGTTGCCAATAATGTCATTTGCATTGTTTGTTGTTGAGATGGTCACGTATAAAATAGGTAAAGAGCACAACATGAATATAACAGTCAATAGACACACCAAAATGGCGTTTCGGAGCATTGGATTTTGCCATAATCCATTACTGACATTAGATTCTTGATCGTTTGCCTTAATTGAATGATATATCTTTCCAATAGCTTCTTTAGGAATCGACTTTTCAAACAGTTTAACAATCTTTCTAAGTTTAAAAGAAAAAACGCTCTGCAGCCCAGCGATACCAAGGCAGAGAATGGCACCCACAACGAGAGATGAAATGCAGTAGTATATAAAACTTCTTTGATAGGTAGTAACAGTACCGTTAACATCATCAGAAATTTGGTCACAAAACGTTCCAAAATTCTGCGACAAGGTACCTCTGTTATGCCATATATACATCAATAGAAAATCCGTCAGAAGAGTTCTGTTGAAATCATTTCCTTTCAACGATTTCAATGTCTCTGAGTGTTGCAAAAAGGAATTAGTGAGTGTTGAAATGCTAATGTTTCTTGGGCGAGGATTGAGATAATATCCGTATAAATTTTGATGAGGAATTTCAGGATAATATACCATAAATGAGTCGGCAGAATATTCAAATGACATGTGAGGGTCCAATTTTCCATCCATAGCCATTGACTGAAGATTATAAAAGGAACTTAATGCTAAACCTATTCGTTCTTGGTAAACCTTGTCATAATCACTGGTGTTATTAATACCCTGTGATGATAATGATACAGGAATAGTGGAATATGTTCCAAAAAGTGCTGAAACAACTTGATGAACTCTCAAATCAGAAATAATGGCCAGAGAACGAGCTGAAGGAGCACATGCTTTTTGAATTGTGTTTAAATCTCGTGTGGCTGTATTCAATGTCACAAGGGCCAATACCACTTTTGCTAAAAACAATAACCAAAGAATTGTGCTGAATGTGAGAATGATAAAATATGGCAGTAGATTGTTCTCAGCTGTTGCAATAGTCGACTTGTACATGAGCTCTTTTTTCATTTCAGGGCTCTCTCCAGCTTCAGATAACTCCAGTTGATCGGAGTCCTCAATAAGCTCCTTAGATATTCCTTTAAGTCCATTTAGGCCAACAATATTATTACTAACACTAGCACTGTTCACCTGAGCCAACGGTGTCACTCTATTAGCAATATTACGCGTAATGGTCTCCATTAACATACTGCTAGCGCTAGCTCTCAACAGCCCTGTTGAATGTTTAACTAGAGACATAATACTTGGCTTTTCGTGACCCCTTCTTGCATCCTCATCTTCAATACTTTGAGCATCTTGATAGAGTTCAGATGCCTTGTCACTGTTGAAGAGAACTTCTTCATTGAATCTTGCATATAATCTCAATACACTCTTTTCTTCAGAGAAGAGTTTCATCAAATTTTCAAAAGTCTCTTCACATTCCATGATGAGAGAGGATGCCACTCGATTGATTTCCAACACTCTATTTTCATTGACAGTGTCATTCATTAATTCTTTCCAAACCAATTTTCTGCATTGAACAATGGTGAGTGTATCTTTTTCAAGTCGATTCAACATTTCAGACATGTCTAAAACTGTTGAAAAATCTTTGGAATCACCTTTCTCTCTTCGAAGGGAATCTTGAATTTGTTTCAATTTTTCTTTCAACATGAAATTCAATAAAATTCCCATCTTTTCATTCTTCACTCTTTTCAAAAGAGTTTGAGAATATTCAAGTGAAGAAATGCAATATGATTTTGGTGATTTTGTGAATGTGACTTGACGATCCATATCCCAAAAGTAAGCACACAACAAACTTGAAGAAACGAGAAGATTCTTGTGTTGAAATCTTTTGTGTTGAGACACAGATTTGATCATACAAATGGCCATATCCTTGTCTGAAAATCCAAAAGTGTCATCATTACCTTCATTGCCTGAAAATATACAAAATTTGAGAAATAATTCCAAATTTCGAATTTGTTTTCTCTCTTCCATGTCTTTAAAGAGAGCAATCGCTTCCTTCTCAAACAAGTTCTTGATGGCTTGAAATCTTTCTTCAGCTGAGAATCCATCATCAATAATTAAGACTGCACATTCAACCACTGCTTGCATGATGGTGAGTCTGTGTATTGAGATGACATTCAACCGGTATCATATTCAACCATTGCCATAAATATGTCAAAGAAATTCATGAGAATATAAGGGTTCGTTCTTTTTAAAAAATCATTCCATTCAACTCACCTTGTCATTTTGTAAAGAACTCTTGTATAAATTTCAACAATGAAAAATCCAATTAAAAATCCAATCAGAAACATTCCAAAAGCTGAAGTTGCAAATGCTAAACCCATTTCCCATTCATTCTTTGAATTCACAAGAAATGAAATCAATGGAAACACACAAATAAATGTCTTTCCCAAACATAGAGCACCAATCAATGAATTTTCATATCTTCGATAATATGGAAGTAAATACAAGAGCATGACAAAAAGTGTGAATGAGAGAAGAATATGAAGAATACTCTTCACAAACATGAATGAGTTTGGAATGATGGCATTCAATGTGATTTGAATTTCTGAAATGACCAAAACACTTCCAATGAAGAGTGAATTGTCTGAAATGAATGGTCTCTCATTTCGAATGTGACAATTTCCCAACACGAAGCAACACACCATGCTGCTCAACATTAAACAAATAATTCCCAAAAAGTTCAAAACAATCAATGCAATATTACTTGAAGAGAAACACATGTAAGATGGAAATCGATTCAAAACTTTTTGAGGTTCACTGAATCCATCAAAAGTAACTGAACTTGAATAATTGCAATCAATGAATGAAGTCATCAAATATGTCATGACCAAATGTCCAAAATAAATAACAAATCCCAATATTTTGACCAATGATTGAATGGTCTTGATAGAACGATCTGCTTTGTGATAAACTCTTGATGTATAGAGAAATAGACATAATACTGAAATGGATATGAGAATACATAAAGAAGATAATGCAATGGCAGCTTCATATGGAATGGCATTGAATGAGAAAGTGACCAAATAATTGAAAGCTCTCCATATCCATGAACCATAGAGTCCAAAATTATATTCACCTTCAAGTCCAATCACAATGGAACCAATCCATATATAAATATACAAGGTCAAGATCATCAAGTAGCTCTTCCATCCATGTTTGCTTTTCGCATCAATCAATACGAGCAGTGTTGAGGAAATTACATCTTGAATTTTGGAGAGGACTTTCTTAGTAACGGTATTTAAGCCAGTACCACCCATATTCGTTGATGATGCAGCACTGAAAGAGTAAGCAGACATCGGCCCCGTAGGATTATTATTTACAGGCTTGAAAAAAGTTGGTCCTCCGAGAACGACATCTTCTCGTTCCTTAGAAGAACTTGCTTCCGAGTCAGTCATGATGAATATATGAAACTATCTTCTCCAGATTCAGAGGAGTGTTTCAGTGTAGTAGTTGTAGGGGTTGGTATATCTCTATAACAAATACAACAATAATTAGGCTTTGAAGTTGTTTGAAAGCAACAACGCTGTTTTTTTGGGGAGTGTCCCGCCACACACAGAAAAAGTCAAAAGCTTTCTCATCTCTCATCCAATCCGCGATAATTTACTAAACTTGGGCTAGTATCGCGGATTGGATGAGAAGGGTCTTGATGGGCATCTCATTTGGATACTAATGATCATTGCCATGATGATATTACTCTTGATGGGCATTCAAATTGACAAGACCAATTCATAATTGATGTTGATATTATTGGTCTTGTCAATTTAAATGCCCATCAGTTGCGGTTATTACAAAACTACCTAACAATGTCAACTGAAGGATTAATATATTGTTAATATGTAATTGTTATGATGATGAAGGAACAAGATGAAAAATGATTACAAAAAAATTGGTGTTGCGAAATTGTATGAATTTTTGTTTTTTTGTGTGGTGTGCACTACTTGAAAATGTGTACAACATGGACGCTGTAGTCACACACATACAACTCTCCTTCCATCTCGTTCAAACAAATTCCACATGGATATTTAAATTGATTGACAAATGCTGAGCCATAGGTGCCATACGAGGTCACAACAGTTCCATCGTGTTTGAACACTTGTATTCGATGATTCCAGCCTTCAAGAATCAAATGAGAGGAAATGTATTTTTACACATGAAACGCGTAAAGAAAAGATGGCTTGCTCATAAAACTTACCATCACTCACAATAATGTTTTTCGAAACCTCATCAAACAATAGTTTCAAAGAATTGTTCAACTCGCCAACTAACTTTCCATATTTTCCAAATGTTGTCACTCGAGTCCATTCTTCATTTTCTGTCCTTTTCAAAATTTCTATTCGGTTCAATGGATGTTTTTGGGTCACCAATAATTCTCCATGACTATTGATAAAGACGCCTCGTGGACTATCAATCTCGATTCGCTTGATAAAATCTCCTGATATTGAATTCAAAATTGCTATACAGTTACTCTCGCTGTCACATACAAATACCTCTTTTCTATGATTACAAACCGCAATTCCTTGAGCAGACAAAAATGTATGTGTTGTTTTCCAGATGTAATCGAACGGTTCCTCGCCTCTTTGTTCTTCCAAAGAATATTCTAACAATCTTCTCAAATCATATTTATATACAGCATCACCATCGTCACAATCAAAAAGTAAAGCGTCATTCGTATTTCCTTCATATGCTTCTTCAATACACAAATATTTAGGCATTGGAGATATGCATTGGATGGAAGATATATACTCCTTCGTCTTCAAATCAAATACTTTTATCCTATCATTATTCAAATCACTAACTAATATACAATGATGATTATAAGATACAGTGACATCAAATGGTCCGTCAAATTGATCATTTCCATATCCAGGAATCTCTAGCCTGCCCAACGTTGCAACATATTTAAAATCTGTTGAGAATGATTTCCGAGCGCCGGCCGATCTCATCTTTTCTTTGAATTTCCGAAACAAGTCATCGTCGTGGTGATGAGCAGAAAAGTATTCCCAGTCCATGATTGTCATAATCACGTCTGATGTTGGTTCATTTTGGTTGTCATCTTGATTGTTGGTACAACCATCTCGGAAGGAGTATACTCCTTCATTCATTTTTGTTTAAATGATTCAACAACAGTGAATACACTGTCTAGTTTTTCCAAATTCAGTCTTTACAGTATTATACAATCCATAGAGAAAAATCATCATCCACTTTCCGAAATTGGATACACATCATTCACCATATTTCTCATCTCTCTTGAAATTCCAATATTTAATATTATGATGACAAGAGAAGCGCAATTGAGATGAGATTTAGATATTATGAACTCGTGTTCGAGTGGTAAACAAAAAAATCATTTTTTTAAAAAAATTAAGCTTGTTGTAACAAATTAACCGATGAATCTAGCCGATAGAATTTATTTCTAGTTCTTATTTCCTCTCTCATCCGAACCGTTCTTTCAGAGATATTGGAGCGATTTCGCTTTATGCTGTTCCTGATAGCCTGAACTCCATCTCTTGCCATTCCTTATAAAAATGTAGGTGAATTCCAAACCAGTATTTTCAACAGTGGTAATGATCTCCTCGATGAGGAAAGTGGGTGAATAATATTTTAACGTGATGGATGAGCAGTTGAGTTGTGTTCATAACCATTATTTAAATGAGAGATTTACGGACTGTGTCTTTTCAAAATCCAACAACAAACAAAATCCCTTTTTCATGACTAGCACTTTCACAACACAGCAGCTCTCGGAAGAATTCCACAGTATCTCTCCATGGATGCTGGCTTTACAAGGTGTGTTGCAATCCAACAAGTCGACCAATTCCACGTCGTCGTCGTCATCGACTCTTCATCCAATGACTCCACTGGAATTGTACTTTGTGTTGAACTTCTCCACCTGTGCACCCTATATCATCATTGAACTCCTTCTTTTCGTGTTATCCATTGTGATTTACATTTACAAGTTTAAGACCATGAAAAGGAATCAACATGTGTTGTTTATCATGTTGTTTGTGTTGCAAGCGGTGGTCGTTGTGGATTTGGTATTGAGAGTGAATAATGAGGCCAATGCGTATGAATACAGTCGATTGTCATCAGGAAATGCTGACTATCTATTGTCAGGAATTGCTGTTGCGCATCGCTGTATCATTAACTTTATGGTGTTTTGGCAATTATGGATCATGTTCTTTCTGTGTACAGTATTGTAAGTATTTGTGAAATGGTCAAACAACATGAAATGTTGACAACACATTTAGTTTGCAAATTTGCCGCCAGACTTCTTCCATTACACCAATGGTATACAAAGTATTGAATGTGACAAATATTACAACCATTGTCGTTATGAGTATTTTCTATGCACTTCACACTCTGTACAATATCATTTCTGGTGTATTGACTGTAGAGGGAATTGAGACCGATCCTAATATCATATTTCCTGAACAAGTTACATTGATTGTTACTGCAGGTGTGCTTTTCTTTGCTTCGACACTCATCTTCTCAATTTTGCTGAATATTATCAGTTACAAATTGGAAGTGGCTCTTTCCAATAGTGTGACGAAACTCAAAGAAATGATGCAAGGAAATGAAGATTTTGTGAGCAAGGAAATTGAAAATTCTCTCAAGTTCAAACAAACAACTTTAAGAAAGACAAGACTCATACATGCTGGATTGTCGATTGCTCTGTTGTTAGAAGCTTTTGGATTTATTTGCATTTCCTTTTACTTTTTGAGTATTTTCTTTGGATTTGTTTATTTAACTCTGTCGAACTTTGGAATTTTTATTTTCATATCTTTATTAATTGGAATTAATGCACCAATGAAAGAAGTTCAACAATTCTTCCAAATTAAAACTGTTGAGAAAGAAGTTACTAGAGCAGTAAATACCACCAACAATACCAGTACCAATGATAGAAAATCAACCAAGATACAGGCCGGAGACGCTACTATTGTGTAATGCCAACATCAAACGCAATAAACAAAACTCTTGCAACTTTCGCCACTTTTGGAGAACAAGTTTCAAAGAATTTAATGTAAAAGATTCCACGTTTATTACTACACTGTTATTATTAAGTAATAACTGTTGGCTCGTTTCTTCCAGTAAATTCATTTAACTTGCTGACAGTAAGGGCTACATGAGCAAGTGGCTTCACTTCGTCCAATGGGTTTCCATCCAAATGGTCGGCACTGTACTTCTCCATGTACACTCTGATAGTAGCTCCTGCACTTCCAGTTCCAGATAATCTGAAAACAATTCTACTTTGATCGACCAATTTGAAAATCATTCCTTGCTTTCCTGTAAAACTATGATCGATTGGGTCCTTGTAGGAAAACTCTTCACATGATGCAATATTGAGAGTTTGGAACAATTTCTTGGCTTCCTCAGATAATTGATTATTTTGGAATGGAACAATATAAGTGTCTCTCATGTGAGACATCATTTTGTTGGCTCCATCAGCGCTCACTTCTTCATAGTCATATCTGGTGTAGTAACTTCTACCGTACTTCTTCCAATGATTTTTCACAATGTCGGCCACAGAAACTTTTCTATTTTGAGAAACAGCTTGTTCATTTTCAAAAGCTAAAATTGAAAGCCAGCTCAATACAGCCCACATTCCATCTGAAATGTTTTCAATAAGCAACACATTTCATTAAAACGTGAATGGAATCCAACATGTTTTATCACAACCCATTGATCATATTGAATCAAACAAGTAAAGACATGAACCATTCGATCATTCATCAACACGCATGATAAATCATGAACCATTCATCAACACACATGATAAAACATACCTTTTTCTCTAATATGATCACTTCCTGTTCCAAATGATTCTTCTCCACAAATAGATAATTTTCCAGCATCAAATAAATTACCAAAATATTTCCATCCAGTTGGAACTTCATACATGGAAACACCCAATTCTTTGGCAACTCGATCCAGAGCAGTACTTGTTGGCATGGATCGAGCCAATCCAGCAATTCCCTTCTTTTGGAAATATGGAATACATTTCTGAGCATAATCTGCAATGATCGCGACTGAATCTGAAGGTGTCACAAAGAAATGTTTTCCCAAGACCATGTTACGATCTCCATCTCCATCGGAAGCAGCTCCAAAGTCAATATTACTCTTCTCATCTTTTAATACTCTCTTGACTAATTGTTCAGCATAGGTAAGGTTTGGATCTGGATGGCCACCTCCGAAATCTTCACTTGGAACGTAATTCATGAGAGCATTGTGTAAATCTGCTCCCAATTTCTCATGTAAAATTCGTTTGGCATATGATCCTGTCACACCATGCATGGCATCAAATAATAAATTAAATTCACCATATTGTTTTCCGATTAACTTTCTAATTTTTTCCATGTCAAATATTGAGCTTAACAATTCATAGTAATCATTCACAGAATCAACAACACTGACACGGAAATGTTCATCAGAAAATACAAAATCCACAGATCCCTTTCCATTCTCTGCTTGAGACAAATCAATCTGTGGAAATTCATCACAAGTAAAGTATTCGGAAATGGTTGTCGATTGTTCATAAATTCGATCAGTGATCTTCTCTGGTGCTGGACCTCCATTGACACCATTGTACTTGATGCCCCAATCATTATTAGGACCTCCAGGATTGTGTGAAGCAGTCAAAATCAATCCTCCCAATTCTGCCTTTCTCTTTCGGATGAGACATGACACAGCTGGAGTTGACATGATACCATTCTGTCCAATCACTGCATGGATTTTAATTCCGAGACGGACAGCATTCGAATACAAGATTCTGAGAATGGTTTGAATGGCTGTCTTGTTGTAATAACGACCATCTCCTCCAATGACCATTTGTAAATAATCGGTAGTCGCATTCGATGGAAGAGAATCCTTTGCGAGAATGATATTGAGTACAGCTTGAGTGAAATTCTCGAGAAAGTGAGGGGTGTTCTCGACAAGCTTAACCTTCACTCGGAGGCCAGAAGTACCCATCTTTTGTCCCGGAATGGGTTGGGTTGGTTGAGATTTAACTGTGAGAGGCATTGGCGTTGATGATGTGATCAGATGAGTGTGTGATGATGATCAATAATATTATATATATGATACAATCAAGTGAAATTCAATGGCGCTGATACTACTGTTGTATCTGGATGTTTGTACAATCGTAAATTGATGTTGTTGTATGCAGGAGGTGAAGATCGAAACAGTGAAATGATCGGCAAGCTGTGAATTTGTTTCGGATCGACTTTTTTTTGGTTTCTTTTCAGGAATTTGTGGCTTAATCCTCATTTGGTCCTCGAATTTGATGAGTGTAAATGTCATGTGCGTGGTTGTAAAAATTCAACATTATGTCCTTTGGTAAGTCACCTTCTTTGAGGCTTCTTCAAGATTCGGTGTTAAGCCATGTTAACAATTAGCCCAATTCATGATGTATCAGACCCTGGTAAATTGTTGGCAAACGAATATGATGCTGAAATGTGTACATTTCTTACTCGTCGTCACTTGCAATTCCTGTAAATTCATGATAGGCATTCTTGAGAGAGACATTTCCTGCATGAGCATTATGAACTTTCTGAATTAAGGAATGAGAAGGGGATGGAATGGAACAAACTTTGTTTTTGTGAGATGAGTGTGTATGTGACGACGATGAAGTATTTGAATGGGTTCCCTTTCTTTTGGCATGGTTGTTGCTGGTAGTATGAGCATGTGGATGTTGTGAAGGAAATTTTTGGATTTCACCCACACTTCCATAATTCTTTCGTGAGTGAGTTGTGCTGCTTGTGGCCGCTGATGGAGAATCACTGGCTGATGTTTCTCCTTCCATGTCTTTTTCAGTGCCATTGTCATCGTCGTATTTGTTGTAATCGTGATGGTGAGGTCGTTGTGGATCGTGTGGATGTTGAAAATCGACTTCCTCTGTGCTTTCATCCCAATGCGAATAATAGTTTTGAGCTTTTTCTGACATGTAGGAGATGAGTTTTTGTGAAGTCTTCTTGAGTGTAGGTGTTTTTGTGTTTTTTCCAGTAGTGATGACGTCTTGAAATTTTGCGTCATCGTTGCTGTGATGAGTGTGAACTGTGGTGGCGGAATGAAGCATGGATAAAGTTCCCATCTTGTATAGGGCATAATTCAAGACTAATAATGGAATAATTTCACCCAATGAGTAGTAACAGAGAATGGTTTGCCATTTGGTTTCAAGCCATGACAAAAACATTTGTGCAATTAATAATCCTGCTCTTCCTAGTAAAACAATAAAATCTGTCAAGGTCACCACCGATACATAGATAATAGTATAGAGTGAAACAATATTTCTAGATGAACTAGCTCGATAATTTTTCAAATGTCTCCTAAACAAGGTAATTCCTAATATTATGACAAGTAGAGCACAAATGATAAATAAAACAGTCGGCACGGAAACTGCCACAATTTCTATAGCACTGTATGGGGATGGATTGGTGTAGTCATTATTGTCAGATCCTCTTGGATCGTCTCCAGAAAATTGAAATAATAAAAGTGAATCATTCACCAACATGGTCATGTACATGATAAAATTCACAACAAAGAATAACGTCTTGAGAAATGAACTCGCTGTTAAATAATTCAAAATAGTTCTGATTGTTTTCTTTCGAATAACTTCACTATTTTGTTGATGATATTCTGAAGAATGTTCAGATTCCAATAACCCTGTTGCTTCTTCTTGATTGGTTTCCGAAATTTCAGAAAGAAGGGGCTGTTTTCGAATGGACAAAATGGTCATTTCAGTCCAAAAGAAAACTAACATGAGCATGAGTGATGAGTAGACATATCCAGGAAATGAGCTAACCAAAATTAAGAGCTCTCTATATTCCGAAAAATCTGGCAATGAAGCTTGCACTGCTAATTGTGTACATCGAACCAATGACAAGATCACTATGAGTGCAAACATTAATCTCTTATCAGAAAATGTGCTTTCTGGTTTTTTAAAGGATGAAGATGATGAAATGTGAATTGTTGTTGAGGAATCATTATTATGATGTCCACCACTACTGGTCATTCGTGATCCAATTTCTTCCTCTCCACTACTAGTATCATGTTGGTGATCTTTCAAAGAATTATCTAAACGCTCATTTTCATCAATCTTTTCCAAATTGGATTCCAATACAGCATGATTAGACTCTAAATTTGAAATGTGTTTGACTGGTTCATCAACTGTCCTTGTATTATTTTCTTTCAGATTCCTCTCGTCCCACTTAGTAAACTTAGAGGATTTCTTATTCGTCGTTGTAGGATGATCATCATTTTCTTCAAATTGTTGCTCATGATTGTGTTGGTGATGATGATTGGATGATGATGATGAATTTCCCGTATAACGAACTCGTCCAAATCGCTGAGAGATGAATTTTGAAAATTTCCTTCGTTGTTGAAATTCCACGTAAATAATTCGTAAAAGCAGCGCAAGGCTTGTAATTCCAATCAATCCGTAAATTCCTGATAAGGTGGAATAAACAATTACATTGGGTATCGGAATGGTCATGTTGTGTGTGGTTGTGTGGTTCAGAATTTTCAAATGATCTATAGATCTATTGAGATGATGTTGATGATTGTTATATTTTGTTGTGAGCTATATATTATGATCGAGTTCCAATGAATGGCATTATATTTCAAGTATAGTATTGAAGAAAATGAACAATTGTTCAAAAAGAGTGGAAATTAAACTTCAGAGAGTTGATCTTCTTGGTCGTGATGCTTCTGCGGATCAATTTTTTTTGGCTGCCGTTCAAACAGAAACGGAGTTTACAACAACGAATGGAAACATACTCTTATGATTTAATATTAACACTTAAAGCTACTGTGCTCCTCTGGAAAGGGCTTGATGAATCGCCAAATATAATCTTAGCATGTTCACTTCTTCAAAAACTCTTTCTTGAATGGGATCCGGTACACAAGATGGTGCATCTACCAATCGACTCCTTTCTTGCTGATTGGAATTCTCCACTGAACAAGTACTCATGTCCATCCCTGCTGTAACCATCTGATATCCATATGCAAGTATGGGTTCTGGTTGTACGGTTTGGCTGTGGCCACTAACGGTTGTATCGTGTCCTTGCCCAACGAGATTTCCAGTCGAGTTTTCCTGTATCCATCGAAGACACGCATCTTTCCATGCAAAATCCATGTCCGTTTCCTTATTGGGGAGCAGTCTCGTATTAGGAGGAAGAACACAGTTCCCTGTGGATGCAGATGGATCACATTGTATACCACGATTTGCACTTTTAACGTTTTGCATCATGTTCATATTTGGCAATTCGTTGGTAATGGACCTGTGGCTTGAAACAGTCCTGTCATCCATATCCTCTCGTGTATTCTGAGGTAAGAATGTTTGATTTTGTAATGTAGATAATTGCATCTGCTGTAGCTCTTCGACCAACGAAGAAGAATCTAGGATCAAGGATGATTGCGTTGGAAGTTGTATTTGAGAAGATAGTTCCTCAAATCTTGGATTATCTTCACCATGCCCATTAGTTGTTTTGAAGTGTTTCTTTGGTCGTTCTGATTCCATGTGAATGGCCTTGGTGGTGGACGGAAGAGATGCTTGGTCCTCCTCTTTTCCTTTCGAAACCACTGATTGGATCAAGTGTGGTTGTTGTGGATGTAGTGGTTGTGGATTCTGTGGCGCCACTGGACATGACTGGTGTTCATCCAATGATTGTTTTCGTTTCTTTTGCGTTTTTGGAAGTTCTAACGACAAATCACTGGTGCGAAACTTTTGTTGGAATTGTTTACAAATCTTCATGGTTTGGGAATGCTCTTCTTGTTGAGGACGTGAATTGGAGCATGTTGTTGTGTTTTCAAAACGTAACAATTGAACACCTGGACCTGAATGGAGATCTAATTCGAAATAATTTTGTTTGAATGCATGAGTGTTAATTTCCTGTCGAAGTTTTTTAGGTTGTTTCAAGTGCATGCTGGAGAGCGGTGAGGATTGCCGGAGATTTCCTGGTGTGGATGAATCAACAGCAGATTCTGTCTTGTTGTTGTTTATCATGATCGAGGTGTTTCAAATTTTTTTAAAGATTGATCGTTTTCGAACAGAAATTGCTTTTTTGCTGAATTTGTGAAAAAATGAACCCATGAGAGAAAAGAGTAATGGTCCATATATGGACGAAAGATTCGAATATATTAATCATGTATTGTACTTGAGTAAGTTGAAGAAGTGTTTAATTGTTCTGTTTTTGATGAGTCGCTCAAAAAGAAACTGTTGTTAAGGGATGATGTTTTTTGATATTTCCTTATGGAGAAGTTCAACGAGCTATGGGGATCCACGCCTTGATGAATTTCCTTTTCAAGCTTAAACCTCATCAATTCTTGTTTAAGCCTTCTTGATCATTCTTATGAGCTTGTTGTTCTGCTAATTCCTTTTGAATGGTTCCTCATGGATGGAGCATAGATACATTAAAAAATTCATCATCCACTGATCGAAGGCTGAGTTCGGTACGTGGCTTGGTTTCGGGTTTGAGATAAGAATCATGTTTTTCATTGCACTCGTTTGAGGATGATCAATGGAATCATTAGTGGAAGGTTGGTTCATCCATGAGAAATTTGCCATGAAGGGCGGTGGTGAGAGGATTGGTTTTGTCTTGGAATCCCTGCAACTGCTTACATGATCAATAACGATCATGGTGTTTTGAATGTGCTCGTCCACTGTTAGGGTTGTTGTTGTACAACGAGATGAATCTGCAGAAACAGTTGGAAAAGAATGTTCATGATGAGAAGAGAGCAGGTTGCTGTTTGGAAAACTCGTCTTGCTCAAGCGTTTGGACTTTTTCATGGGATTGGAAGATGGAGTAATATTCGAAGGTACTCTTGCTCCTGCACCGATCATTGCAACTCCATCATCTTCTGAACCTTCAAGGCTCTTTCTCTTTTTGGGATTATTGATGGATAGATCCGATGCTCTCAAACGTTGTTGATACAATAGAAAAGAAGGTTTTGGTTGATTCTCGTTACATGAAGGAACTCGTTCTCTCAGAACTGTCATTGAGTTTGATTGGACATTCATCTCACAATAATTTTGTTTGAAGGCTTGTGTATTCAAGTGTCTGGGAAGTCTCTTCCGAAACGGAAGTTGAGCTGTGATACCATTCGTCTCATCCTTGGAGAGAAGGGCTTCGGGACGTTCATAGGTGTGGCTATTCATTGGTGTGCCTTTTTCATCAAATTGGAAATGTTCAAATAGATCTAAAAACCAAGTTCTTCAAGAGATCACTAAAATCTCTCTTTAAAAGGATCTAAGAACAAATCAAGGCCTGGATCATTATTTTGGATTCTAGCTCGCGAAGTTCATCCTTGGTTCTTTCAATTGATTTTTTGAAAATGTCATTTCAATTCTTTGAGAGACAGTGAATCACTAGATGACAATAATTCTTCCACAACAGTGGTAAATTTTTGGAAATTAAAAATTCAAAACTTAGTCAACCAACCTTTTTTAATGTTCCCTTTTACTACCGAATTTTATTGTGAGTCTACAATGATTAAAACTGTGCATGCTCATTGTAGATTCACAATTTTGTCGTTTTCCATAACAAAGATGTATTATACGACAACCGCAACATTCACTGTAGTTGGTGATCGTCGACATCCAATTCAAGATATCTTACATTTTCAGTCCAGACTCCAAGGTTATCTTAATCAATTTTCCTTAATTGGAGAATTGAGTAAACAATGGTTCTCAGGAAATGTCTCTCATTCCCATTGTCACATTTTCAAAAAAGAACATTTCCATTTTCATTTCAATTTCGAAAGAGATATAAAAACAATTCGATGACACAACACTACTCTTAATCATCCAAAAAACAAAAAACACAATGAAATTCACACTGTGTATTCTTGTAGCTCTCGTGGTACTCTGTATCGCTTCCTTAGCAAATGCTCAATACGGTAATGCTTATAATGGTGCCTATGGGTATCAAGGAGGATTAGGTTCCAATTATGGAGTGGCTGGTGGAAATTACAACTCGTATGCAAGAAATACACAAATGTACAGCAATCAGGTTGCAGCTGTGAATTATCAACCCTATGCTGCATATGCCAGTGCCTATCGAGGACCTTATTACTATGGACAAAATTATGGTAATTACTATTCCATGCCATTCTGGGGATATGGTGGTTATCCATATTATGGAGGTTATCGATGGTATTAAATACATCATACTTGGACGAGTTGGTGTGAGGTACAGTGAAATTTAAAGTTAATCGAGATTTTGTGCGATAGAAGGACATTTCATTCTTGTAAAGTTGAATGACGTAATGAGAATTATCTAGTGATTGAATTGTTTATGTTTGTGAAACCTACATTAAGGAGTGAAGGACCAAGATAATAAACTCTTCGTGAAATTTCGTGAATATAGGCTCTCATGATTCGGCGACCCATGATAAGCACGACTTAAACGCCTCAATGACATCGGCCGATTATTATTTCTCCCCACATGTCGGCTTATCGGTCGAAGGGACAAGACAAAGAAAAATCCAGTTCGCAATTCTAAAAGACTTGTGGATCATTCATCAAAAAACCAACGTTTTATTACTACGCTCCATCCCCTTGCTCGCAAAAACCAATCTTCTATTATTCTCTCTTCAACCATGAGGGATGGAAAGATGGTGCCCAATCGACTTGCAAGCACACATCCTTATTTTCGCCAGGACGAGCCAAATGCACTCGTTCAAATTCCAAGGTAGCAGCAGAGGGACGAGCGTCTTGATACTTTTTGCCTTGTTGTCCTTCCTGGGCCTTAAGATTAATATAAGAGCCGACGCTCAAGAGAGCAGTACCAACAATCCAAGTTTGTGGCTTGTAGACTGAAATTAAAACCCATTAATATCCGATACGCTCCAGTCATTAGATAAGAGGAAGCACTTACAGAAATATTGGAAGCAGGTCTTGTATTGGGACATGATGAGGGTAAAACGATCACACAATGATTTATTTTTTTTAATTAAGGTGGGAGCTGTAAAATGTACAAAAAAGGCAATGTCTGTGGTGTGGTTTTGTTTTTGTGAAAACCATGGACTGTATGTATATATATATATTTTGTATTCAATGTACATCTTTTAGTTTGAAATGTCTCAGAGCTCTCGAACATATTACCATAGTCTCATTTAACATGCATTAACAGTGTTGTCACAACTTCCTACTGTCAGTAACTAAAACAGTCACGACGTTTATTCTTGCTTCTTCTCCTGATTCGATGATTGTTGTTGAGGAGCCACACTCCAAATCATCTTAATCAAAGCACATAATTCATTACTCTCATCTCTACACTCAGCCACGACTCGAAACGAAGGTCTCTCTCTGTACATTTCCATTTGACTCAACTCCAAAGGAACCACATCTCGACACGTTCCACGAATCACTCCACGCGATTTCTTATAATATTCTGCACAAATTTCCACTGGAATGGCTCGCAACTTTCTCGGAGCGATTTGATTGGTCACTTGCAAACCACAAACCAAATCTCCCAAATTGACCAATGCAGCTGCATGGATGGAATTGAAAGGATTTTTCATGGAGGCTTTTTCAGTGATACGGACCACTGTTTCGTGTTCATCCATGCGTTCAATGATGGGACGAATATTATCGGTATAGGGAGCCATAAATCCGATCAATCGGCTCATGTAGTAATCGGCGAGGAAGGTTCGTCCAATGAATGGTAATGCATGAATGGTTTCATAGATTTTGAGAGGTCTTGCTTTCGAGACTCGTAGAACTGGAATAATGTAAAGGAAGGCGAAAACACTCAGCACAAGAACAAGTAGGATGAGAAATACGAACAGGAGAGTTTGGAGCATTTTTTTTTGTAAACTTGGCGTCAAGCGAGGAGAATTACATATTTTCCTAGGTGATCACATCCTTTGTGTCATTTGTGAACTCGTTCCACTTGTGTCACAATTATCTAAACAACACTAGTTCTTCTTTTTTGGATCTACAATTTCAATAGGTGTCATTTCAGAGGCTTTTTTGCCATCCTTGTTTGTGACAGAGGTATTGGTTAAAGGAGTCAGCACATCGATCAAGAATTGAGTACGATGTGCACCGAACAGTGCTGTTTCTCCGTTCTTGTTGGTGAGATCGAAAATCGTATTTCGTTTCACCTTTTTCAAGTATTGAATCAAATCAGTGGCCAAATATTCCTTATTTTCATGCTGCTTCTTCACTCTAGCCTTTGTGACTTGTGTGTTTGTGCAAAGTAAATGCAAGAGAGTGTTTCCAGTATCCGCGTTTTGGTGGGTGGCCCAAGGAGACAATATTTCTGTTTCAAGATCACTTTTCATAAAGATCTTCTTGGGTCTTCTATTCACAGAGGTTTCTCCGGACACAAAATATGCTGTTAAAAATACAAATCCATGCAAGAAGCATAACTCTAAAAGCGAGGTCTTGTTTTCCGGTATTGGAGTCGGAGGTTGGATAAATAACATTTTGTTTGTCTCAAGTGTTCGATGCACATGTAGAAACCAATTACTACGTTGTTGAACAGTTGTCACAGGGCGCGCTGTTGGTGCTGTTTTGGGTTTCTCACCACACACAGTGAACATCTTGTTAAACAGGTTACACTTCTCTTCCAAAGTGGTTTCATGAGCTATGAAATAATCCTCAAACAAATCAATGCAATTTTGTTCAAACTGCTTTTCATCAAATATTTCGCACTTTTGAATATATCCACACAAAACATGCACAATTTCGTCCAATGTTGGTTTCACAGCATCGCTCTTGTTCGTTATGAACGAGTAACAAAAATCATATTGATGTTTCTGAAGACCTTCCTCAAAATGAGCTCGTTTAAATTGTAGAGAGCATTCTGAGCTAATGAAACCAGCCAATTCCATGTTAAAAGTCTTGCATGCAATATCTAATAAATCGTATCCATTCTTGGTTTTTGCAGTTATCATTTGTTGGAATTCGTCATTGGTGATAAGGCCATTTTTAAAATTTGGAAGCAATTGATACTGCAACAAATCTTTGCGTTCATGCTTGCAGCAAAGCTGAAGAATATTGAGTGGGCCCTGATCAGTATCGTAGTAGGAGTATTTGGCTAGTTTAGGGCAAATTTGAGAATAGTGAGGTTGTCTATACCAGGTATAATGAAGACGAGGAACATTGAATATTTCTTCTAAAAAGAGCATAAATTGATTACCTGGAATACCAGACAATAAAGCAAAATATAAAAAGTCAATAGCGGACACTCCATCTTCAAGAGTGAATACTTTGTCTAAAACACTCTTATCCAGTACTGGAGGTGTTCCAAAAAATAGAGCACCAATAGGAGAATTCTCAAAGCCATCCATCAAATATGTTATTAAACAGGAGAGGGCGTTTGCTTTAACTCCAAGCAAATTTTGATCTTCAAATTCATTGTCTTGAAATTGAAATGGAGCACTCAAGAGTTCATAAATATCTTTGTCTTGGCTAATTATTTTCAGTAATCGAGAGATATAACTCTCAGTGTGACGAGTAGTTGCAACCAATAATTGTACCAAGAATAGCGAAAGATTGTGGGAAAGGTTTCCTTGTTTCATGAGCTCAGAATCCATGCTTTGAATGGCGTCCAATACATTACATCCATCACCTACCATCAACAAAATAATTGCAAGGTTCCCTGAAAGGTCGACTGGTGAATAATAGTGCATTCCAGAACTTGGAATATTCGGTTTGAGGTCCTCAAGCCAATACGTAAGAGCAGTCTTTCCATTCTTATCCTTATGATTCAGCATTGCCTTGTCCATGGCTTGCATTAATTTATGGAGCGTGGATGGTCTAACAAGCTGATGTCCAATCGAATGCATGTAAAATAGCGGTGTTTTGCCAAAGGTATCAACAGCGTTTGCATTGACACCGTAACTAATGAGGGTTTCAATAACAGGTTGGTTTTTCTTCTCGGCAAACATGTGTAACAAATTTTGATCATTGTTGTAGGTGTCGTTGAGAGGTATTCCGTTGGTGTTAAATATCTTGCTCACTTCTTCAATAAAATCAATCGATAATTCTCCTTGTAAAGTGCACAGTGATTGAAGAGGAGTGTGTCCTTCATTGTTTTTCATAATTAAATATTCTTTAGGTATTACTTTAAATAAATCTAGCGCAAAGTTAAAGCAAATCTCAGTTTTCAATTTGACAACTTACAGGACGAAGGTATCAAGTGGCAGAAATTATTGCCTGTCTCTGCAAAAACATAATTCAATTCACAACCACATCTATGTAATCGTTCTACCAGAGAAGTTACGTTACCACTTGGCTCTCTTACTTTCTTTAAATAGGAAGCAAGCACATTCATATTGTGAACAAAACAACCATTTTCATCTTTGGTAACTATTCCTTCACTGTTGCCAAGTGTGATCAAATTTGGAACAAGTTTGCATAAATATGAGACTAAACCTGGAGTATAAGGGTTGCTGATGAGAACTGTGAGCAATGGATTCCATTCCCCTTCAAATAGAAGTGGAAATTTAGCCTGTTCAAATATGGCTTTAGCCATCTTTTCATCGGCAATATTTTTCAAAATCTTGTCAGTTATAACATAAGCTACAGTATCGGCATTAGGGAATGCCACTTTAAATAACTCGTTTTCAATAATAAAGTCAAGCAAATTGTGATTGCACAAAATTCCTCGTCGCTCGAAATATTCTTCATAAGGTAAGAGAGCTTTGTAATTACTTGCCAACTGTTTCTTGTACTTGTTCAAAAAGAATTCCAACATTTCTTGTGTATATTGATAAGAGTCTAGAGTAAAGAAATCTATTGCTTCGAATGAAAATTTCTCCTCTTCCACCAGATACTTGATTTCCTTTAGTGTTTCCGTACCATTATCTCCATACTTGATGCTATGTTTGATTCTGAGATGTTGCTGATTACTATTCAAATAACTCAGGACATAGGGAAAAGAAGTACGATCTGACCTTCTGCGATAATATTGATAGCCAAGTGTTATATTTCTCACATTCAGTAAATCCATGGACAGTAAGAAATCGTTGCTGCGAAGTCCTGATACATGCAAGTACAAAGGAGAGAAGGGTCTGTAATTGAATAATTCTATACGTTCAAGCTGTGGGAAGTATTTCAAAAATCGAGTTGGTACTCTTAATTGACGTGACTCAAATATCGGAAAACACATTGATGTGATATTTGGAAAAACTAAAGAAATATATCGAATGGAATCCCCGTATTTTCTTTTCGCGTTTGGGTTGTACCAAGGATATTTGTAACCAATGCTGTCAGTGAATTCATTTCTCTTAACTAAATCAATGGACTCGACATTTGGACAGACATTGTGATATAAATCGTCAAGCCATTGTTGACATACTCCTCGTAACGTTAAATAAAAAGGAAAAGGAGGAATGTACTGCAAAATCATGTGAAAAACAGGCCTGGGCAAATAACAATCAAACTTTGGTAAATAAAAAAATCCTTGTTCCCAATCGAGACGTTTCGATTTTCCACTGTGTAAATGAAAGGTGAAGTTGATTTAAGTGAAGATTTCATTGTGACTCATCCATTCGTTTGAAATGATGAAAAAACCAACTTACCTTCTATTGTCAATGATCGATTTCATTGAACTGTTCACAGATCCATCTCCCTCTGCACCGCCATCATCATCCTCTTCGTCATCCTCCATTTTGTCTTCAAAGTGATTTTCTGCATCGTCATGATCTACCATCATGCCATCACCATTGTTGATACAGCGATCACTTTCATCATCGTCATCTCCGATGGCTTCTCTTATTCTGTCTTCTGTAGATTTAATTTCCAGTGTTTTTGGTATTCCAGCAGTACTTGTTTTCTTCTTTTTCTTTCTTCCTCCCTTCTTTTTGGGTGGGTTCTTTCTCTTCTTAGAGTCGTCTTCAGCAACTTCGGGGTGATTTTGTTCAATTTCTTCCTCCTCTCTGATGTTGTTATTCTCTTGGACCTCTTCCGAATTTGTTGTTGGAATCTCAGTAGAGGTATCTGTTTCTGCTACCGTTGCCTCATCCGCAGCTGGTTCCTCGTAGGTCTTTCTGCGAGTGCGTACCATTTTTTTTGTTTGTTCATTTCTTGCTTGTGGTGGAATTGAATTCTCAATGTGAATTTCAAAAAGAGTAAAGATTTTGTGTTAAGGAAATACCATGGTGGAGTTGTTCGTAATTCAATTCTTTACAAATAAAGATTTTTAATATCAGTAAAAAAATTCGGTCAAAGTAATGGTGTCAGCCCACCATCATTGGATTTCATAATTATTTCTCAAAACATCTCTTACTGACAAGTCAGAAATGATCAATCATCGTTGATTTGAAAAAGCTACCTTTTCAGCAAAGAGATGAACCATAAATTGAACACATGGTACGAAGAAATTGATAGGTTTGAACTCTTATCCAATTTTGTAGTTTTCGTATCTATGATCTCTCTCTCAAACTATCAGATACCTAAAGGTGAAACTCGTTTGACAATAATGTCCTCTGATTGTTGTAGTTCAAGAAAATGAGGCTCTTTCTGGGAATTATTTTTCAGATGCGGTTTGATGAGAGATTCAAAGCATTCATTCAAAACACCTGGATCTGACACCTTCATCCATCTCCTTTTAAAAGAAAACTCAATAACACCAATAGATGTCAACCAACAGATATCTTTCAAACACGACAGAGACACATCCAGAAGCTCCAACCGACAATGTTGTGCTCGCTGATGAGATGCCAAACCCACAGCATGTGGTATTTCCAAATGCCTTGCCAAAACAACCTTCTGTCTACTCTCTTTCTTCAACTTCATCCCATAGCACTATTAATTCTTTGGGGCAAAAGGCACTTGCCAAAATTCAAGATGTAATTTCCTCAACACTGCTCGTATTGATTGATGCGAAAAGCAAACACGGATGGAAGAGTTATTTGATGGTTGTGATCTTGTATATTTATATATGGATTGGTTCTATTGTGATTGGACTTGAAGGTGAATATAATTTTGGACTCTATGGTTCATGGATATGGAGAGCTTTCAATTATTTGGTCACTTTCTCATTCAATGCCATTCCATATGAAGCTGCCATTGCATTATCCTCGTTATGTATTCTCATATCCATTTCAGTATTATGTCTATTTCTCTATACATCAAGAGTTTATCACAAAGCAGATCGTTCTATCAAGACCATTCAATCATTGGTCAAAATATTGGGATTTGTTATTTATTTTGGACATTTGGTCATGACATATTTGATGACTTCATTCATTGATTGCAATTATTCAAGTTCAGTTACTTTTGATGGATTCAGTGAACCTCAAAAAGTTTTGAATCGATTTCCATCTTACATGTGTTTCTCTTCAAGTAATATTGCATTGATTGTTTTGAACTTTTTGGGAATTATTTGTTTAATGTTGAGCAGCATGGTGTGTTGTTTTGTGTTGGGAAATTGTCACATTCGAAATGAGAGACCATTCATTTCAGACAATTCACTCTTCATTGGAAGTGTTTTGGTCATTTCAGAAATTCAAATCACATTGAATGCAATCATTCCAAATTCATTCATGTTTGTGAAGAGTATTCTTCATATTCTTCTCTCATTCACACTTTTTGTCATGCTCTTGTATTTACTTCCATATTATCGAAGATATGAAAATTCATTGATTGGTGCTCTATGTTTGGGAAAGACATTTATTTGTGTGTTTCCATTGATTTCATTTCTTGTCAATTCAAAGAATGAATGGGAAATGGGTTTAGCATTTGCAACATCAGCTTTGGGAATGTTCTTGATTGGATTTTTAATTGGATTTTTCATTGTTGAAATTTATACAAGAGTTCTTTACAAAATGACAAGGTGAGTTGAATCGAATGATTTTTTGAAAAGAACGAAACCCTTATATTCTCATGAATTTCTTTTACATATTTTATGGCAATGGTTGAATATGATACCGGTTGAATGTCATCTCAATACACAGACTCACCATCATGCAAGCAGTGGTTGAATGTGCAGTCTTAATTATTGATGATGGATTCACAGCTGAAGAACGATTTCAAACCATCAAGAACTTGTTTGAGAAGGAAGCGATTGCTCTCTTTAAAGACATGGAAGAGAGAAAACAAATTCGAAATTTGGAATTGTTTCTCAAATTTTGTTTATTATCAGGTAATGAAGGTAATGATGACACTTTTGGATTTTCAGATAAGGATATGGCCATTTGTATGATCAAATCTGTGTCTCAACACAAAAGATTTCAACACAAGAATCTTCTCGTTTCTTCAAGTTTATTGTGTGCTTACTTTTGGGATATGGATCGTCAAGTCACATTCACAAAATCACCAAAATCATATTGCATTTCTTCACTTGAATATTCTCAAACACTTTTGAAAAGAGTGAAGAATGAAAAGATGGGAATTTTATTGAATTTCATGTTGAAAGAAAAGTTGAAACAAATTCAAGATTCCCTTCGAAGAGAGAAAGGTGATTCCAAAGATTTTTCAACAGTTTTGGACATGTCTGAAATGTTGAATCGACTTGAAAAAGATACACTCACCATTGTTCAATGCAGAAAATTGGTTTGGAAAGAATTAATGAATGACACTGTCAATGAAAATAGAGTGTTGGAAATCAATCGAGTGGCATCCTCTCTCATCATGGAATGTGAAGAAACTTTTGAAAATTTGATGAAACTCTTCTCTGAAGAAAAGAGTGTATTGAGATTATATGCAAGATTCAATGAAGAAGTTCTCTTCAACAGTGACAAGGCATCTGAACTCTATCAAGATGCTCAAAGTATTGAAGATGAGGATGCAAGAAAGGGTCACCAGGTCACAAGCAATACTACTGTAAGCACCAGCTTTAGACGTAGTGCTTCCAAAAATCGAGTGTTACCCTCGTCTTGTTACAAAAAGACTTCCACCACACAACAAAACCGAAACTCTGTAAACATTAGAAACTCCTTTTCCAAGGGAAACGTGTTTGCCAATGCAATGATAACTTCCAATCTGAACGGTCTTCATGGAACGTCGAAAGAAATGGTCGAAGACTCATCCAACCTGGATATTTCAGAAGCAGCAGATGCACCAGAGGTAAAAAAGGAAATGATTTACAAGAGTTCAATTGCAACATCCGAGAACCATCTATTGTGGTATTCAGCCATGATCTCCACGAACGTGATTATTGGCGTTCTATTCCTTGTGAAAGTAATTTTGGCATGTATTGCAGTAAGTGCCTCAACAAGTCATCTCGATACCATTCAGTATGCCTGCACCCCTTCTGCTCGCTCACTTACGATCATTTCAAATGTGAGAGTTCATCAAATAGTGTCATCATTGTTTGGAAACAAATTTCCAACATCATTAACCTCTGCTGGATTTTTGAACATGAGTGATTATGACAAAACCTTCTCGCAACGAGTATCTACGGCACTTGAGGATTTTTACAAGCTTCAAAATTTAGCCCTCTCAGGTCTTTTATCAGATCAAATTTATAGAAAGTATTCGACTGACTCCTCTCTTGTGTACTATCCAGAAATTCCTCACAACAATTTATATGGCCAGTATTTAAATCCAAAACCAAGAAATGTGAGCATGTCCACCCTTACACACTCTTTTTTACAATATTCTGAGGTTATGAAAACTTGGAAGGGGCGTGATTTTAATCAGTCACTACTTACTGATTTTGTTTTCATGTACTTGTGGCACAATAGAGACTCATTCTCTCATAATTACGGAGCATTCTGTGACAGTGTTGCCAATGAGGTCTTTGAGAGCGTCACTCGCTTTAGACAAGAGTTCATTTATTATTGCATTGCGTCCTTCATTGTGTCATTTTTACTATGTTTGCTCATGGCTAGTATTCAATTGATATTTACCTTGAAAATACGAAAGGTTGTGAAACTGTTCAAAAAACATTTACCAAAAGAAGCGATTGGTAAAATTTTCCATGACATCAAAGTCAACGAGGGAGAAACAAAAGCCACTAGTAGACTGTGGCAGAATCCAAACCTTAGAAGTATTACCTATATCGTTTTATTTGGAACCCTATTTTTTCTGTGCTCTTCTCTTATATTATATATTGCTCTTGCGGCCACAGATAGTTCAAGCAGTATTATCCAAAATATTCAATACTCGGTGAGAGTTGCTACGTCTGCCCAAATTACAACCTTGCATATTGGTGAGATTTATATATTTGGTATCTTGCCTTATGATCAATATAATATGAATTCAGCATTACTTTTTGATCATGATGGTGTATATGAATATCACGAAGGAATTGATGAATCTACAAAAGATTTAGAGAGATATTGGGATCAGTTGATCTATGGACACGGTAAATTTCCTCCCCTTGTTGGTAAATATCCTGAAATTGACGCTATATTGAAGGGCTTACAATGCCAACAACTTGGAAATTCATCTTCAAATTCAACCAAGTGTGAAAGTTTACACAATATTGTGCACGATTTTCTGTTGAAGGCCATTGAAATTAATGAAATATATGCCTCCAAAGGAAAAGATGTGGTTAAAGTTTTTGACCAATATTTCACCCATCTTTATGAATCATGCCACAAATTATCAAATGCAATGATTAATTTTATTGAAATTTATGTTGTCAGTGTTCAGAAAGGTGACAGTCAAACTTGGACCATTGTTATTGGAATTCTTGGTATAATATTATTGCCAATTGTTACGTATTGGTCCATCCTAAGCGTGTCCAACCATTTTTCAGAAATCCAATGTTTAAGAATGATGTTAAACTATGTCAAAGTTGAAAACATTGACACCAAAGAACCACTCAGAAATTACATTCTCTTCCATCATCTTGAATGGATCAAACATAAAAAGTCATCAAGAAGAGAGGATGATGACAAGGTTAGAAACGTTCTCAATGCAACGGTAGATGGAGCTGTATTGTGCAATCAAGAATTTGTTGTCGATATTTACAATCCATCAGCACAGAGAATGTTTGGAAAGAATATGAATGAAGTTGTTGGACTCCCTCTCTGGAATTTGTTTGGACAAGAAAATAAGGAAAGAATTCAAACCTCTTTGAACCACATGAAAAACAATACAGGAAGTATTGTAAGTGGTGAAACATTGGAAATTGAATGTTCGAGAAAGAATGGAACGAAATTTCCAGCGAAATTGAATATTTCATGGACTACTTTTGATGGAAAACCAGTATTCGTTTGTTTCATCAAGGATATTACCACTGAGAAGAAACAAAATTCACTTCTTGCTGAAGAAAAGAAAACTTCAGAGAATCTTTTGAGAAATATTTTACCTGAATCAGTGGCTAAAAAATTGAAAAATGTAAGTATTTTAGATATTATATTAGTGTTGTGGAAATGTTGAAATAATATTATTCTTTTCCAAATATTAATAATGAAATTCATCACATTATGTCATGGCCATGAATAATAATTTCACATGGAATTAACATTGAATTATACACTCACAAAATTGAACTATACACGACATACAAAATAGGGAGAAACATTTATTGCAGAAAAGCTTCCAGATATTACATGTTTCTTTTCTGACATGGTTGGATTCACAAAACTTTCAAGTTCCATGAATGCACATCAAGTGGTGAAAATGTTGAGTGATATTGTGAATGGATTTGATTCATTGACTGACAAGTATGAATTGGAAAAAATCAAAACGATTGGAGATGCTTATTTCTGTGTTGGAGGATTGCATCAAGCCAGTGATCATGCAGAAAGAGTGTTGAGATTTGCCATGGAAACTTTTCGAGTGGTGAGAAATTACAATCACAAAATGATTTTGGAAATGATTGGTACATCTGTAGGAAATGATTCAAATACTCATGGCTTAATTTCAAGCTCTTCATCGAACAATAATTTAATGTCACCCACCACAACTTCAGCAACTGATCATGTCATTCATCAAGTGGATATTCGAGTTGGACTCAACACAGGAGCTGTAGTGGCAGGAGTGATTGGAACTAAAAAGTTTGCGTATGATTTGTGGGGAGACACCATCAATGTTGCTTCTCGAATGGTGAGTATATTCTCTGAGGTGATTTATTTTAATGTTCAACAATTACATGCACACATATATTTTTGAAATCAGGAATCAACATCATTGCCAGGACGAGTTCAAATTTCTCGTTCCACCTATGAGAGAGTTCATGATTTGGATTTACAATTTGAAGAACGAAAAATTGAAGTGAAAGGAAAAGGAGCCATGCAATCTTACTTGTTGAGTGACAAGGCACACGAACGAGCAGTATTGACCTCTCAAGAAATTGACGAATTGAAGGAAGAAAGAATGGTTGAAGCAGAAACGATGTTTTCCTCAATGAAAAAAGAACCCATTCGTGAATCGGTAGATTATTCAGACGCCGTGATTCACGACCATGCAGCTGTGACAGAAGAAGAGGATGACCAAGTAGTTATGGAACCCTCCAATGCAGATCTTTCTCATTACACAATGAAAAGCAAATAGTAAATTAATTCTAGTTGGTTTACATTAATTATCAAGAGTTTTAAGATGATCCAACAAGTCAACGGCTTTCATCGAGCAAGGTTGTGAAGCAATACAATCACTGACGTCAAAAAAGGATGCTTCATCAACGACTTGATGATCACTCATGCTTGATACTTTTCGGGTTGGAGTGGAAGTCTCTTTCGTAAACACTGAATGACATGATTTGAGCAAAATGCAGAAGATATTGCATAGGAATACGCTTGAAAATGTGGAGGAAGTGTTTTCAAATCTTCAAAATCATCCAAAACATGATCGGTGTGTTTTTCCAACTTCAATTTTCGAATAATTTTCTTCATTTTCATGATATCATTGGGAGAAAGAGAGTCATTACCATGTGTACTTGGAGAATTATCTCCTTGAATCAATTCTCCATTGTCATCCATGACTGGATGCATCAAATTGTTGTAAATGACAGAAACTTTTTTAACACTTCCTCGTTGAGCCAATTGGTTTCCAAATTCTTGCATTTTCATATAATCCTCATAGGCTTGATCATCCTTAAAGTTAATAAATCGATTCATGTCTTGATCATAATCCAATGAAGCACAATTTAACATGTCTTTAAAAAGTGCATTTCTTTCATTGGAATAATAATATTTTGAAGAAATGTCAATATCTTTCCATGCACTCAAACAAGGAGCTGCCGGTGCCATTGACAATTGTTTGGCTGTGTGACATGTCAAAAAATGGAATTTGATCACAAAATCATAGTCATGGTCCAATTATTGTTTTCAAATTAAATTCAACAATTTTCGATCATATAAAGTTTCAAAGAAAAAATTTTTGATCCAACACCACCTACCTGCACATAAACTTTCAAAAATTGTTTTCATTTCATGAGGAAATTTTGTTTCCTTCTTTTTAAATCTTTCCATATCAAATTTATCGACTTGTAATTCGGTGAGTTTTCTGCGACATTTTGTGCATACTGAAAGAAAGACAAATATTTCTTGTTCGTTCCGAGAAAAGATGGATTCATCGAATTTGTACTTGTTGAAGGCTTCTGTGTTGATGTTGTTGCTTGCCGAAGAAGGAAGAGGCGATGCATTCATCTTGGAGAATTTTTTTTAAAGTCTCCAAAAGGAAATTTTCATGCCAAATGCCATCAAAGTGAAAATCCATCTTGTTTGAATTTTTTACTCTCAATTTTTAGAGGGTTTGTAAAAGTGGAACGTAAATCCACTATCACCGTCCTTGATTGGCTTGTCTTCATTGTCAAATTCGTGGAACTTCCATCTCTTGTTGCCTTGATTACAATTTGATGAAGAGGGTGGCTGATAAGAACTCATTGAAAACATTCCTGCTCCAGGAATAGTTGCACTTGCTGGGCTATCATTTTGGAATGCAATTTTCTTTGACTTGGAAGTCTTGGTAGATTTGGTCTTGCTGTTGGGTTGTTCTGTTGTTGCAGTACTAGTAGAGCTTGCTACTTGACAAGATGTTGGTGGAGGCTCCATTGTAAATTGATATTGTTGAGCTGTGGCTGCTATGGAATCCATAGAATGTGCTTTTCTAACACCACCAATAACTCCTCCAATTTTAACAGATTTTTGTTTGGAACTCTTAGTTGAAATGCATGATTGTGTGGGTTGAGAATTGGCTATGGAGCTTAGTGATGTGTGGGATTTTGAAGAAGGTAGAGTTGTTGTTGATGAATTTTCAGAGTTTGTACTGGAAGAAGTGACAACATCTCGATTATTAACTCGAGGAGAAGCCTCATTAGACTTTGGTTCGCTTGATTCTATTTGCAATGAAGGAATTTCCTCTCCAACGTTGAGGCTACTCGAGCTACTACTGGTGGTCAAAGAGGCGTTGCTGTTGGTTTTTCTTTTGTTTGTTGGAAGTTCCTCTGTGACAGATGTTTCCTCAGATTGTGCTGATTTCTGTAATGAAGATAAATCTGCCGTGCTGTTACTGTCCGAATGATTTTTCTTGGTCTTTTTAGTGGAACTAGAATTCTTTCGCTTTTTAGACGATTCTTTTTCTAATTCCTTGTCCAATAAGCCTGAGAGATTGTCGCTACTTCGTGTTGGTGCCATCTTTTTGCTTTTGGTTGATCGCTTCAAGTTTCTCAAAGAGTTGGTACTCACAGATCTCTTCATTTCACCGCTAGAAGATTTGTTGTCATTGTTTACAACGTTCTCACCAAAGGACGATAATGTAGAATCAAGACCTAAATTCAAAGTAGTTCCAGTATTTGCCAGTGAAGATAAGCAATTCATAGATTGTGATCTGCTCATTGGGCTGAACGGTATTGAACTGTATCCAAGGTTTTGATATCCACTGTGCTGACTCGATGTAGATGTGACGCTATTGACACTTGTTGTAGACGTAGATCGTTTCATTCCTGATGCCACACTACTTTGCTGTTGGCTTAGAGTATTGGCCAAGTTTGCTAAATTTCCATAAGCATTCGCAAGCAGCTTTTGATTTTGTTGAAGAGTATTCATCATGGTATTATATAATTCAACAGAGCTTAAATTCAATGGATTTAGGGAATGATTTTCAGCATCTAACTCGATAGAATTGTGTTGAGACATAAAATCGTGGATACTTCGTTGGTTCATAAATAAAGGGCTGGCATCCTCTTTAAAATTCACATCTTCCTCATTGATGTGTAGAACGTCTGCATCCAATGCAGAGGATGTTGATGATCTTGAATGACTGGATGAGGTTCCTCGTGCCGAAAGGGGCTTTTGGTTTCCACTCCGTTGTTGCTGTTGATAGGAAAGCATTGAAATTGGAATAACAGAACTGTTTGATAAAGAAGGCATTGTCTTGCTTCGTGGGATCGATGAGCCGCCAGTGGTTTTTTTGGTCTGCCGTTCTTGTTGCTGTTGCTGCATCAATTCCTGAACTACTTGCAATGATCGCATTTGAGATCCAATCATGGAGGCTACCACTTGTTGCTGTTGAACTAATTGTCTTGAAAGTGCCAAATTTTGTTGTTGCAGTTGAAAGGCTGCCGCTGCTGTCGAAGGCGGTGATGTTGACAATGCTGATGGAATACTGGGCATTGAATTTGATGAAGGATTTGCTGATCTCAGTAAAGCCTGTTGCAACTCGAGAGCGTTGGCATTATTTAATGCTCCATTCAGCATCATCTCTTCAATGAGAGCCATATTATAAGCATTTGCTGTGTTAAATGCTGAAGCTGACGTTGGAGGTAATGCAGTCGTTGAAGAATTGTGTAAATTTTGTGTACTATTGGTTCTTCTCATGGATGTGGAGGTGGTGACTGAATCATTATTGTTGAATGAATTTCTCAGAGATGTTGAAGCTGAGTTCGGATTGATTTCAGGGCTACTATTGTTGTGCAGTTGTTGAAGCTGTTGTAGTTGCTGTTGAAATATGGAACTCGCATTTCTTGTCGTTTGATTATTGCTGCTAGCATTGTTCAGTAAATCGTCGTTGAATGCATTCTCGTCATCAAGAAGAGCCTCTACATCGTCAGCAACACCGCTTCCCATCACCACTCTACCGTTACCAAGAATGTCATCATCTTCTTCTGAGCCAGTTCCTAAAAGAGTACCATACGGAGAAGGTGATGATAAATTGGATGGGAAATTATTGTTGATGATATTGTTTGAATTGATATTGTGATAGGAGGTTTGTTGTTGTTGATTTGGAGGGGATGTATTATTGTTTGTTGTTGCGTTTGGATTTGAGCTATTGCAATTAATATTAAAGTTACCCATACTCATCATCATGTAACTGAGACCAGGAGGGGTGAGCGAGAGATGAGAAGAGCCCGACAGATAGCCTGAATCACTTGTGGTTTGATTGGCTTCTTCATCATCAATGAATGAGAAGGATTGAAAAGGCTCTGATGATGCTGAAATGGGAGAGGTGGAATTATTATTATGATGTCGGTTGCTGTTGATGTTGTTATTATAAAGCCTTGACGATGACGAGTTGTTATTATTATTGAAAGGATTCATGTATGGTTGCTGTTGTTGTTGAAGATGCGATGGAAAAGGCAGTCCAAATAACGAGCTACTAGTATTGTTGAAGAGTGGTGTAGAAGCCGGTGAGGATTCAATACTGCTGCCCGTTAAGCCTTCATTCATTAATTCTTGTTCATCCATCATTATGATAGAATCAAAATTATTTCTTGTAGTAATGGTAGGTTTTTGGAATGTGTTGGTTGTTGCTGGTGTTGTGGATGGTGAATTATCGCCAGATGATGTACCAAACATATATGGTGAGGAGGTGTTAGAGGACCGTGTTGTTCGTTGTTGGTTCATCATCGCGCTCAATAATTAATAATTTAATAAAAATCAATGCTCTTGGGTGATGAGTACTACTCAAATTCTCGGAATGCTGGTTGTTGTTGTTGATGTTATGGAAAATAACAAGGACGATGAATGGATTGAACGAATTAACAGTTGCGTATGGTAGTTATTTGTTTTCTTCTTGGGAGATTCGAAAAGAGCTTTCGGGAATTGAAAAGAATCTCCCACAGCAGGAAGATAATTTTTGTGTGGTTCAATTCAATACTTGAGTGCCGTAGTGAACGAATTGTTGTTGTAATGACAAGACCAGTTTTCTCTTTCTCTTCTGTTCTTGAGAGACGTTATTGAAACAAAGTGGTGGTCACGTATGGTGTGTGTCGTTGCACGAATTTTTAGATCTTGTGTGTCGTTCATCTCGTGAACGTTGCGATGAATCAACAAAGCAATGACGTTTTGAACTTGCCTTTTATGTCTTTGAATGCAACAACTCATCGTTGTTGTAAGGCTGAGTTCAACAACCAAAGACTTCCGGTTAAATATTTCCACACATCATAACAGTCAAAATGTGAAACTCTCTTGTTTATTTTCCATTCACAAGTTGCAAAATAACAAAGTAAATCGTACTTCCCAAAATCACCAAACCTCCCAACAATGTTATTGCTGAAGCAATTTTCAATAAGGTAAATCTTCCAGGTTCCAACTTGATGGCAAGAGCACATGGTAATATATAGGCCATCGCGCATGCACTCACTCCTCCTGTAATTTGAAAAACAATTCCCAAATCTGTTACCGAGAGAGCAATGGTCAATCCAAGAGCCATCACGAAAAGTGTTGCCGCATAATGCACAAAGTCCTGTTTGAACTTTTTGGCTCGTTTTTTGGTTAAATCTTTTTCTTGTGGGATTGTAGCGAGATTGCTATTGTTGTGTTGGAGATTTTGATTGTTGACTTCGTGAATAATTAAACTGTCCTGTTCTGATAAATCAATAGGAGGTTTACGCTTTCTCCATGGATTCCAGCAATAACATTTGAAAAAGCCATCTGGTGAATTGTACCATCTTGGGAATAAAAATTTCACAATTAAAATAATGACATTTCTAGGAAGGAATGCTGAGTAAGGAATGGAGAAGATGAGAGAAGTGGTAAGAAGAATTCTGCCAATAATGGCGACCGTGGCACCTTTTGGAAACATTTCTAAAACGTTTGCAATTCGAAGATTTTTGTCCCAAAACAGTAAATATCCTCCAATACCCATAGCACTGCATGCAGCAACAGTTAATGCAACTGTTACAAGCACTACAATGTAATATCTGAGACGAGTTGCTCTTCGAAGTTCGTCAAAAACATGGAAGCTCATGTCATGACAAATATAAATATACGCCAAATTTCCCAATGCATTCATAAATTGTGGATGAACAAATGCAAATGCTTCCTTAGGATCATGTGGAACGTATCTTGGCACTCCAAAAAAGAGTTCATAATTCACAAGAGCTGCCACTCCAAATACAGAGGCAACAGCAATGAATGAGAAAAAAGCAAAACTTCCCAATCGTTTTTGCATTGCAATAGGAAGGATCAAAACTACAAGATAAGTTAGAATAGCTCTTCGGCTAATAAATATGTTGTTTGGATCGTTAAATAAATAGAGTAAGAGATCTGGAACAACTCTGAGAAATTGCGAAAATTGGAAACAATGAGTATTGCAATGTTCATATTAATGAATCTCAAACTTACTGTCCAAACATCAATAATTGAGCGCATGCTCCTCCAAAGTTGAAGAAAAATATGCAAACACAAGCAATGAGAAAACCTATTTTTCCAAAGCCCTTCATGGCTAGATCTGGCAAAGTTCGTTTCAAGTGGCGCCTAGCAAGTTCGTAAACCAAACACAGTGTAAAGATTGTGATAATTCCAAAAACGACGAACCAAATAATTGACATGTACAGCCCACTTTGAGCAACCACACCTGGCATGCTAACTGTTCCTGGACTGATAATGTCATTAATTAAATTCCACACTGAAAAAAATAGGCCAGTCTTTTTGTGCGACATTATTTCTTTCCAAAGTTTTTCTTGTTTCTTGGACTTTTTCAAAAGTCGAGTTTGTTTGTCTTCGTACTTGACATTCTCTGTCACTGAAATCGGCTCATTATATATTTCGTTTGTCATTTCTTGGATTGATTTCTTCTTTTTCAAAACAAAATAATCTTGATTGACATCTCTTTCAAAAACATTTTGATCTAATTTTTCATCCCCAACAGCAGCATCTGCACTATTGATATTTGTATAAATTGATGAAGCAGGATCCTTTGGAATTCCATTCATATCCTTTTTAAGATAAACTTTTCCTCCATTTTTAGAATCAATGATAAAAATCTCTTCTTCATCACTGCTGTCATCACCATGATTTCTTTTCCTTCTGCCAAACAATTTTCCAAGCAGTGATTGTTTTGTAGATTTTTTGGGAGGATACGACATGGATGGTGATGAATGCTCTACCATTTGTCTTTGAAAAGTATCTTTTTCATGACTACCATTTTGATGAATATTATTTCCACCATTGGAATCTGAAGCATGAAAAAAACCATTCGTATTCGTCTGAGGATGGTAGGAGTAAGCTTGAGACTCAAAAGGAGAAACTATAATGGAAGAAGCAGTAGCAGAGTCCGAAGTTGAAAAATCATAGCCGTTGTGTTGTGCGGAACTGGAAGAAAACGAAACGGGATGAGTATTATTGGTGGAAATTATTCTTCCATTCTTTGAAGAGTGATTATAGACGACCATTTGGAATGTTTTGAATAATGCGGAAAATGATGATTATTTCAATAATAATAATTGATATTTTCAATAATTCCTTGATGGACGACTATCGGGATGAAGAGAGTGTGGATGATGATGACTCAATAAAAAAATTGGGAATCACGATAATCTTGAAACATCCACTCATCGGAGAGTGAAGCTACTTGGAGTCTTGCACGAGTTGGAAAAAATCTTTTTCAGCACGGAACGGATGGCTGAAGGAAAATCTTGCAATTTTTTTTTGACAACGATTTTTCATCTCCGATGGAAAAAGTTGAACTCCGATGTGTGAAAATTCAATGTTTTAGGGATAAAAGGTTACGTTAATGATGAAGAGCTATTTCTTTTAATATATAAAATTTGCCCCTTGGTTAAGTATTCTTCGTGTTGGGCAGATTTCACAAAAGAGTGTTTCCCTTAATTACGACAGTACAGTTGAAAGTAATATTGAAATGTGACGATTGGTTAATACCTTGGCTCCTTATGAAGTTTGAGGGATCAATTCCCTCAATATTTTCCCCGTTATTAATTTCAAGCTTTACAGAAACAATCTCGAGTCAGGGGTTAAACTATGAACTGTCTTGATCAATACCAATCATTAAACTGTAGATCGTTAAGTGAGATCTCACTTCCTCATGATTACGGTGAAATTGTGTTTTGTGTTAATTAAAATCAACATAAACAGAAATTTTCCTTCATGATTCGAGTCTACTCAAAATCTTGTGACCATGAAATATCTTGGAGTAACTTGATACTCGAGTTCGTGTTAGGTCCAGGTCATCGCAACAGCTCCAAACAATGTAGAAATCGATGATTGTGAACATGGATCATGATTCGCGGAGGGTCTCTTTAATGATTTTTCACACCGACATTGTCCTTCAGTGAAATGATGTGTGGCCGCATGCATTATTTTTCTAAATTTGTGAATGACATGCTGTCGAGATACTGGTCACATGACAACAGTTGGTGTTTTACCAATGGCTTATGAAATAAGAATCAACTATATTCATGAATGTTTTTTGCGTTTGTTGTTTCTTGATAATACAAAATGCACCCTTCACATTGTTCATTCCTCTCAATTTCCAACTGCCCTTCATTGAGAACATTATTGTCTCTCAAAGTTTGATTGACTCGATGCCAAACGTCAAAATTCAAGTGCTTTAAAAATATCGAACTCACTTCTTTGAGGGCAAAATACTATCACTCAAAAAAAACACAAAACATGCCCTCACTCAAAAACTGTGGCATCAACATTTTGTTGATTGCTCTATTCGCAGCGATCCTCGCCATCGCTCACCAAACGCCACTTGTCAATGGTAAAGAAGTTCAAGTTAGACACACTAAAGACGCTATCCACATTACCATTAATGTTGGAGATAGTTCTTCATCATCATCTTCACAAGGAGTTGATCCAACTACTGAATCCATTGTTTCAAAATTCAAACAAGTCATTGGAAAGGAAGAAGAAAAGCAATTGGCTGAAAAGTTCTTGCGTTTGGCAAGCAGAGTCAAGGCTGTAAGTAGCTGTCTTGATGATATCGAGTTGTTGATAACTGATCTTGTTGTTGTTGTTGATGTTTGTATGATACATCTCTCGATTACAATGTATTTGTTGCTTGTTCATGACAACTGATATGTGTATTCGCATGCACCTTCCATACACATCGGCGCATCACTCAATGGATCACCCTTTCTCATATCACTGATTATAACGTTTGCCTCACCTCCGTCGTGTGTGGTGATACCATTCCTCAACACTTGTTGTTGTCATCTTGTTTGAATCCAATCACATCTATTCATCTTCACATTTTTCAAACACTAGATTCATGATGCCATTCCAGAATCTAGTCAAGACGCACTCATCATGAAACAAGAATTGTTGGCCATTGTGAAGGAATTCACAGTGAGAGCTGAACATCCAGGTGCTGACTTGTTGAAGGATACTTTGAAAGATGTTGTTAAAGCTGGAGAAAAAGCTGCTTCCTCTGATAACTCTGGAACACAAACTTTGTGGCTTTCCACTGCTATTGGTATTGCTAATGGTGCCGTTAACTTTGTTGATGGTATTGGTACCTATGCTGGAAAGGTAAGTGTTTGATGAATTGAAGTATATATATTTAGATGATTCATGCACAACATATTGTAGATTTCCAAAGTTTCTAAATTCATTTCTGGTCCAGTTGCCAACAAGTTGGACAAGTGGGGTCTTAAAGGAATGAGTTCCTTCGCCAAAAACACTGGTAACGCTGTCGACAAGTTTGCCACTGAAAAATTGAAGCCATTCGAAGATAAAATTGCCAAGAAGATTGCTCCAGTTGTCAAATCCAAGGGATTCCAAGCTGCCAAGAGAACATTGAACGTTGTTGCTGGTGCACTCAGTATTCGTAACGGTTTGAAGAATTTGGGAATGGTCAAGAACGTCAAATTGCCAAGATCATTCAAGGCTCTCAAGGGATCTTTGACCAAGGCTACTTCTGCACTCAAGAATAGAAAGGCTATCATGAATGTGATTAGAAAGAGTCCAGCTAAGGCTCTCAATAACTTTAAGAAGTTGAGTACTTTCAAGAAGTTGAGCACTGCTTGGGCATTCAAGAGTGGTATTGGTAATATTAAGAAGGGTCTCACTGGAAATAAGCAACAACAAAACAAGCAAGCTAACAGATCCACAAGAAATTCTGGTAGATCCTCAGGTAGATCCTCAGGTGGTAGATCGGGAAGATCCTCAGGCGGTAGAAGCTCTGGAAGATCTTCAGGAAGATCATCTGGTAGAAGCTCTGGAAGATCCTCTGGTGGTAGATCCTCAGGAGGTAGATCGGGAAGATCCTCTGGTGGTAGAAGCTCTGGAAGATCCTCTGGCGGCCGTCGTAGATAAACGATAAATAAACGTTACAAATCTGATTAAGCAACAATGAGGGTATTTTTTTTGTAACATCAAGCTGCCAGAATTTATTGGCTCCGACCACAATACTAGAGAGAGTGGAATGTCCTTAATGGTGTACGACTGTGGCAGAGCATGATCTGAATGCACCTGTGGCATAGCTCAGTAAATGTTCCATCATTAATCTCCATTCACCACTCACTAATTGATTGCCAAATACATTGGGAAGGAAATTGGTGGAAGCATTGAAAGAGAAGGAATCAGACCAACGATCGAACATCAAGTTGTAGCCATACTTGCTATTTTTCACGTCACAAATCATGCTTTCAAAAGTATACCAATCGTGGAAGTACAATAAGCATAAGAGTGGTTGTCCAGCAAAGAGAGAAAGCCACATGGAAATATTTCCCAATCGTTGAAGTAATTCTTTTCCTCTTCTTGATTTAAGTTTTTTTTGAAAACTTTGTTTCAGTTCTAATAATTTCTTTTCAATTTCTCGCAAAGATTTTCGAGGAGATGGATGATGGTCTGTGTTTTCCTTCTTGACTTCCAGTGAAGATGTCGAAGATTGAGTCACATTGTCACTTAAGGTTGTGGTTGAGGATGTGCTTGACATTGGAGAGGATGGTTGGCTTTCTTCTAGTTTGGATTTTCTTTTGTGGTTGAGATATTGACCCAATAATACGAAGGGAACCTATATTCGCAGTTGTAATGAAAGTAATTAGAAATAAGTACCATGAAAACAGTAAATAGATATATTATAACTTACCTGGACCAACATGGCAGCAAAGAAGTAAAATTTGATACTTCTAAAAATTAAAGCCATGCACAATTCATGTAAAATTGCAGAGGTGAGAAATGTGAAAAACACAGAAATAGGTTTGGAGCCCCCGCTTCCAAGCGACTTGAAATAAATGTGGCGAAGAAGCCATTGATGTACTGGTAAATTCCAATTCTTCCAACTATCACAAGGTTAATTCATATTTTCAAAATTAGTTTGAATGGATCAATATTCAAATTTGTTGGAAAACTTACAAGGATTGAAAATCTTGACAATTCCACCAATCCAAGAAAAATCTTCGATCTCCAAATCTTGTGACTTCTGCAAGAATATTCAGATAGCAATGGAAGAAAGCAAAGCTGATAATGAGCCATGTTAAAAACCAAGGGAAGCTAACTTTAAGCATCAGGTAGCAAAACTTGCCCAAATTGGAGAGATAGTTTGATGGTGCTACTGGTGATTGTTGCTTGAAAATGTTGAACACCTGTTGTGAGGGACTTGTACCATTCTGTTCGAAGAGTTTGGATATAAACTCGATACTTGGAGGTTGAATGTTAAGTGTGGCGCTCGATCTAAATATTGGTTCCAAGTATTGGATAAATATTACCCATGCAACTGCACCACACAGTAGTAAGTATACACATTGTTTCACAATGAAAGAAATACGTATGGTCTTGGACATTGGATAATTTCTAAAAAAGCATAATGTAGGTACAAATAAGAAATAACAATATTCTCTCCAAAAGCTGATTGGGGTAGTTGGAAGATGAATATTTCTCTCGTCGTCACTGTCTGGATTCACCTTCAGTGGCTCTGTCGTGAAAATTCTTCTCTTCGTGTATTGGTAATAACTGAAACCTTTCATCACATAAATCATCATGGTGAATACCATCACTAAATTGACCATGAGTGACAATCGTTTCAAGAAAATGGTCATCACAAATAATCCAATGTATGCAAATGACAATACATAGTAAATGAGCTTTTCGAGAACTTTCAATAACGTGGCCAAAATGGTATTTTCACTCTTTTTTCCTCGAAATCTCTCAACTATATACATTCCAATACAACTATTCAAATACAATGCACAATTATATGTCACTGTAAACACTAAGACATCTACAAATGATCTCTTAATCAACTCGTCAGATATACAAAACAACAAAGCAAAATTCGGGATCAATAACCCTCTCTCCGTCACATTATCGATCATGACTCTCAAAGTCATTGCAGTTAGAAAAATTAATCCTAAATTTAGGAAGCCATCAAACGAAACCTTCTTCTTGGATTCCTGTTTCTTTTGAATATTTACAATATCTTGTTCGGAATCCGAAGTTTCTTCATCGTCTTGATCGTCCTCAATCGTAAGCAACGATGGTCTCTCCTTGAAAAAGTCTTCCACGCTCACGATCACTGGTGTTACAGAAGTTCTTTTTTGATCCGATGATGATCCCGATAGTACATTCTTATTTACATTCGTTTCCGGTTCTTCGGAGGTGTTTGTATGGATTCCCTGTGGTTTGATTTCAATTGGAGAAATTTCAATCTTTTTTTGTTGTTGTTGCTGTGGATGATTACTTCTTCCTGAATCCAATCCTTCTTGATCTTCACTACTGTTACGATTGGTTGTTTGCGTGGTTGTTGGAGATGAGGATGTCATGAACGAAGAAGGAGAGTTTCCTTTCTTTCTCGCCATTTTTTTTGTACTTTTCGTTCAATATTGACACAAAATGGAAATGGCATTCATTGGAGCCTTAATGGAATGTTACGAAATTCATAACTTTATTTTCAATCTGGTCATGTGAAAATTGGAGAAATTCCAATGGTGTCATTATTCTAAATGTCACATGCCAATCTTGTACCACGAGATTGAGAATTATTGTTTGCAATTAAAACTCGTACCCATAACCAATTCAAAATTTACAATCCAAGATCTGATTTAATGACATTCCAAAAAGCTTCCTTTCTTCCTGAAGGAAGCCTTCGTTCTGACTGATCCGAAATATCCTTCTTGTCAAATGCCGAAGTGTTGGAACAAGGTCCATACGAATGACAATATTGATACAACAACTGATCCGATGCAACACTTTCGTCTTGATTTGTTGAAGCATAAACATTGGCAGTTCCACAAACATACATTCCTTTGGTAGATAAAGAACGAGTTGAATCTTCCTTGCTGATCGAAAAGATTTCAATTTTTACAAATGATGGAGTGTTCGAATGAGAGGATGAAGAAGACAAGATGTGTACTTGTCGATTTGCTCCGAGAAAATACGGAGTAGGTAAAGACTTGTTGGAGCCGAGGATTTTGGCAATGTAAATGCCTTCGGGTTGTTTGGGTGAAGAATTGAACAAAAACATTTTTTTTGATGTTCAGAGATAGTTCTCGAGTTCCCTTGAAATTGGCTTTTCACACTTCGGAAATCACTTTTAATTTCACATCAAATACTAGATCATCCAAAAACAAGTAATCATCATACAGCATGCAACCATCCAATGAATCATCCTTCTCGTGGATTGACTGCTCTGAGAAGAAACACTTTTCGGAGGAATGGATGAATGTTTGGGATTCACATGTTGACTGTTGGATGGTTGAGGATTGTTTGTTTTTCGATTCGCAACAACGGTCACATATTCAGGAAAGAAATCATTATGAGAATACATTTCTGAATCACATGCAAGGAGTTGCCAATCTGGAAATACGACGGAAGATCCTCTCACGATAGTAAATTCTGCCTTCTCCTTGAGTTTGTACAAACATTGAAGAGAATTTGAATCAATGTCCACAGAATGACCATCCTTATTGACAAAACCAAGGCTCCTGTCAAAAGTCAATTCAAAATCATGAACTACCAAACGACCTTGATAACTTGGTTGAAACATGGGTGTGAAGGAGAAGGAAACAATCTCCACCATGTCATTGGATGGGAGTGCTACATGATTGTCCACTTTTTGAACCACATACTCATGAGCTGGAAATGTAAGTGGTCGATTCACAAAGGCGCTCAAATATTGATTCAGATTCTTGTGGAGTTCATATTTGAGAGAAGCTCTATAATTAATCAAAGTAGGAACACCAAACTGTGCTGAAATGGCATGTTCCCAACCCATGATGCCAAATGTGTAAACTGTTGGTTGTAAAGGAAGAATTATTTCATTGTAAAACGAGCCGTATTGAAAATCAACTTGTTTGATCTTCTTGTTTTTCAAATCCATCTGAACAATACACAAGTCTTTTGGATTGACATTCAAAATTCCAAAAGTGAAGTCATGTTTGAATGAAAATTGTGATGATTCAGAGGGAATAACGACCTTTTGCATGTCAATCTGGAAAACACCGTACATGGAGTAATCTTTCAACATGGTTGGAACTGAATAGTGATCAAATTCATTGGAATCTGACAAATCTTGATAAACAGCTACACCTGAAGAGTTAGCTGTCATGAAGGTGAACATGACCTTGGTGAAAGATTGTGTGTTCCATGTGAAGGGATATCCAACTGTAACGTTGAAAGGTACATCAAAACCATGTGTTGTGCATGCAGCAAGCAACAACAACAACAAGATTGGTGAACAGACAAGGAGTAACTTTGACATTTTTTGAATTTTGCAAGTCAATGAACTTTAGGACTTTGAATTGGTTTCGCTGATTTCAACAATTTTGAAGCCACGTTAATTTCGTTTTGATTGACAGCTAAACTTTCTAACTTAACACATCCATGATTTTCTCATCCAATTTATTTCGAGTGTTTATCCAAAACCATAAAATAAGCAAAGAGTGTTTGGCAGCTCATCAAACAAAGAATATTAGAAACGATTGTACCATCCATGTCCACTCCTGATGAAAATATGCAACTACCCATCGCCGTTTGAATATTGATGCTCCGCCTTATTGATTTACCCAGTTGCAAGGTATGTTCCTTATATTAATTTGTGACCACATACAGTACAAGTCCACCTCCACATCCACAGTGTGGTCTCTCCGCAATGTAATAATAAATACATAAATCATCAACTTTACTATTAATCCACAGTATTAGTATCTTCATTGATGCTCTAATTGTTCATATTATGTCAATCTCAATATTACATTTTGTACAATAGTTAAATTCCAAATCATCGTATTACCAATTATTTGGAGGTGGGTGTTGTTGACCAACATCAGGTCTCCTTCTTGGTTCCATATTTCCCCCATCTCCTCTATCGCCTCCTCCAGAATAATTGTGTGGAGGACTTGATGAATGATCCAATCTATTTTCTTGTTGATGTGGTGGACTATAAGTTCTTCCTCCTCTATACCCTCCTCTGTAACCATGATGTGATGGAGGTCCTCTTCCATATGGTTCATATCGATGTGACACACCACTTCCATAGTATGGTCTTTCCCTTCCATTATGAGGAGGATAATGATGTGAAGGAGGAGGATAATGATGTAGTGGCTCATGATGTGGAGGGTGATAATTTGTTGGAGGTGGACCATTATCCAATGGAGGTGGAATTCCATATGGTGGTGGATTGTATGGAGGTGAAGATCTTCTTTCATATCCTCCATGTGGTGGTCCACCATGATACACACCTCCGCCACGATATCCTCCTCTCCTCATTGGTGGTCCATCAAATCTTCTTCCAACAACGTTACTATGAAATCCGCGTCCTCTAAATCTTCCTCTCATTCCTCCTTTACTTGGTGGTATTCCTAACTCCTTCTTTTTTTCTTTTCCAATATCATAATCCACTCTCCAATTAACACCCTCTTGTGGAGGTTGATCTCCAATAAATCCTGCTTTAACGGCTTCATATGCCTTCTCCGTACTTTCCCTTGATTGAAAAGTAATAAAACAATAACCTAATGGTTGTCCTCCAGAATATCCAACCTTTACTTCCGCAACTTCTCCAAAACGATCAAATACTCTTCTCAAGTCAGCATCGCTGTAGTGGAATGGAATTCCTCCAAGCCATAGTGTTTTAGTTTCCTTTCTTGCTTGTTCCAATGCTTCCGCACTGATGAATAAATAAATCATCATCATTTGATGACATCAAATTTACATCCAATCATCATCAAACATGTTTCAATAGTGTTGTTAGTGAATATTTCAAAAAACAAAATACAAAGAATATGTTACCATCATCATCTGGTCCTGTTCTTACCTTGGTGGAGGTCTATTTTGAAAGTCTGGATTTCCTTCCATCGATGGTTCCCTTTGATGATACGATGGTGATTCGTATTCTCTTCCAGGCGAGAGAGGTCGATTGTTTTGCTCCAAATCCAATCTCTCTTGTGGATGATGGTACTGGCCTGGCGATACTGTATGTCCGTCTGAAGGCTGCTTTGGGAGATGGTACAAAACAATCCGATGAAGGGAATAAATTGAACGTACCAACCGATCCCAACGTGATTGAGATTGTTATGATGAGAACGAAAGAAAGTTCACTTACCATAATTTTTTTTTGTAACTTTTTAAAATTTTTACAATCAACGCTGGGCTTATCGTTGCGCTAATTTATTGTTTTCTTAACAAAGGAGGCAACGCAAGCATCCAAGAAAGAAAAATACCATGGTAGTGCAAGATTATGTTGAGGCACGACTTTGGAGCTGCTTTCAAAGTAGGGAAAGAATTTTCGGGAAAGAAAGTGATGCAAAGCTTTGGTGGAAATTTTGCATTGTAAATCGCTCTTTGTTCCCACAATGATAATTTCACATTGAGGGCATACTCTTCGAACATTTCTAATCCATGTTGGAATGTTTTTGTAAGTGCATCTACTGGTCAGGTCAAATGTAATGATTGCATATTTGGCGTTTAAATAATATCCATCCCTCAACGACCCAAACCTTTCTGGTCCAGCTAAAAAGTATAATGAAGTGTCAACAAGAAAAATCGTATGGCTTACAAAATTTCGACATATCAAAGTAGCTACTTACCTGTATCCCATAGAGACATTTTAATACTATGGTGAGTATTAACGCCTTGTGGTTTGTTGCTCATAGGAGCCATGTTGAATCGGTAGTTGTGGGTTTCAACTCCAATGGTAGGAATATATTTTCGATAAGGATCAAAATTCGAACTGCTTAATGATTTGCAAAAAGTAGTCTTTCCAACCCCTCCGTCACCAATGATCAATGACTTGACAATTTCAACATGGTCGGATGGATCACTGATTTGGTTTTTGTGTGAAAATAATTGGTGTACAAGAGACAACTTTTCTGAGTTTGCAGTATCTTCCTCTTTGGGTACACATTGTGTGAAGTGAGAGAAATAGAATTGAAGGCATTCCATCTCTTGTGTGAAAATTCTAGCATACGAATTTGAACTATCAATGACACAATTTGTAGAAGAGTTATTAACTGTATCACCGTTAGCGGCTTCAATGATTCCAGCTTGCGTCCATTGGCAATGAAATTTTAGCACCAAATCCAAAATATAATTTCTCAAACAATATTTCAAAAAGGCAGGTTGAATAAGATCAATCAATAACCCATTCAATTCTTCTTCTTCATCCAAATCATTGCACTGATACTTGTAAGCCTTCAGTATTTTCCATGTAACTTGAGAATTGTGAAAAGATGTAGAGCCTGATGAGGTTTTAGATGAACTTGTGTTCATTTGCAACTTTTGTGTCTTTCTCACAAGCCATTCATTTGCAATTTCATATCTCACTAATTTACAGGTTCTTCCGAAGCCAAACACAACATCTAGCACCGAAAGAAATTCTAATATTCCGAAAATCCACACATCTTGAGATAATTTCGAAATGATATGATTCTCAATAGTATTCGGCTTCAACTTGTTTGTTGTTATCATCGCTGCGATGAAATTTTTTGAGGAAAGAACTAGAATCTCAGGATTGCCATTTTTTTATGTTGGTTTTGAATTCCGTTGCATGGAATTCAAGCTGTTGTCCCAGATTTTGGCTTGACGAAAGCCTTTTCATTCTTGAATGAAAATCTTCACAAAAATTTGAAAGCTAAACTCACCAAAACCGTCACACAGAAATGTCAAGAAATGTTTGGCTCCAAATAATGAAAAAATGTGGCGCACAGGCTTGCTTTCTCTTCCTGAAGAGTTGCTGGTTGACATTTTGAAATCTACTTCCTCATCGTCGTTCTCATTGGGTCAAAACGAGAAAGAATTCAAACGTTAAAGATCACATGATCATGGCTAGTTCGATCATGTCATTAAAGTCAATATTAATGAAATCCGAAATTGTGATGGAATTTTTAGTTGAATTTTGGTGGAAAATTATTGAACAGTATTGTGGAAAGCCAAAACAATCATCATACAGTATTCTATTGAAGGATTTGAAACAAGAAATGTCATCAAAACAGTGCATGAAACGATGTGTAAGCCTATTTTTACATATCAACAGAAAATTCATGGAAGCACAAACCAAAACAACAACTCCATTCGAGCAAATAGCGATCTTGGGTGATGGTACGTGTCATGTAATTGACAAGATACTTTAAGAATGCTCTGTTCTTCGTGAACGTTCACATTTGAATTGATTGTTGTTACACCACAGATGGAGTGGGAAAATCCGGTCTTCTCTTGTTCTATTTGACAAACTATTTTTATGAATCATTTGATCAACACACCATTGAAGATAGTTACAGAATAACATCATGCATCGACAACAAGACAGTAAATTTGGAAATATTGGACACTGCCGGCCCTCCAAATTTATTTAGAAATGTGTACATACGAAAAGCCAATTCTTTTATTTTGGCTTGCGCTGTAGATAATATGCTTAGTGCACAGAATCTTGACGATATTCTTCAACATATATTTTCCTTGAATGAAGATGCGCTTAATGGTGTCTTTGTGTTTGCAATGAATAAGTGTGATTTATCAACTCAAGTAGGACTGGAGGCCGTTCATAACGTTGAGGACATTCTATTTCGATTGATTAACAAGTTGAATTGGAATATTGTGTGTGCCATTATCGAAACAAGTTCAAAGAACAATATCAACACGACTCTTGTGTTTGAAGAGTGTGTGAGAGGACATATTTCAGGGAGAGATTCCTCTCGAAATATTGATTTACTGAGAAATATTGTCAAGATGGACAAACAAGGTCTTGAACTATGGTTAGACAACAGTGGTACTACGAATTGTCTTATCGTGTAAAACCATCGATTCTAAGAATGAACAAGAGTTCTATCATCTTTCAATGAATTGATGGGAATACATTTCTTTCTCGTCCACTTGATACTTCTGAAAGATTACTTTAACCACAATGAACAGGACTAAGTAATACTGAAATCATGATAGAAATAGTGTAGTCTAGTGATGTGATGACATGATCGTAGAGAGACATTGATTGTACTTTTCATGATGGCATCATTGTCTCATTTTCACTCATTATTGGCGCCCTTTAATAGAAAATCTCAGCCACACATACTTCACTACACTTCATTTAACATTTACCAAATCCAATCAAGAGAGATATTTCACCTTTAGAATTTATTATTTTAGTAATTTTTATTTCTCTCATCTCTAGAGCTGTCTTTTTGTCGGGTAAGAAGAAAAACTCACAGATAGGGAACATACACCAAGTTCATACATTGGCCGTGTAAAAGGGTCATCTCTCAGCGAATGTGCTTTGAAAGCCTTATCTCAAAAATCATCCGTTGTTGATGGCCATTAGCAGAGCGAGAGAGAGATTGGAAACAAGTCTAGCTCCACCATTTCGACAAGGCAAAGAGATTTGATACGCATCTCAAGGCTCTGCAACCACTTTAAAAAAAAGAGTAACATCTCTCGTTGTATTTCCACGCACAAGCCTAAGACTTCAACTACAGTTTTTGAAAAACGCTGCTGAAAACCATGGTCAAAGTTCAACCAACGAGTGGTCATGAAAAGACTTTGGAATCTAACAAACAACTAGGCGAGCTCTTCTCCAACTCGGATGGTGATTCTAACTCGGATGAGAGTCTTCTAGAAGGACACAAAAAAGGTCGTCCCTTCTTTCTGAGAGCTCTCCTCAGTGTTCGTCTCTTCCTCATTGTTGTCATTACGATTGTGGTCGTTTTGACTGCTCTCTCCATATGGATTACAGCCTTTACAGTGAATGAACAAACGGCTCTGGAACAAGTCAATGTCATCATTGCGAATATGAATGAAAAGATTTCGGGGTTTCTTCAAAGTCAATTATTACCTGCCAAGCAAGTAGCACAACTCATCACCGATGATTATCATAACTTTAAGATTGATCATGATCCTACCATTCGTAACTACTTATTTTCAAAGGTCAAGTTGTTTGGTGTCACCAATACGAATTTAGTTTTTGGTGAGAATGGCAACAATCAAATGTTTGCATACAGTGTCAATGCTGACAGTTCGCTCGTTTGGGGTGTCAAACTTCAACAGAGCACTCGGTTCATCATTTCCAAAGCTAATAATGAGACGGGAGAGATTTACTATGATCAAATAGTGTCAAATATTTCTTATGTGATTAGTGCAACTGATTACTACAAGGAATCCATTCGTATCGTTCAAGATTATCCAACGGGAGGATATGGAGCACCATACAAAGTGCTTGGAGGACCTCAATCGACCTTTTTCTCAGTTCCAGTGTTTAACAGAACAGAGTTGCTGAACGGTATCAAGAATCGAGTTGGTTTTGCCAAGATTAACATTTCATTGGCAACCATTGCACAATTCTTGAAGAGTATCAAAGTCCTTACCAGAGGTTATGTCATTATTTCCGAGTTTGGGAACAATTTTGTCATTGGAAGCAATCTAGCCATTGATGGCATTGACGCCACACGAGTGAAAGCTACTGACATTAAGACTCGTGATGCTGGATCAGTCATGACCAATCTTTTACAGCAAACGAAAGACAGTCTGGATCCAGTCATACTAAACATTGCAAGTAATGGCACTAACTACTTGGTCTCATCGACACCTTTTGTTTACACCAATTTGAAATGGAGAATGACACTTGTGTTTGAAGAGAATGAGATTAAGAAGGGTATTATCATGAGTAGTTATGTCATCCTTGGGGTCACTCTGGGAGTAACTACTCTGGGCATTTTGATCAGTGTTGTCATTGGTTGGATTGTGACAAATCCATTCATCAATCTTCAGGAGGATTTCAAAAAGATTGAAGTTCTCGATTTGGTGAATATCAAAGAACGAAGTGCTTTCTTCAGTGAAGCAAAGAGTATTTATTCGAGCTTGACTGAGACTGTGAGATGGTTGAGTGAGTTTAGAGCCTTCTTGCCTGATTCTGTGTTAAATCAACTGGAACATAGTAAGGCACAACAACAACAAGTACAACAAGAATCAAGCAACAAGAAGGAGGACATGAAACAACAACAGATCCAAGGCTCATTCCGAAGTAAGGAAAGTTCAAGCCATGGAATGGATCACTCAACCAGTGGAATGGGATCTAATCGTCAAACCTCTGCCAACATGAAAGCAGATTCCAAGTCCTTGTTCAAACTTGGACTTTCATCCAAAGATTTGGTCACTCTTGTACATATATCCATTCCAAATTTATCAGAAAAGAGCTATCCATTTGATGCCTTAAATAATATCACATCCAAATGTTTGACATCCGTTTCGAGTATTTGTAAAACATGTCGTGCTGATTTACAAATTAAGAGCTATGATGAATATGTTGTAATTTTTAATGACAAGTCACCCTGTATAACTGCACTTGAAACATGTTTGAAATTGAAGATCGCTTTGGAATCGTTGAATAATCATCTCAACAAGGAAGGGTTATCTCCATTGCAGGTGTGTATGGGAGTTTCAAGCGGAGAATGTCTTGTTGGTAACATTGGAAATAAGCAGGTAAGTGGTAATCAGTCATGGATGTGTGTAGAAGAATGATGACATTAATAATTTTCACAATTGACATATATCATATAGATGAGATATTTTGAACAGATCGGTGAAATTGTGCAAACAGCCAAAAATTTGAGCGTCTTGGCCAACTTTGTAAATGTTCAAATCTTACTCGACGCTCGAACTTTTCAAATGACCAAAGATTCCTTTGTGTTCAGACCTGTCGAGAGAATTATGAACTCTTCCAAGAGATGTATAGATACTGTATATCAGCTCGTTCAGAAAAATCAAGTGGCAGATGACGAATGGATGTATGAACTCGAAACGAAGCAACATCATGCCAAATTCCAACAATTCGCAAATAATTTCTGTAAATTATTTGATGAAGCTCAGTTACCTCAGGATGAAATCAACGACGTTAAAAAATTCATTTCAAACTTGCATGAAATGTCCCCTGAAGATTTAGTGTTGCAAAGACTTAACAAGTTGATTGAATTGAATTCGACACAGCTGAACCAATTGTCGAGTTATTACACCAATGTCTCCACCAACGTCACAAGCTACGTCCAGGGAGAAGTTGCAAAACTTGATTGTTAATAAAAGGATACATGATCAATTGCTTTTGAAGCAAGCTCTTTTCCTTATTGACCTAGTCGTCTGACACTTGTCAAATGATAATATTAGAAAGGGGCATAGTTCAATGGTAGAATGAAGGATTGTGGTTCCTTAGACGAGGGTTCGATTCCCTCTGCTCCTATGGAAATTTTTATCATTTTAGCCAAAGTGTGCTGGTACGACTTCAAAAATTGCATACTTTGTTCGAGTTGTCTCCATCCTAAAGACAGACTTCAAATTTAAAAAAATGTCATCACGATTTTTGCACCTCACTCGCAACGATATTCCAACCATTGGCTCTGCCAGGTGGTCCGAGGGCTGATGCTTTATAGTAAACATTTTGGAAAAGAGAAATTAGCCTCACATTTTATTCAACAACAATTTCACCAATAGCTGTCTAAAAGTTTCCAAGACCAATGGCTTGTATAACACATCATCAAATCCTTGTGTTAACAAAGTTTCTCTTACTTCCCAAGTGTTGGCTGTGATGGCAACAATTGGAATTCTGCTTGCAGTTCTTTCTTCACATTTCCTTATTAAGGAGCATGCTTCTTTTCCACTCAGCACTGGCATGATACAATCCAACAATACGAGATCATACACCTTTTGTTGAAATTTTTCAAAACATTCCTTTCCATCAATGGATGTATCAATATCACGGAATCCAATAATTTGTAGCATTTTTACCAACACTTTTCGATTCACAGCATTGTCATCTGCAATTAGAACTGAGAACTTGCTAAAATCTGGAATTATAGGAATTAATGGAGGGTTTTGATGATGATGTCCATTAACAGTGGGACTATGATGACGCATACGGTTGCTGCAATTAAAGTCAACGCATAGGGGAGGAGATACTTGTGGGGAATTGGTTGGGGCTTGTGCAACAGAGTGATGACCATTTTCGGCTGGCGTCACAAAATGATGAAGATCAAGTGGATGATGGAATTCTGGTCGATCCATAGGTGCTGACGAAGAGGAGACAGCTGAAAGATGGGTGAGACTATGTGATTTTTCGTGATGGTGGAACACCGACTCAGGCATGTCATGGTTAGGATGGCTAAACATGAACTCTCTTGCATTTTGAACAAGTTCATGCAAATCTGAGAATCGAACAGGTTTCGACAGACATTTGACATTTTCCAGAAATTGTTTCATGGATCCTCGAAATCGTGTGGGAATGATTTGAACATGATTCTCATTGAGTTGGAGAAAGGCCTTTCGAGCTGAATCGTATTCGTTCTCGTCAATGAAGAGAATGGATGGATTTTTCAAAGAAGGAGGAAACTAGCTTTCATGTCGGATTGGAACGTTTTAAAATCGTTGAATTCCTTAATGTCCACATAAGGTATGTCACTTTTTAACAGGGACAAATATTCTTTAAGGACTTGCTTATAACAATAGTCGGAATCAACGATGAAAACATTGAAAGCTGATGGGTGAGCTTCACATAATGCCTGGCCCTTCTCATCTCTCTGCTGTTCTGTCAACAATATTCTCTGGGCGCTTACTTCTACTTCATTCATGACCTTTCCATCTTGTACTGGCGTGACATTTTCCAAAGGTAGAATAATTTTAAAAACAGTACCACCTTCATGAGGACAGCTCTCCACTGTGATCATGCCATGCATCTTGGATACTAACATTTTAGAAATGCACAAACCTAGACCTGTTCGTTTGGTATTCATGACACTACTTCCACCATCGTCCAATTTGATTCGATTGGTGTTAAAGTAGTGTTCAAAACCTACTGATATTTCTTCGTCTTTTTCTGTTGGAACGATTCGGTAAGGCTGGAAAAGATTTTGCATTTGACTTTGAGAGATGCCACATCCTGTGTCAATGCATTCGAGCTTGATATAGGTAATATTGTTATTCTTTTCAGGTTGAGAGCTTCTGATTTCTTGTAATTCTGGATCATCTGGTTTTACTACATCACAATTCAATCGCACAAATCCCTTTTTGGTGTACTTGATAACATTGGACACAATATTCATAATGATTTGAGATATTCTCACCGAGTCTCCTTTCAGTGTTGCTGGAATGGCTGCAACATTGCAAAATGCATTCAACGAAATTCTCTTTTCTTGAGCTAAATGAGAGAAGGCACCCATCAACGAATCAATCAAATTCACAATCGAGAATTCTTCATTTCTCAACACAATTTTATCCATTTCAAGAGAAGTCATTTGTAATGAAGAAGACAAGATATGGAGTAGTAAGGTTGCATTTTCCTTAATATCTTGCATGGTCTCTGAAATGGCGGTATTGTTCAACATACAATGTTCACATCCATGGAGGCATTTATCAGCCTGAAAATGATGACTCAAAACTTGGAGACTTCCTAAAATGCAGTGAATGGGATTTCTAGCTTCATGACTCAAGTTGGCAATGAATTTAGTCTTTTCCGAGTTTTTGATCTTCTCTCGTGTGATCTCTACTTGTTGTCTGGTGTATTCTTGGTTGGTTTGAACAAGAGCTTCAGAAAATAGGTATCCTCCAAACAAGACACCAAATTGTAGCACAAATACTCCTAATAACCTTACAAAGATGGATAGCCTAACTTGGTTCAGAGATAATGGATACTGCAGTTTCGGATCTGCAAAAAGCAACATCTTTTCTGAAGGGAAGGGTTGTGTGAAATAGGCAATGAACATGGCTGCGCTAGTTCCTAGCACGAGTATCAGTCCCACCTGAATCATGAGTCGTATATTGAAGCAAAAGTTCTTGGAAACGATGAGAATTTTGAACGTTGTCAGCAAATACGCAGGGAAGAGGGCCCCATAGTACACTTGATTGGTAATTTGTGCCATGAGAACTATGATCAATTTGATCAGATGCCATCGAATGAAACTTTGCAGCGTGGTGTGTCTCATCTTGTTGATCACAATGTGACAAACAATTTCTGAAAGGGCTACTGAGAGAAATACAAAGCAACCTTTTTCCTGACAGCAACACGTCGATATATAGATAATAGGGAGAATGGAAAGACACACTCCGATCTTGCTATGATTTCTTCCTTGTTGGAGTAAATGAGTGAGGAGTATATCATCTGGAAGCTTTTGAAAGTCAGAGTAGGAAGAGTTGGAAGAATGGGATGAATAGGATTCTGAGGAGGTGGTTGAGGAAGGATGTTGAAATGAGGAAGGGAAGGTGATTGAGGCTCGTCGTTGAGTCGGCGTAAAATGTTGAAACGAAGGAGAAACACCCGATGTAGAGGTTTCCGGAGATGAGAATTTAGAGGTTGTTGTTGGAGATTTCCTTTCCGAAGGAGTTGATGATGTTTGATATTTCATCTTGACCGTTGGGGTGTTGTTGTTGTTATGATAGTAGCCGTTCAATATGTTGCAGCAGTTGTTTTTTGAAGGTTGTAAACAGTATGAATAGCAACTCAGAATATTTGAAGGTGTTATGGACGAAAAAGGCATTAGAGAAAACTTGGTAGCATTCGACGCAAATTGAAAACTGAGGAGCAGAGTGGTGTAATAGCAACAGAATGATAGCACTTTTTTTGTGTTGAAAGAAGTTTCCAAGTGAGGACAGTGGTTGGATGATATATTGGCGTCGTGGAATTTTACATAAAGCCTTCAGTAACACAACAAATTGTTGCTGGCCATGCTCGTTGCCTGTTTGGGAATTGACCTTAATTGTGAGTATCACATGATACCCCTGCAAAACATATACCGAGTTTCAAAAAACAAATAACTTTAATCAATGCAACGAGTGGTTTTCGGTGAGGAACCAAATTTGAAATTGCAACGGTTAAAGTATCTTTGGTCAAGTAGGTTTCTGTCCTTGGTCATGCACTGAATGGTCGTATGACCGGTTTTATTGATTGTTGCACAAGATTTCGACAAGATTCACTGAGAGAGGTAACAAGATAACACGATTCACCTTCTTAATTAAGGCCGATCCGTCTTGTTTTTTTAAAAGTTGACTTTAATACTTGGGATAACATTTGAACCAAGCGTTCTCAATGGGTTATTATATGAGGGATGTCTAGCCCACTTGGGTATTTGATGGATCTAGTACAAAGTTTTGGATCTGGTGTGGTCGCAACGATGATTCGTGCTTCTTGATTGATATGGACAAGGATGTCTTTGAAAGAATCAAACGACAATATCTTACCACCTCAAAAAGCAACTGAACAATATTTCAAGCTAGTATTGTTAAAGTGGCCGAATCTGGTTTTGAATAGGATGGAATTTTTTGTTGGACTATGAGGATGATTGTATACAATGGTCATAACCACATGAGGGATGATACTATTCCTATTAGCATGATCCTCTTTCATGACCACGATTCTCAGTCACAAAACCATAATGGATCGATTTGGAAACAAACTAAAAAAGAAATTGCCACACCCTGCATCTTCCTTAAATAATTTTCAATTCGGATGGAACATGTTGTTGATTCTCGTCACCGCCACTTTCCGAAGAACTGGTCGTAGAATCATGAGGTGTCGAAAATGGTGACAATTGGCGCAATGGAATCATCTTGTTACCATCCAAATGTAACTCCACATTTTCGCTAATTTTCAAAAGAGTCTCATCTCCGCTACCAATCGTTTGGTTACCACCTTTGGTTTTATCCATCATGATGCAAGCGGAGGAATCTGGGACCTTGTCTACAGCTTGGTCATTACGGTTTTCTGGAATTAAAACAGTAGTGCTACTTGGTGAGGAAACCACAGGTGAACTTGCAACAAGAACAACCCCTGAGACTGAGGAACCACCCGAATGACATGTACCAGAAGCCGATGTGTTTAGTGTCACATTTGAAAGGAGCTGATTCGTATTGGCTTCATTCAGGGCGTTCATGAAATGTTTTTGTCGTTTTTCAATTTCCATAATAGCTCGATCTGTGCCCGCAAACATGGGATAAAATAAACACAAAACAAGAACGGCAAAGAGGAGTACTCCAAGACAATTCACAAAATGCCATAAGGATTTGAAATTTTCAAAATCATTGATACTTTGAGAGAGTGCAACGGCCACCATTTCCAAAAAGACACAAATAATTAGACCTAGAAGTAATCCAAAAGTAATCTTAAAAGGAGATTGGACTCGTTTTTCAAAGGTTTTAAAGTCGGATGAAAAACTGGAGACCCTTGAAAGTTGAGCTGATTTTGAAACTTCTCTAGTGGTTTGCTTTATGGTTTTGATAACCAAAACGCCAGATGTCACAGCCATCACCGTGTCGAATAATAGCATGCCAAGAACAATGACGATGCATCCAACGTACACTCCAATGGCTGTAGTTTTAGAAATCATTTCAAGCTTTCTCAAAATGTAAAACGTTGTGGCCAAGCTAACAATAAGCTCAACAACAATACAAAATAGGACGGTGACGACATTCATTAATATTTCAATTCGTCTATGAGCAGTTTTAGAGATAGCTCGTGTCAGCAGTGCAGTTTTCCAACTACATACCACATCCGTTAAGACCATTTAAGGAAAACATAAAAGTGTTACAACACTTACAACATCTTTTGGACAAAAAACAAAATGACAAACAATGTAATAAAGTTTGTAAACATAAAGAATGTCGCCAAGCCCGTCAAAATATTCGTCGCAAGGAAAAAATTCCACTCCACCAACTGTCCGCTCTCTGCGATTTGTCTCATACGAATGGCCATACTGTCACCAATGATTCGAACACTTAAATTGAGACATTGGATCAATATTTGAATGACCACAAGGGAAAAGAGAATTTTGTGATTCTTCTTCAATTGTTGTTGTTGTGGTTGTGCTTGATTCCTCCTGGACACTCGAAAGATGAAAACTGCCAAAAATAGTAAATAGATGATGAAACAGCAAATATATAATACGGAATTTCCTATGGACATTGATGCTGCCCACACAGGAAGGTAGTAATCGACTGTGACGTTAGCAAATTGGTTGCTTTGAAGTGAAGACATTTTTTGATGCTCTTTGATGTTGCAATTTGATTCAATCTCTGTGAGGGTGTGAGATGCGAAAACGTTTTTGAATATAAAGAGCGAAAGCATGGTTAAAAACAGAGACTTGTCAACTCCTTTTCCAGATGTTCTTTTCTTTGTGATTTCGAAGAAAAACAAAAATAACCTTTTGGGTCAAATGATGCGACTCTCCAATTTTCCTTCAACTTTGCGTAAATGGAAGAGAACGAATGGTGTAATGATCTATTGATAACAGGGTGTCTTCCAATACTAACACATTTCATGCATAAATGTTGCGGATGTCATGATTTGATGAAATTGTCTTGAAGGTACAGTTTACCTTCCAAATTTAACAGCAAAAAAAATTATTACCAAATCATGGTTAACCAAGATAATTCATCGTCGGTGGCTTCCTCTTCATCACAAGTGACATCAACTTCGGGAGTACCATTCGAACAACTCATCAAACAATATAATTTCAAAATAGAGGCTGTCTTTGATCATGTTGAAGCCAGAGAAACTTTCAGGAATTTTCTCAAAAAGGATTGTTTAAACGAAGGTATGAATTTCGTTATTACATATTACTAAAATGATTATTAAATTGTTTTTTAAATTGAAATCCCTTGTGCACATTCATGATCATCATGTCCTTTCAATATCAATAATATGATCATCATCAATTTTCAATATTTTGTGTGTGATGAAATATCATCATCCGGAAATAGAGCCTTTCATTTTTTATGAAGCAGTTGAACAATACAACAAAACACGGTTGGGGAAGAATCGATTTGAACTAGCTCATGACATTATTGATAAATTCATTATGGTTGGTTCGTTACACGAGTTGAACTTATCCATGAATGACCGAAAAGAATTATTGAAAAGATGGAAAGAGGTTTCTGAAAAGAATGAAGCAATCACCAATACGGATTTAATTTCATGCCCCATTGATTTATTCAATTCTATACAAGATGTACTCTTTATTGAATTGAAAGTCGACAACTTTCCGAGGTTCATTGCATCCGATATGTTTAAGAAATTCTTGAATAAGGAAATGAAAAAGAATGATTTATCCATTCTTGAAAAACTTGGAACGAAAAAGCCTTCACCATCGATTACCACCAATAATGCAAGAATCAATAGCATTGATGGTAGTGGAGAGTTAGGGAGTAATAGTTCAATACCAATTTCCGTCTCAAGATCAAGTGTTGCCAGCAGTAGCAGCTCTGGCTCGGAAGAAGAATCAAGTGCTTCTGGAGACTCAACTGAGGACAAAATTGCAAAATTATATGAGAATGATGAATTGATGAACTCATCGAATCAAATACTTCTTCCAATTATTGATGAACTGAATCCTTATGTGAGTGAATTGGATTATCAACTAGTGTTAAAATTATTACATTCGTTGTACAATGATAATTCATGGAAAAGTTTGGGTGAAAAAGTAGGAATGAAAACATGCGTCAGCCCACCAATCTATTGTTTTAATTCACTCCATCAAAATTCAACAAGTGGCAACAATAATCAACAACCATCCAAATCAACAAACAGAGACATTCCTAAATTCATGTTAGCACAAACAGGTATCATGCCAGGCATGCCACGAGATGTGGTCGATATTTTCTATGGTGAACATGTACAAAAGTTTTTCAATGACATGTACAAGAGAAGATTTCAAGTGGATTATTTTCACATGAATCCAGAAAAAGATATACCTTTTCCAACCTCAATTGTTTATGCAGAAATCAGTTTTCCTTTTCCTTTCACAAATAGGGATTGTATCTATGCCAAATCCATAATTCCAGATCAATACGATCCATCTACCGGACAATACAATCGATACACCATGATCATGAACCCCACAAGCCACCATGAGTATCCAGCAAAGTCAAATCCAGTGCGAGCAATTCATTACCTTGTTTACGTCGCTGAGAAGTATACCAAGTCAAGCGTTCGATATGCTGCATTCGACGTTGGAGGTATGTAGGAAATTAATTCAATATTCAATTGTCGATTTTCATTCATTGTTGGAACAATAGATATGGGAGGGAAAATTCCACCTTCTTTAGCATCTTCATTTATGAAAACCATGGCCAAGATACTTCACAAAAAGTCAAGAAAGGCTATTGAACAAGGATACGAGTCACACAGTTTGAATGTTGTTAAAGATCATGATGGAGGATTAGCCACTCTTAAAGAATACGAGGAATATTTAGAAAAAGTGAGGTTGTGTGAGTATAAGTAAACTTTTCCTGTTCATGTCTCTTGTCATGAATATCTTCGCCGGTGCCCTGATCATGGGTGCTGCAATTTTTCTTCTGATCTCATCACCAACCATTCCGAAAGCTGCACTATTCAAGCGACGCCAGACATCATGAAAGAAAAAAATCATCAGACATAAGAATGCTTGGAAAATATTAGGTACGATTGGGTAGAATTTTGGTCAGAAATGTGAAAAATGTGGAGCTACTGTGAAAGCATTCGAACTGAATTACTGAGAAAAGAAGATGCCTAGAAAATGGATAAAACAGTTCCTTCCAGTCCAAACTCAACAAATTCAAGAATACAAAAATGAAAACTGAACGCAACCTTAATAGTGAGTAAACTTTAAGCGCTGCCAACGATCACACTTTAATGGCATTCATGTTCCCAAGATTCTGTGTTGAACACAACATTGTGGTCGACGTTGCCACAAGTCAAGCCATAACTTGCACGTGTTTCAAGCAACTATTAATCTATCAATTACTGGAAAAAAAATTTTTGGGATTGTTTGGTGGCTGTTGTTGCTGGAGTTAAGCAGTTTTAGCAATCATCCCCATCTATTAGCTGTGTGTTATTTCTTCTGCCCTGGTACAACGTCAGTCCTATTTTTGACAGAAAATATATCCTAAATTTTAACAAATTCTTAAATCGCTAGTTCTAGATTGTACTTTGAACTGGAAACCCATTGGAATGTAGAAGCGGTAACTTTGTTAATACCAAACACATCCTTATGGTGTTCCTTTGATGGAGAAATAAAAACTCCATCTAATAAATCCCACTTCTTCTCGGCAACGTGTGTCCAGAACAACTCTTCTCCATTCACATCCTGCTTCTTCTCTGGATCTATAATACGTTTTGAAATACAATACTCTACATATGCGTTTGAATCTAAACAATGGTTGCACTGGTTGGCGGTTAGAGATTTCAAACAACCAGTTTCAGAGAACCTTGTACCGTCTAACTCTGTCAGGCGAAGCATAACAATTGATTCCAAATCGATGTTGCAGTTTGGATATTCGTGGAGTAACATGTTGATCCTTTCTTGAACAATCTTTTTCATCAATTTTGATCTATCTTCGGTCCCAAATATCTTAATTAGAATTTCTAGTCCAATTTCATACCCAATAAAATCCTTTGCAGAAAACATAAAATAATTTGTAGTTGGATCCAAATAAGAGCTTTCTGGTCCAGAAAATCCAGAATACAGTAAAGCGTCAGCAACGTCATCGTTGTGTACCTTAAACTTAGAACCTAAGAATGGAAACTGATAATGAGTAACGTATTTAACAATGGCGTCTTGAATTCCTTGTCGAGTTGTTTCTTCTACAACCAATCGAGGATTCAAACTTGAGTTATAGGTGTCAAGATAAGGCTCTATATTCTTTTTTGCTTGCAATACAAACTCTCATCTACGGACAATTTAAGAGCATCTATGGTTTTCCATTGCTGAAGAAATTCAGCTCAGTTCTATAACCCTTGTCACATCCAAAACATGCACCTCCACAACTATTGTTTGATTGTAGTTTCTTGTTTCAGTAGAGTAACAATCTTTTTGTGGCCTATACGAGCAGCTGAAGTTTTGGAGAGCAACTTTGAGCACATGGACTTGGCAACAACTTCTCCCAACAATCCCTGATTTGTTTTCGAGATTTTGTTCATCTTTGCTGGCACGAGGAGCCTCCAAAAAATTCTTCGGTGATTTCTCAAGAAATTTACAACCGAACCATCAGCGATGATTTATTCATCAATCTTCATCAGTTAGACTTTGGAATTGAAACCAATCCATCTATGGACCACCACCAACCAATAGTACTCATCATAAGGATAATGGATGGAGCATCATCAAGATTTAAATTTATTAAAATAACTTTGAATCATTGCTTTCTGATGTGATGATAGTGGAGTGAATACCATCTTGTTGTTGTGGTATTGGCTATCATCGCTTAATATTATGGATTTAGAGGTTGGTTTCATCAATATTTGGTTGAGAGTTCAACATGAAAATTTCTCAAGGCTTAGTCCCTAGCGACGTTTTGAGTGCAAGCATGAGATTCACTTGCCAAGACAATCATCAAACGACCTGAGGTGATTGTATGAACCAGAACAACAACGATATGGGTGGTGTTATTGACTGACATGATCATTTCATTGAATGGGAGTCATTCGGAGAGAAAAACTTTGATCATCAGCCCGAGCATGAAGGAGACATAATTAGATGTTGAAATCATCACTACAAGTACACAATAGTATGTCCAACATGTATACAAAGTTTGGCGACTTTCTTTGGAGGAAAAGTTCATCATCACAGCCCAAATTATGCTCCAATAGTAATGACGGGTTAGCACAGCCTGAATTTTCAATTCTCAAATTCCCATAAAACTTGATCAGATTGTATCGCTTATCATTTCAACAAGATTTCCATTGAATTTGCTCGGTACATCATTCCTACGCTTGAATGATAGCATGACGGAGTTTGTTGAGTCTTATGAATTTTATCAAAATCAAGAATAGATTGTGAATTAAAATTTGAAATTAATTCTGGTGATAGATCACGGTGTGTCATATGAGCATACCAAGTTTGATGAAATTTTGACCATCACAATAAGATCATCGTTCATCATCATTTGAACCCAAAACCGCCTTAAGGCGGTTGGATGATGTTTACGACAGAGCCACAGATATTTTCAGTTTAAATTTTACCTTCTATTATAATAGCAAACATCGTACAGCTTTAGGTATTTGGATTTGAGTCGGGACGAGCTAACTGTGCACTATGGATCCTGTGAAGTGTTGAAATGCCTTTGGAACGCCTTTGGGATACTTGGTGCTTGAAAAGTTTTTCTCGCTGAACTGTCGGCGAGTTTTGTACCTGCCGAATTCTTGGCGAGAAAACTCGCCGACTTTTTCGGCGCGGCATTTTTCTCCACGACAACCCTTAGAAGAGCACACGAACGGATTTTGGCGATTGTTTTTGGCTTTCTCACCGAAAAAATTTTAAAAAAAAAAATGCAAAACAATAACAACAACAATTCCGAACAAGCTTGCATATTATCCTTGAACGAAATGAATTCAAATGTGGAGCTAGACAACCAATCCACATCAACTTGCACCCACGAAACGAATTTTGATCTTCTCTATGACTATCTTACCGATATAAAATTCACACCATCAGACATCAATTCAGTAATTCGTATTGTTGAAGAAAATGCTATCAGAAGTATTGCTGTTCTAAATTTTTTTGATGATGAAGAGATCATGTCATTTGCAAGATCCATCATCAAAGCAGTGATTTCTTTCCGATTGCAATCCGAAAATGATAAATCCAAAGATTTCTCATAAAAACAAGATTATGACTGAAGTTGATGTCAAACAAATGTTCATAACAAAAGAGATTCCAAATTGGGAACTGTTCTTGATGAAATTCCATTCAGTTGGATCATTGACATTCGAACCAAGAAACAAACCAACGAATTTATTATTAGGTTTTATCGCTGATCATTTTAACAAGATTTCCGCTCGGTGAATAACAGGACAAGCTAATTGTGTATGACGGATAATCAGTATTACAACATCGTACCGTTTATAGATTCCCTTTAGATAACACCTGTGACACGGTTTCTTTAATGGGTTGGTAATTCTTTGCATTGCCAGCAGACAATATTCCCAAACCAGCGATATTCCAACCAGTTCCGGTTCTGTAAAGAACAGAGACCAGTACTGCTTGCGACTTGGCAGCCTTTTGTATGTTGTATTCGCTCAACATTGTTTCTGGATGGTTTACATCAAAAAATTTGAATCCTGGAGATAAAAAGTGCTCAATAGTTGGTGAATTGTATGAGCTAAGCACAAAGAAAACATATTGAACGTTAGAAGGTACCTCGCTAAGTTTGGCTTTGATAACATGATTACCTGAAGAAGAGGTCATAACATCTCCTGAGTGACGGAAGGATCCATTCAAGCAGGTTGTACTCCTGAAATCCAGACAGTCTACATATTTTCTATCCGACGAAAAGAAGATGCACGTGCCATCAAGATAGTCTGCACTTCCTGAAAATCCCCAAACCAAGTTGAATTCAATTTCTTTTATGTCACTACTGTCGGCAATGTGATAGAGTAACACCATCAAGAATACTGTGGAGCCACTAATGAGGTTTGGATAGGAACCAAGCAATCTATCCTTGTTCAGTTCTTCCGAATTGAACATTAGACACTGTTTGGTGTGATGTATGTTGGTGATTTTCTGAATTTCAAGCTTGAGGACTTGTACAGTTGTGCTTGCCAGTGAGTGAATTGGGACTTGATATTTTTCTCCTTCCAAGGTGGAAATGATAACATGAGTAATAGATGAAGAAGAGCTGTGATCAAAACTTGTTGATGTAGAGGACGCCATGTTTGATGAAGGTGTCTCTAAAAGAACATTATCCTGCAAACTGTGACGAGCAAATTCTCGGTCCTCGTTTGGAAGATGTTTACTTTCAGCAGCACAAGCAAGACATAGAGTGCAGATCTGCTCAGAGTTTGAGAGAGGGATGCTGAAAAATTCTTTTGACAGTTTGTTCTTGCCACAACCTCTGCATCTCATTTTTTTGTTTGGTCATTCCAATTTGCACAGGGGTTCTTGTTGTAATCAAGAATCCTAACGTGATCACGTTGAAAAATCATGCAAAAAAATGTCCTTGGTCGATGGTGGTGATACAACTCTTGTCCATATAGTTTTTGTGATCAAAGACTCACTCAAAGACCCTTCGTTAGAAATTGGGTCTCAGTCTATACCGCTTCAACAGGGAAATCAATTTCCAACAGTTTGGAAATGCTCTATTGATGGAGATTGGTTGTCTGGGCTGGTTCAAACCAGACAGAATAGAGCCAATCTAAAGGCCAGCTCTACCCGCCTTCTCTTTCTATCCCAAACAATCGAGCATTCCTTCACTCTGCAAAGAAAGTCTCATATATTTGTTATGGACAAGGAAGATTTCACCGGTTTCTCAAGAAAAAGTGAATCCATTGCTGTCTTGGTAAAATTTGCAGTGTCAGAGATGGCAGGTGAGAGTATTAGAGCAGGATGGGAGTTTATCAAAGCAATAACCCAAGAATATTCTGGCTTTTTACAATACTTGTCAAAGGAGCAGTTTCATGAGCTAGTTAAACTTGAGGTAGAGCCAAAAGAGCGGTTGATCAACACAATTCTTTTATCCGCCGTTATTCCATCTTTCATCAATAACAAGTTTCTTGCGTTGCTGAGAGATTGTGACATAGAAGATGAAGCCCTATTAGAAGCACTTTCGCGTAATGCTGCTTGGATGCAGTGCAAACAGCTTGTTCAACATGGCTTGCAAAAAGATGATTTTTCCTTCTTACCTCTTTGCTTGTACTATCCAAAACAACTTGAAACTATTGCTAGCACTTTCGTAATTGGTAGTAAAGGCAATCCCTCGGTCTCTTTGCTTGAAAATTTGGGCTTCATCCAGACGAGAATACCACAGGACAAAGAATACAGTATCTGTAGGGCAATTGTGAGTTGTGCCTCTTCAGTTTATGATATTCTTATTATTGCTTCAAAAGCAACAGCATTAATCCCGCTTTTGGAGAGCAATGACGATTTTAGAGAATTCTTCAAAGCTCAAATGCGTTCTAAAATTGAAGGTGGCAATGCTTGTTTCTTAATAGAAACTTGGCAACAAGTTTGTAAGATGGAAGAAATCAAAATTCTGAGCATTGAGATCTTAAGAACTGCCATAAAGCAGAGGCCTTCAGTGAGAAACAATGACGAGGCATCGGATCTTGTCAATTTATTAATGTTCAATGAACTATTCACAGCAGAAGAAAGAACAGAGCGATTGTGCCTTTGGCTCAACGACGAGCGTATTTCCAATGAAGTTGTTCTTCGCTTTACTGAAATCATTGACTCTTTGAAACCCAAGCTTGCCCACACATTATTGGACAAATTGACGAAAAAGGGCAAACTCACTTTATTCCATTTGATCAAATGTCTCAGGGCATTCCAACCTACAAACAGAGAACTGTTTAGTGAGTTGGATGTTGAGTCACTTATTGCCAAGCTGTGGAATGCCGTTATAGCACTACCTTTCGATAATTCCATTCAAACATTTGAACGAGAAGAGTTTAGATGTTTACTTGGGGAGTTTTTGGAAATGTATCAGCCTGCACTTACTCGTAAATTTAACTCTTTTTCTGCTGATTTGGAGCATTATTTTAAGATTTTGTTTGATGTCAATAAGGGCATTGCAAAAGAAAGATTTGATTACTCTTATGCAACACTCGAGTACTGTATCATTCCATCAGCGGAGTCTTCTGATCGATATTCAGATATTAGTATACCATCCATTGTGAAACACATTGGGTTTTGGACATGTATCACAAAGATTGCTAATAAGGATAAAATATATTCCACTTCGTTGTTGAAAAAGGTTAGGGCAGTTATCAACAAAGAATACAAGGCACAAATAGAAGGTACTTATTCGGTTGAGCAATATTTGAAGAAGGTGAAGGAATTGCAGAAAAATTTATCACACATATTTGAAGAGTTTGTCGAAAATTATGCTAATCAACAACTCGATATCATTTATCAGAAGATTGATCATTCTACCAGCTCTTTAGGCTTTGTTAAACAAGTTTTAGTATCTATCGGAGGCAGCATTCGTGAAAAGTATTTACAATTTGTACAACAAAAATTGAATGAATTCCCAAGAACCAAGGTATCAGAACTTCTATCAGCATCATACTGGGGCGAGTTATGGGAATGGAAAGAACAGCTGATCAAATTGAGCAGTCTTGCCCAAAGCGCAAGTTTCATGTCTACTATTGTCAAAAACCAACAGCCGAATGCATTTTCAAATCTTAACGACCTCATGAGGTACTTGATTTCCATGGAGAAGCATTTAATTGAAAAGTGGACGCATATCCTCAATGGTACAGCTGTGATCAGTGATGTTTACGAAATCTACTATCACATTCAAAACAAACAACATGAAATTCAATTAATTGAGAAGTATATGAACAAACAACTTACACATTCAGCCAAAGAAAATATTGCATTTCTGCAACAGAATTTTGGGTTTATTACTGACGCACAACATATTTTGGACCTATTAGAGCTTTGCAACCTCTCTGGCCAATTTAAGACTCTACTTGAAGAGTATGCCAATACAAACTTTAATAATATGCTACTATCTGATTTTAAAAAGCGAACCATTACCATTACGAAAAATTTGACGCTTCAAAATTTCGAAGTAGCTCATACTATTGTGGAATGCAAGGATGTCTTTTTTTTGTAAAAGAGAATTGTAATGAAGACATGAGAAACATGATTAATGGAGTGGAAGAGCATTCAGATAACTTTATTAGAGAAAGTACAGTATCCGATCTTATTGATGTATGGTCATTTCTACGGGCCCTTATACAGACCTCGTCTTCAAGCGAAACCAAGCTTCTGAACAATCTTCACAAACTATTAGCCATGGACAAGAACAAGAATATTGAAGCGAAGCTCAAAAACTGTTCTCAAAACATACACGGTCTGAAACGTTTACACAAAAATTTGAGTAACAGAACAGAGTTCACCAAAGAAATAATCGCTCACCTTTTGGAGGATAGTATTACAGCTATAAATTTAGGTTCATCGATGTGCACTATCAAAATGAGATATAAGAACGGAAAGTCAATATATGGTATGGAAGAATTGAACGATCTAAGAAGTAGATGTTTATTACTTGCCAATACTGATACTAGAAATGAAACGACAGCTCATAGCTACAGGAATTTCATAGAACTAGTAGATTTACTGCAATCTATTCAGAAAAAAGTGATGGAGCTGTTTGATGTGGGATATCCAGTTAATATGAACTCAGAATTCGTATCATATCAGGATCTCGAAGAAGAAAAAAAGCATTTAGATAATATGTATGAAGAATGGATCAATGTGAAAACCAAGTACAGAGATGAATTTCATATTTTAAACGTTTACCACTCACAGCAAATATGGATGATCGAACAACATTTATCCAAGCTATCAAGAAATATTTCTCTAGAACAGAAAGAAGAAAATGAATTACTAAATTTACTGCGACTGATAAATCCAGGAATTGTCATGGAAAAGATTACTGACCAGTTTGATTTCTCTTTTTCGAATGAAGACAAAATAGAACAACGTCTTACGAGAATATTAACTTTTTTGTCCAAAATTAGCGAACCAAAGGTAGCTACGGGGACCATCAACAAGCTACTTCCAAATGGAGCAACGGTTTGTTGCGTGGATAAGAGAAAAATAATTCCTCTTTTACTTACTATATTCATTGGATGTCACGATACTCCTTCTCCTCTTAACACACTTGTTTGCTATGAAGATACCTCTTGGAGTGAAGTTGAAGCATTTCTATTCAGGTGCAGACAGTCAAATAGTCAACTGCATTGTCTTCTAAATGTTCACAAATTGAATTTTTATGTCAAAGATTCATTGATAGAATTAATTCACAAGTTTGAGCAGAAAGAATCACAATTTTTAATGCTATTAATCACGGAAAGAGGAAAAGATTTTCTGTCTGAAGAAATGCGTTCAAACGTTAGAGATTTTAAAGAACTAGATGCCACTACACTGAAGAACTTTGTGTCAAAAATAAGACCAAATGTTGAGTTTGTTATTAGTCATATTAATGGCATTGGAAAGACGGAATACATCAAAGAACAGTCTTTCGAACTTGGTAAACTTCCAATCTTGTTTCCGGTTAGCGGAAGTTTAGAAAGAAAGAAACTGGTGAACAGATTAGCAGAAATTAATTTTTTGAAATGTTCCTCTCTTCATATTGATATTTCCATCATCAATAATGATCCAGACTTTATCGACTTTTTTCTGTTTGAGATGTTGGTAATCGGAAAAGTGTCTTTTGGATCTACCATAGTACTTTTATCATCCATTCCTACCTTTATAGAAATTGCAAACACTGTTAACAATAGTCTTGTTAATTCCATAGCAGTTCGAGAGTTCTTTAAGGTATCTGATTTGAGCTCTGATATGGACAGATTCATCGCAAGTGAAGAGATACTTTCTCCAGTCCAAATAGTTTGCCAATATTTACAAAGATATGATAAGAACCAACTGATTAATAACGATATTGTTTTTGGACGGGTTGGAGATAAGCAAAGTCTAAATCCTATTCCGAATAACGAATGCATCAGACTCATTAAGAGATATTTATTGAACAAAGACCATGCTTTATCATCCTTTTCAGCTGTTCACGTTTATCTCAATGTCCTGGCAAATCAATTACTAATGATGTCTGCGTCAATATACTTTAGAGTAGGTAGCTTGGAGAAGATGGGTGCCAGTTCAAGCATTCGTAATGAACTACTTTTAGCATTGATTAATTTAACCACCGAATTCAGTAGCTCCGCTTCAACTCTCAACAAAATACACGTGCTGAATGACGACCAGCAAGCAATGCTTGAAATATTTAATGGTTTTTTGCACTGGGAGGATTCCAATCATCTTTTAGTATTATTTCACAACATCAATTCACAAACAATATCTGCTGTTTATAGAGATTCAAGTCACGTACCGGATTCTGTTAAAAATTTATTAAGATCTCAACATACCAAATCAACTTCCCAAACATATACTCTGCCAAATTATTCAACTCTGAAAAGAGATGAACTGCTTGAAGTTCTAAAAAAGATTTGTCTCACATCTCCTCTCAATAATAGTGAAGATGATAAGGATTATGCATTAACACCTGATAATATTTTGAAAATGATACTTATCATTACACGTGTAAGAGCGAGGGTTCCTGTTGTTATTTTGGGTGAGACAGGTTGTGGAAAAACATCTCTTATCAAGTACCTTGCAAATGTGATCGGTGCTGTAATAATTACCAAGGATATTCATGCAGGAGTAACAGAGGAAGATATCGTCAGTGTTGTGTTAGAGGCAAACACCAAAGCCATCCTCGAAAATGTGAATGTTTGGTTGTTCCTTGATGAAATTAATACTTGCGACTCTGTTGGGCTTATAAGTGAAGTAATTTGTAACAAAACCTGCAATGGAAAGCCACTGAATAGGAATCTTAGTATTATTGCTGCTTGCAATCCATATAGATTGAAATTACAGCATAGTAAACCCACTGCTGGTCTTGAAGGAAAAGTTAAAGACAAAAATGTATTAGCGTATAGAGTGAACCCTCTTCCTCAATCAATGATTGCATACGTTTGGGATTATGGAAGTCTTTCTCAGAACGATGAACTTAGATACATTGCAACTATTGTTGATTCCATGACAAACTTTAGTGAACTGAAAAACCTTTGTACAAATCTATTGTTTTCTTCTCAAGAATATATAAGACAATGTGAAGACAAATCAAGTGTGAGTATGAGAGACATTGCGAGGTTTAAAAAGTTGTATCATTGGTTTTATAACAGTTTGAAAGACAAAAAACCTCCTACATTGGAAGGAAAATCACAAAAAACAAGGAAGGATTTAGAAAAATATTACAGAGTTATTAGCTCAGAGGCTAGTCCTAACAGAAAGATCAGATCTATCATCTTAGCTCTATCCCATTGTTATCATAGCAGGCTGTCTACAGATACTTTAAGAACGCATTATAGAGAAGGAGTGTGTCAAATATTCAAGAACCACAATAGACATTTAACTCCAGACATGTTTTTAGACTGCTTGTTGCAAGAGCAGAAGGACTATTTATTAAGAATGGAATTACCTGAAGGAACAGCTCTTAATAGTTCATTGCTTGAAAATGTTTTTGTAATATTGGTGTGTATTCTGAACAAACTACCAGTATTTGTGGTTGGAAAACCAGGTTGCAGCAAATCATTGTCTATGCAGTTAATCAATAGCAATTTGCGAGGATTTGACTCCAAGGATGAAATGTTTAGAAACCTTCCTCAAGTATATGTGGTTGCATATCAAGGATCAGAATCTTCTACCGCAGACGGAATCGAAAAAGTGTTTCAAAAAGCCTACAAATATCTGAAGGACAATGATAGCAATGTCATTCCAGTGGTCCTACTTGATGAGGTAGGTCTGGCTGAGATATCCAAACATAACCCTTTGAAGGTACTGCATAAGCTTCTTGAACCTGAAAAGCAGATGGTTGCAGTTGTTGGTATTTCAAATTGGTGTTTGGACGCTTCAAAAATGAACAGAGCTATCCATTTATCGAGGCCAGATGCATCTATTCAAGATCTACAACAAACCGGTCTCTCAATATTAGAATGCTTTGTAAAGGAGGTAACAGATACTGATAAGGAATGGGTATTAGAAGTTGCATCGGCATTCCATCAATACCTTTTGCACCAGAGCTATCAAAATTTTCATGGATTGCGTGATTATTATTCTTTGATTAAGTTTTTAGCCAAGTCAGGATATAATGGGTTAAATAACGAGCTTTTGAAGGTTGGCATTGAACGGAATTTTGGTGGGCTTGACACAAATGAGATTATAGAATTGATCCCACGTTTAGCCTCTGAAACACCAACTCCAATAACAGATCTTGTCCAACTTAACCTAGCAGATAAATTTGCAAGACATTTAATGGTAATTACAAATGGTGATTCAGCCCTAAGCTTGTTAGAAAACAAGGCTGAAGTAGTTTTTGGAAGTAAATTCCAAGATGACCAAACAGAAGAATATAACTATAGGGTTTTAAGTAGAATCATATTATGTATGGAATCAGGAATACAATTAATTCTCAAAGACTTAGAACAAATTTACGGTAGCTTATACGACATGCTTAACCAAAATTATACCATTGTGGGTAAAAAGAAAAATTGTCGTATTGCATTAGGTGCTTTTAGTAACCCCATGTGTCATGTTCACGACGATTTCAAGTGTGTTATTTTAATTGATGAGCATAACATTGACTATGCTGATCCTCCATTTTTGAACCGTTTTGAGAAACAACGTCTTAGCTATGCAGACATTTTTGACAAGGATCAAATAGAACTGAAACACACATTGATCAAGTGGCTTAAAAGTGTGACAACAGTAGAGGGTACTGACTTTGAAATAAGAGATGCCATACGTTCTTATAACAATGAAACCATTGACAGTTTGGTTGTGAAGCACTACAGGTCTGAAGAAAATGTAAATGAAATAATTGAAGCTTGCCAGCAAGACTTAATTTCCCTTTTCAACTTTGAGGCAATTTTGAGACTCCCTTTTACCAACGGAGCAAACAACCACCAAGTCATTCAGAAACTTACTCAATATCACCAAACATCACCTAACTCGAGTATCTTGCAATACTTCACATCATGCTATGACAAGAGTGAAATGAAACTATCTGTGATATATACATTCTCTAATATCCATACCGACGTCCTGGCATGTTTACAACACGAATTTCCAAATATTGAAACCAAGTCCCTAGTTTTCAAGCTTGTACATTTCAGTTGCGAAAAACAAGTGTTGCAAAAATTAGATGCATTTTTCCGAGACACAGTCAAGCAATATCTGTTCATCCAATGTGATGCATTTTATGACTCTATTCATCTTCTTTGGCTGAAATATCAAATCAACAACCTAGCAAATAGCTTTGGTGGTACATTTTCAATAGACAACAAGCAAATTTTCCTAATACTGCACACACAAAGACAAATATTTTCAGAGGAGAAATGGATTTTCAATTTCCTTGGTAAATATGATCAAATAATGATTGATAATCTGGATCAATCATCATCAACATTTGACCTAAGCCAGTCTGATATTATTGCTGTTTTCAAAAATAATTCTGATGTTATTTTGGAAAAGGTAATACCATGGTGTTTCCATACCATTCGATACCCTTCCAATAATCCTACGTTATTTCAAAGAGTGCAAGACACCATTAAAAATGTGTCAGCTTCTCCCACTTTGAGAAAGGTATTTTTGGAATTAATTGTACCAAATATTCCACGTTCAGATGAGACAGACTGGAAAAAGCATGTGTTGTGTAATAGGCAAAGAGTAACCAATAGCAGATCCATTCATCTAGCTGTGTTTGAGTATACATGTGAAATAGTAAGGGATATTCTAGCAAGATATATTTATCTCATTGAAAAGTACTCCGCATTTGACTGCATTCTCGAGAACGCTGGTACTTCCCTCTCTGAGGAGGAGCTTGGATTATGGCACAAAATATGTTCTGAGTCATCAATTTTGAATATTCAGGCGCTTCCAAAACCTGAAAGAGATGTGTATCAGTATTACGAATTTATACCACAATTGAGATTTCCTTTCAGTTCTGCACTTAATCAGTTATTGGAAGAGCAGCGACCACAATACGAAAAGCTAATCATTGAGTTTGAGGAAAACACTTTTGTGGAGTTGACAGATATTTTGCGCTCTACAACATTTCCCAAATACAAATTCCTGAATCACTACCTTTATGGTTCAGAAGAGCTGCTTAAAAAGTGCTTGCATGACATTCTGAAATTGCAGTCGGCACGATTGGGGATGTCAGAGGATTTTGACCGCTTTGTTTACATTTTCGAATTACTGTTGAGAATGGAGACAGACTCCTCACTGACATCCATTTACCACTTGAAACATCCAATGGACGTGATCGTTTTTATGTGGAGACAATCAAGACGCATGCACGCACTGAATGAAATGTTGAATCTCGTGCCTTGTATCTTTGAATCTAGTAGTGTTTCCACTGTTGAACTTAGAGATATCGTAGAGAGAAGCGCTTTGTATTTCTTTCCCTCACAAAAATTACTCAACGAACAATACCACAACTCCATTAGAGACTGGCATCGCATTACAAGTCAATTTATTCTGTTGACAAATAGACTTGATCTAGAGCAAGTATCACTACCCAAATTAGTAACGCTTAAACTTTTCAACGAGTTTATATCTACCTGTATAGATAATAGTGAGGGAAAGGAAATTGAGTTGAGCGATACTTTCTATGATCTTGTAAAAGAATCTACTGATAGTGAAGACTTCACCAATGACCAGATTGTATTGAGGCTGATTGGTGAGATACCATTCAAGTTAAATTCTGAGTCTGTTAACAAGTTTTTAGGATATCTTATTTTACGATGCGATCCAAATGCATTTAATGATTTTACAGCCATGATGATTCAGACTATTAAGCAACAACAATCAGCTTATCAATTACTGTGTTATTGCGAAACTGATATTTTGATTTACCTTCAAGACAGAGTTGATCTATTTGAGCTCGTGACAAATACGAACTCTCTCCATGAGTATGAGTTACTTTCTATTATTGACTCCAATATGGATTCATCACTTTCTTGCGATATTTCTACATATATTGGTGACCTTATTCATAGCAATGCATCATTTTTCATACAGCAAGATCAACTACAGGATGGGAAAATTCTAGCAAGACTAATTTCTACAGCTGAAAATTCTAAATATCGCCCATTTATTAGAGTCATGGCTGTTGCATTCCTAAAGTATTTTGTAGACAAAATAGTTGATGAGTTTAAATTTAACTGTTGGAGAAACGACGAAAAACCATCGATGGATGATTACTCCTTTATCGCCACAGCAAATGATTTGTTGAAAAGTGATTGTCCTGAGAATTCTCTCAAGCATCAATTAAGAATTTATTTTGCAAAGAAAGTTTATACTCTATTTCCTACGTTCAAAGACTTGACTCAAGCATGCATGGAAGACAAACCATGGGGAAGCACCTTCTCCTTTTTACGAAAGCTACAATGGCCATCCCCCCAGCATCAAGGACCAAACTACCTCCTTGTTGTGGACCACCATGCTGAAGTTTTGAACGCCCTACAGCAACTAATGTATCAAAGAAATTCTACACAAATCCAAACCATCCTTTCCCATTTGTTTGTTGACTCCAAGTGGACATATGCCATACTCTCTGTTTTAGTTCAACATATTTTCTTAAAATATTCTTTCGAGAGACCGTTCACATCTGAAGAAACCTTTACAATAACATGGCTCAATGATTACTTTTCGAAAAATATTAAGGACCAGAAATTGAAAGCAATACTGCTTTCGATAACATCCAATGCATTCACGAATTCACCTCTACGTTTACATGATCAGGTAGATAGCGAATCGTTGGAAATGATTATACTGATCATGCATGTTGTCATCTTGATCATTTCATACCCAAAGTGTAATTTAGCAGATATGATATTGAAGCCTGCGCAAACTGTGAACATGTTTATACCATCAATGCCCAACTCTCATGTTGAAACCGTTCAATATCTTATATCTGAGGAAGCAAATGAACCCCTAACACGGTACACTTGCAACGCTTGCGGTTACATGTTCTTTGTCGGAAATTGTGGAAATATTAACGAGAAATCAAATTGTCCTTCCTGTAAAAATCTTATTGGATCTTCGTCAAACAAGAAACTCGATACCACACCCTTCCGTGGAGCCAAAGATTTCCAAATTTATTCTGAATATGGCTATTTAATGTACAATATTTTGGAAAACGAACAATGTACAACCTTTAGACAAAACACACCACTTTCTCAACCATTTATAAGCTTCCTAATTCATGGATTAATATTGTTTCAACTCTCAATTAGTAACAACAACTCTCCTTATTATTCTGCAAGTAATGAATTGATAACAATTCCATACATTTGGAAGATATTAGATCATCAATGGAATTACTTATTACCATCATCAACGAACAAGAGTTTACTACTTAATTTATTAGCATCCTCATTGACTGAAGATGTTTTGGAAAGTAATACCAATACAAGTAATCTCTACACAAAAGAAGGACGATCAGTATTCGAAAATTCAATTACAAAACACATCGAAGTATTTTTGAAAAACTCTAACACGCATCTTCAACATGCTCTCAAAACTATTGAAATGGTACAACAATCAGCCTTTTCTACTCTAGAACTTCAGATTACTGGTAACTATATGTATTCTGAGAGCGAGAAGAAGCAACTGATGACCAATCTGTTACGACTTATTGAACGGAAATCTTTTGCCAATTTTAAGGAAAGGTTTTATCAAGATGTGGATTATAGAACAAAATATCCTCTCACAGATTATGTTTTGAAACACAAAGACAAGTTAACTCTGATTCACCATTTATACGATCTCATTTCTTGCCATAACTATTTTTATAGAATTTTTAATCACAAGTACACGAAGGAACAAACAAAAACACTGACAATAGGAAAGCTTAAAGAAAATATGGGAGGAGATGAAATATTCGTGCAACATTTGGAACTATTTATGGATACATGGGAAAAAATTGGTCCTCATGTGACAAGGCAAGGATGTACAAAATTGGCACCAATTACTTCAATAGGTTATGATACTCAAATATCGTTCTTATTTCTCAATACTGAAGATGAAGGCAGATATTTTTTGGGAGCTATTGAAATGCTTATCGGCTTTCACAACACCATAATACAAACAGTTCTTCAAAAGCATGACAGTCTTAAAGTGGAAGGTATAACTATCTATACAGCGACTAGAAATGATATTGCAAAATTTGAGGAAGATGATGATATTTTAATTGGATACAATAGTTTTTCGAAAGGTCAAGAAATAATTTATGATTACATGTTGATTGAGCAGCGATTCCAAAGACTATTGTTTAACGGGAAAAAATTTCTCTCGTTGGGAAGTATTAATAGTATTCGCTACAAGGATGAAATATTTTCTTCATGTTCCAACTTAATCTCAAGTGTTTTGGATTTAGTATTGCAAGAACCGTTAGATAATTCTGTTCAAAAAAGTATTGAAAAATCACTTACTGATTCACAGGATGTGCTTGAAATATTTTACTTCTTAGAGGCAGTGTTGTGGATGATTAGCAAAACCAGCGCAGATTCTAATTCAACAATTGAAGAGTATTGTGTAAAATGGAAAAGGGTTTGGCTCCACCTACTCTTTTTTTTGAGCCATTTTAACGACTTTACTATCAAAAAAAAATTTTGATTTCAATAAGTCCTGTCCACGGTCCGAAGTTAGGGTTGGGTTTGGGTTTGGGTTTGGGTTTGGGTTTGGTTTGGGTTTGGGTTTGGGTTTGGGTTTGGTTTGGGTTTGGGTTTGGGTTTGGGTTTGGGTTTGGGTTTGGGTTTGGGTTTGGGTTTGGGTTTGGGTTTGGGTTTGGGTTTGGGTTTGGGTTTGGGTTTGGGTTTGGGTTTGGGTTTGGGTTTGGGTTTGGTTTGGGTTTGGGTTTGGGTTTGGGTTTGGGTTTGGGTTTGGGTTTGGGTTTGGGTTTGGGTTTGGGTTTGGGTTTGGGTTTGGGTTTGGGTTTGGGTTTGGGTTTGGGTTTGGGTTTGGGTTTGGGTTTGGGTTTGGGTTTGGGTTTGGGTTTGGGTTTGGGTTTGGGTTTGGGTTTGGTTGGGTTTGGGTTTGGGTTTGGGTTTGGGTTTGGGTTTGGGTTTGGGTTTGGGTTTGGGTTTGGGTTTGGTTTGGGTTTGGGTTTGGGTTTGGGTTTGGGTTTGGGTTTGGGTTTGGTTTGGGTTTGGGTTTGGGTTTGGGTTTGGTTTGGGTTGGGTTTG